TCGTTCATCTCGGGACCCTAGAAAATTTCTCAAAGCATATAAAAATAACTATATTACGAACCACCACCAACCCTAACCAATATGTTTTAAACAAAATTAACACACTATTATCAGGAAGAATATTTTTCGAACTTAGACAACTAATCGAAAATAGTGGCCAGTAAATGTACCTCACCGAAAACTCTTACTTTAAGTCGTATTTTAAGAGTTTATATGGCAACATAGACTACTGTGGACAAACGATGTTGATGTCTTCAAGATACACACTGTGTCAACAGCTTGTGTGCCCCATGACTAGGTGCGTCGTTCAGACATGAGGCTCGGGAAACAAACAAACAGCTTGCGCTTTCTGTCATCTTCCCCGTCGCGGCACATGCTACGTGACCGGACTCCTGGCCAATGCGCAGGATTATTCCGACAGAGGCCGATGTTTGCCGAGCTGAGAACATGACAAGTTCGCATTCACATAGCAGATACCATTTGTTCTTCTCAGTTGCTTACAATTTCGTGCGAGTATTTCTGGACAGAAGGAAAGAACCGTGGTATATCTGTTACGGCCACATATGCATGCTTTAACTTGTATTCCCAGCTTTATGTGGTGAGCATTTTTGTTTCGGATTCTAGTTAGGTACGAAGACTGGTATTTTATACTGCTTTGAACATTAATGATGCATTTAGCACAATGTCAAACTGCCTTTCGCGGTATGATAATACGTTCTTTCCAATTGCAATGTGTCACAGACATCGTGTTCTGTCAAACCCATCTACATCCCATTCTTGCTAAATCACCACTCACGATTGTCTCATATCCCCTCCTCAAACCTCCCTCAGCACATGAGCGTAATCGGCCCTTACCTGGAAAACCAGTGGTCGACAGTGTAAGTCACTATCGCCATGGATACAATCACATTACTATGGTACACACAGAGGCAGCGAGAACTTATTTTCCATCTCTCCATCTAGTCCAAGTCCCCATCCCATTGTTTAACACTCACTGATCAGCTCTATATCCATTTCTCTATCTAGCCCATGACCCCATCGTATTGTTTAACACTCACTGATCAGCTCATTTATCCATTTCTCTATCTAGCCCATCTCATTGTTTAACACTCATTGATCAGCTCATATATCCATTTCTCTATCAAGCCAATATCCCCATCTTATTGTTTAATACTCACTGATCAGCTCATATATGCATATCTCTATCTAGCCCATGCCCCCATCTTATTGTTTAACACTTACTGGCCACATCATATATCCATTTCCCTATCTAGCCGATGTCCCTATCTCATTGTTTAACACTCACTGACCACATCATTTATCCATCTCTTCATCTAGAGTTGTCTTAGTATCCCTGACTGATAAACGGTTATAATTTATTATGGATTATATGATCACGAAAACAAAAACACGTCCTCAATATAATTCATATTTCATACGTTTCAATTACATAGATAGACAGATAAATGGATATGCTCAACTATATTTTCGTTCATCTCGGGACCCTAGAAAATTTCTCAAAGCATATAAAAATAACTATATTACGAACCACCACCAACCCTAACCAATATGTTTTAAACAAAATTAACACACTATTATCAGGAAGAATATTTTTCGAACTTAGACAACTAATCGAAAATAGTGGCCAGTAAATGTACCTCACCGAAAACTCTTACTTTAAGTCGTATTTTAAGAGTTTATATGGCAACATAGACTACTGTGGACAAACGATGTTGATGTCTTCAAGATACACACTGTGTCAACAGCTTGTGTGCCCCATGACTAGGTGCGTCGTTCAGACATGAGGCTCGGGAAACAAACAAACAGCTTGCGCTTTCTGTCATCTTCCCCGTCGCGGCACATGCTACGTGACCGGACTCCTGGCCAATGCGCAGGATTATTCCGACAGAGGCCGATGTTTGCCGAGCTGAGAACATGACAAGTTCGCATTCACATAGCAGATACCATTTGTTCTTCTCAGTTGCTTACAATTTCGTGCGAGTATTTCTGGACAGAAGGAAAGAACCGTGGTATATCTGTTACGGCCACATATGCATGCTTTAACTTGTATTCCCAGCTTTATGTGGTGAGCATTTTTGTTTCGGATTCTAGTTAGGTACGAAGACTGGTATTTTATACTGCTTTGAACATTAATGATGCATTTAGCACAATGTCAAACTGCCTTTCGCGGTATGATAATACGTTCTTTCCAATTGCAATGTGTCACAGACATCGTGTTCTGTCAAACCCATCTACATCCCATTCTTGCTAAATCACCACTCACGATTGTCTCATATCCCCTCCTCAAACCTCCCTCAGCACATGAGCGTAATCGGCCCTTACCTGGAAAACCAGTGGTCGACAGTGTAAGTCACTATCGCCATGGATACAATCACATTACTATGGTACACACAGAGGCAGCGAGAACTTATTTTCCATCTCTCCATCTAGTCCAAGTCCCCATCCCATTGTTTAACACTCACTGATCAGCTCTATATCCATTTCTCTATCTAGCCCATGACCCCATCGTATTGTTTAACACTCACTGATCAGCTCATTTATCCATTTCTCTATCTAGCCCATCTCATTGTTTAACACTCATTGATCAGCTCATATATCCATTTCTCTATCAAGCCAATATCCCCATCTTATTGTTTAATACTCACTGATCAGCTCATATATGCATATCTCTATCTAGCCCATGCCCCCATCTTATTGTTTAACACTTACTGGCCACATCATATATCCATTTCCCTATCTAGCCGATGTCCCTATCTCATTGTTTAACACTCACTGACCACATCATTTATCCATCTCTTCATCTAGCCCATGTCCCATCTTGTTGTTTAACACCCACTGACCACATCGTATATCCATTTCTCTTTCTAGCTCGTCCCCATCTAATTGTTTAACACTCACTAACCACATCATATATCCATCTAGCCCATCTCGTTGCTTAACACTCACTGACCACATCATTTATCCATCTCTCCATCTCATTATTTAACTCTCTCTGACCACATCATATATCCATCTCTCCATCTAGCCCATGTCCCATCTTGTTGTTTAACACTCATTGACCAGTTCATTTATCCATCTTATTGTTTAACGCTCACTGACCACATCGTATATCCATTTCTCTTTCTAGCTCGTCCCCATATAATTGTTTAACACTCACTAACCACATCACATATCCTACTCTCCATCTAGCCCATCTCATTGCTTAACACTCACTGACCACATCATATATCCATCTCATTGCTTAACACTCTCTGACCACATCATATATCCATCTCTCCATCTAGCCCATGTCCCCATCTTGTTGTTTAACACTCACTGACCAGTTCATTTATCCATCTTATTGTTTAACGCTCACTGACCACATCGTATATCCATTTCTCTTTCTAGCTCCTCCCCATCTAATTGTTTAACACTCACTAACCACATCACATATCCATCTAGCCCATCTCATTGCTTAACACTCACTGACCACATCATATATCAATCTCTCCATCTCATTGCTTAACACTCTCTGACCACATCATATATCCATCTCTCCATCTAGCCCATGTCCCCATCTTGTTGTTTAACACTCACTGACCAGTTCATTTATCCATTTTATTGTTTCACGCTCACTGACCACATCGTATATCCATTTCTCTTTCTAGCTCCTCCCCATCTAATTGTTTAACACTCACTGACCACATCACATATCCATCTAGCCCATCTCATTGCTTAACACTCACTGACCACATCATATATCAATCTCTCCATCTCATTGCTTAACACTCTCTGACCACATCATATATCCATCTCTCCATCTAGCCCATGTCCCCATCTTGTTGTTTAACACTCACTGACCAGTTCATTTATCCATCTTATTGTTTAACGCTCACTGACCACATCGTATATCCATTTCCCTATCTAGCCGATGTCCCCATCTCATTGTTTAACACTCACTGACCACATCGTATATCCATTTCTCTTTCTAGCTCGTCCCCATCTAATTGTTTAACACTCACTGACCACATCATATATCCATCTAGCCCATCTCGTTGCTTAACACTCACTGACCACATCATTTATCCATCTCTCCATCTCATTATTTAACTCTCTCTGACCACATCATATATCCATCTCTCCATCTAGCCCATGTCCCATTTTGATGTTTAACACTCACTGACCAGTTCATTTATCCATCTTATTGTTTAACGCTAACTGACCACATCATATATCCATTTCTCTATCTAGCCCATGTCCCCATCTCATTGTTTAACACTCACTGACCACATCATATATCCATCTCTCCATCTAGCCCATCTTATTGTTTAACGCTCACTGACCACATCATATATCCATTTCTCTATCTAGCCCATGTCCCCATCTCATTGTTTAACACTCACTGACCACATCATATATCCTACTCTCCATCTAGCCCATCTCATTGTTTAACATTCACTGACCACATCATATATCCATCTCTCCATCTAGCCCATCTCATTGTTTAACACTCACTGACCACATCATATATCCATCTCTCCATCTAGCCCATCTCATGGTTTAACACTCACTGATCAGCTCATATATCCATTTATCTTGCCCACACCCATCATATTTCCACTCACTGACCAGATCATATATCCATTTTGTCATCTAGCCCATATCTCACTGACCAGCACATATTTCTGTCATTCACCAGTCCTACACTGCATCACTCCCACTCGATTATTCGTCATGTCCCTTTTCTGTGTCCAGCAAATCTCTTTTCCTTAACTGCCACACCATCTTTGCCATATATACTGTCTGTCCAGGTTCATTACAAGACCCTCGCTCAGCATGCTACTCCATTCTAAACATATTTGCAAATTTGATCTTGTCTGTGACTTTCTAATCCCATTCTGAACTTCACATATTATACATTGATAATTATAATTTTGGCATGTTTCATACCACATCTAAGAGAACTTTATGCCATAAAGGAAAAAAACCCAGAACCATAGTTCTTTTATAGAAATAGAATCTTTATTCATGTATATATAATATATCATACTTGTATAAAAGTTGTACAAATCTAATGGATAGGAAATGATAGAGACAATGTGGACAATGGCAATGTATCTGTACACAACACTTTACCTTATATACATAGTGCCAGTGTCAACATGTCTAATTTACAGTCATACAAACATTAACAACTGTGGGACAATAACAATCATGACACACACAGATCTCTTCACTGCATGTTTTGAATTCTTTTTATATTTTATTTTTTCACTTTTCATTTAAACACTTTAAGCAACAATATAATTGTATTTTTGTCTTGGTATAAAAATGAAGAAAGTTAATGTAAAAGCCCTGATATAGAAGTTTGAATTACATATGTTATGTTTGACAGAGATCAGTAATATCATCAAGGCATGATGCTGCAGCAGTGCTGATATGATTCAGCTCATGTACAATGGTTAGAGGGAGACTTCAATGTTCAACAGATGACACAGCACTTTTAGAATCATACATATATGTATCAAACCATATATAAAAAATGTGTATTTTGTGTGACCTTTCCTCCAGGTTGTTACAGCTGTGTATAGGTGATTTGGTTGAACATAGCACCACAAGTAAATCCAGCTATTCTAAGTCCATGGATTTTTTGTGAACATCATAAATCAAGATTGTTTCTTTTGAAAGGTCATGGTGTCAAAGGTCAAATTCAAGGTTGGCGGCAAGACTGAGGTTACATGTTACAATATTGTTGTGCTTTCATTGTAGGAGAGCTGCTGCTGACCTTGGCCTTCTCTGCAAATTAAAAAACAAAGACATTCAATTTAGAATTAAAGTTAATACAGAAAGCAAACTAACAAAATTGATTTCAGAAAACCAATTTAATACAAATGAAAAGCAACAATTGATTTTATTCATCCTGATAATCATTGTTAGTATACATTCCCCAACTTTTGACATTATTATTCCAAAATATAGCTTACTCATTACACATAATTTTCATGTTAAAATCCCAGAAAGACTTCAGTATATTAGTAGTCCTATCAAAATGAGTAGCATATTATACAGGTAATACAAATTAAACACAGAAAATCAAGTTTAAAAAACACTCCCAATAGATACTGGGGTCACGAAACATAAACTGGAATTTCTCATACCAGACATCAAAGTCACAACAAAACGTGAATTATATAAATCATCACCCAACCAGTGGTGTGGAAATGTCATTGTTTGCAATAATCAAGTTTCACAAGAAGTAACATTGCACGAAATGTTATCCACAGCCTGGTTGCTGCCACTAAACCTTTCCTGTTGATTCTTCTGACCCCAATGCAATGCACATTTCCACAATGACAGCTGCAAAGCTTTAAAGTAAATTGCTTATTTGCCAAGGGGGCTTGTCACTTAAATACTTATTACCCCTTAGTTAAGTAATGGAATCACTCAACATGGAGCAAAGGAGAGCCTAAGTTGTAAACCAAGGGGGACCTTGTACTGATAAAGGTCAAGAAACGGTCTGTTTTAGTGACGAAAAGCCAATGTCAATATTTGAGCAAGGACAAAGTATTCAAGCTGAAGATATATGGGTTACTGTTGCCAATACTGACACTGTATGTATTTAAACTGTGAAGTTTAGCATATCAAACTCATAAACATGAAAGTGATATCAAATTCTTCATACAATAAACAAATGTATTGCTACTATTGAACATAGGTTTTGCTTTTCAAAATATTTCATTTAAATAAAAAGAAAATATACTACGGACAAAAAATAAGGGAACTAATGATAGAATGTATTTTTGAGATGTGCATTTACAATACTGTTGCATTTCACTTGCTAGCGGTATGCCAGTGCAACCATTCTTGACCATGATTGGTATGGGGTAGTGTTATGGTGTGGGGTGGTAACACCCATGCTAACTAATTTGGATGTTGTGAATGGACATTTGACGGGCCAGCGATATGTTGATGACGTTTTGTGTCCTGTCATTCTATTTGTGAGAAGGCATACAGACATTGGACTGGTCTGGTAGTTCCCAACATGAACAGCACCTGCCAATGTGGCCTAGCTTGGGGTAGCTCTTCAGGAAGAATGGCAGGCAATACCAAGGGCAACCTTACATACATCTACATGCCAAAAATTAATTTTACAGACATTTAACATGATTACACCTTCACTAACATTTCATCAGTATACTGATGACCAAATAATACTATATACATGACTTACCCTTGGAAGATTGGATTAACAACTGCTGCCACATCTTCCCCATGGTTAGTATGCATTGCTCCCTTCATTGTGTCACCTTCAAACGTCATGTTGATCTCTCCAACACTCTGAATTTGCTCATCAGGTGGGACGTACATATTCAAACTCTGAAATAGAAACAGTCAACACACTTAGCAAATATTGAGAGCAGGACACAACACTGCTGTTGTACAATGTTAGCCTAACGTACTGTCAGTCTCAGAAGATGGAATACAATCCTGCCAAATACAATCAACACTATAAGTACCTAGTGGTGTTCCAGTTAATTGAATTAATAAAAGATTGACTTGAAAGTCCAAACAACCAAGCAATCAAATGCAAAATTCCATAATCAAACAAACGATTTTGCCTCCACTGTCAAGTTTTCAACTGTTATAATCTGTTGCTAAGAATTATTTACTACTTAAGAGTATTTGGAGAAGTAAGCGAGAAAGAGCAAGGCCAGTGTCTTTTTTTTTAAACATTGTGCTGAAGTATGTATTTGTGTAGGTGTGAACTAGTTTCAATCAAATGAACATTGAAAAACATCAAAATGACGATAACTAATTAATTTCTTTGATTGATCAGTTGGGACAATCCAATCATCCATCATGATGTTTTTAAAACCAATTCCTAACACAGCCAGTACCTGAATTCATACAAATACAGAATATACACTCCAAACATATCAACATTTAATTCCATCCTTTAATATATCCTCACATAACCACTCTAATCTCAACAAAGATATTGAATGATCATTATTAAATCTCTGCCAACTCTCTCAAAAGGAAGGCAAAACTAAGCTTTGAAATATTGGCATGCCACAATTTTGTGTTTAGGAAGTAAAGTCTCACAGCTTAAATGCCTTTGAAATCAATAGCTGTCAACTGAGACCAGGAAACAAGGGCCAACCGATATGTTTACTTGGTCCAAATAAATCCTACAGACTGCCTGCCCAAAAAGGTTGTGTTCTGTGCAGCTTCCAGACAGAAAAAAATGGCAATACCTTTCACCCCAGAATCAGGGAGAAATGAAATATTTAACTCGTACAAACTTAAACATGTCATTTTCCTGATTAAAAACTAAACCTTGCTTGCACTTATGTCATATGACAAACGTTTCATGTACACGACAGAATCGGGTTACCATATATCACTGCTTATAGAACAAGTGTATGAGACCTAGAATAGCAAAGAGAAGGACACTGATACCTGTATGAGATATTTGTGATGATAATGACCATGAATAGGAAGTCTAGGTGCTGATTCATAAAAAATCAAGGACAGTATCATTCCTATCAATATAATTCCCCACATGTACAATGTGTGAAGCTTACTTATTGCTGGCTTATTGCTAAAAAGGGTTTAAAATACATACTCACTCACTCCCATCAATATATAGTTTACTCATGACAGTCTGTTGAAAATCTAAAGATTTTATAGTGTGTTGACAGCCAAAATTCAGGATTTATGGTTTTGATGTAATAGAGGTAGGGTACTCTAAGGAATTGTAGTTTGCTGTATACTGTCACCTGCATATAATGTTCAAAATTTGTCAGCACAGTTGGATGTAGAGTTAAACAACTCCTCAATATCAACATAAGAAAACTGACTCACCTGAGTTTCATATTCTCGTAAGAAGCTTGGTGGTTCTACAAATTCTGGGGCATCACCATAGTTGTGTTGATAAAGTCTGTACTGCTGGATGAATTTCATATACCTGCAACCAAACATTGTTACATAAGTCCTCTGATGGCAACAAAATCTGCATATGACATTAGAAATCAAAACATCCCCCCATGCAAATATTTATGTAACAATTACACTTTTAATGCCACTTAAAGATATAACAACACTTAAGATGATATTGTCCAGGGACTGCAAACAGATGGCAGTCAACCATACTGAAGATAGTTGGAGTGTGAAAATTAATTCATTTTCGAGAATGCCTACATTAAACATACAATTCAATTATCAACACAAACACCTACAAAAATCAAATTATGTCTCAGCATTTTCACTGGTCCACAGCGTGGAAAACAATATGAGGCTATTTATAAAGTTGATCTAACCTTGAGTAGGAGAAGACAATGACGATGATTCCCACAATACTGAGTAGAATGATAATGGCAGCCAGAGCAATAAGTGCTGCCCATGGGTCATCCATCCACCAGATGTAGGACTTGGTCACCATCGTGCGGATCAGGGAAGCTTGTGGGTATGGCAGTCGCAGACGCTCAACGTTAAAGCTAGTGTCCGTCCCAATACGAATATTCAATTTCGACCGAGTGTCATCTGACAGTATTCTGCATTAGAAAAGACACAATTTTTTGATGGAATAATAACAGCATGCGGATAACATTTGAAAGGTTTTTTTAATATCCAGCGTAATTCAATCATTTTCTTTCTTTTGTATACTTCAAGGACACAAGTTCCCTTTCACTGATTACTTTGTAGAATATCAAAAAGCAATAGTATTGTCATTCTTTGACTTCAAAAGGTTAAATTTCAATAATGTGACAAAAGCACTCATAAAACTATGACACTGATTTATCAACAGTTAATAAAAGAAAAGAAAAGAAAATATAGTTGTATCATTCACCCATATTGCAAACATAAAAAAGTTGAATTTAAGTATTAAATACAAACAATAAACACAACACAATCCTAAGTGAAAATCAACTAAAAATGTATTCATTTGATTCAAATACAAACAAAATCAACTTCAGTTTTACCTTATAGCACAAAAACACAATGAATACACAGAAAAGTATATATCCAATTTCTGAATAAATCCCAATTCGAAACAAGCGATATCTCCACACAGTTCCTATCCCGACATCTTGAGCCAAGCAAAGACCATTTGAGGAGGGTCTCTAACTCTCGCTGGCAAACCGTTGTTAAACAAACTTCTCACGTGCCGAGAGCTCAAGCGCAGGGAGTGCTAGCCGGGCTACTCCCAGTGTAAATACAACCTCCATACTGTCAATAGCTGGCAAATGAGCATGTCTTTGTCTATGGTAGTAGTTAGCTCTGGTTTGCTCCAGTGGCTTATACACAACAATCTTACGGTCACACACACCTAGTACAACATTTTGTCCACGCAAGCAGTGTCACAAACCTCCAAGCACATTTCAAACTGAGACGTTTTATGATTCATGCAGGCTATTTCATGTTAACATTGTTGTAGAAAGTATTATCAGAGGCTTATATTTTCAGGCATGACAAGTCAATGCTCGATCATATTATCCAAGTATACTTTTATGTCTCCATCACTATGGTTACAGGTATATGACGTATTATACTATTTAACTGTAAGACATGTTCTGATATTGTTTGTATGACATATTCTCATTGTAATGAGCAGCCTGATTGTTAGTTTACATAATCTGACTGTATTATTAAGACTGTGTTATATCATATGAATGACTGGAGATTATTCTGGCTGAGAAATAATATGAGAAAATATCCTCAATGGAATCAAATTTGTAAATGTCATCAGCATTCCCATAGTTTGTACATTATTACATATTTTGTGTATAAGAAGTAGATATGGAAACTATTTTTTTCAGATATTTATACCAAATCATACAAACTGCAGTGTTGAAATTAAGAGGGTCCAAGGGTCTTTGATAGTATTTGAATCTAGGGACCCCTAATCTGTAACTTTTAGCATCTGAAGTGCAATGACAAGCACCTGTTGACTTTGGCTTAATAAAAAACTTGCAACCTTGTTTTAATAGATCAGAAAGTTGTTGGCATACTTTCATATGATTCAGGACAGGCCTTAAACATTGTTACTAATAAAAATGGAAAATGGAAACATCATTGAGAAAATATCCTAAAATCCCCAGATACACAACAGTGACTGTTTACCAGACTATTGAATAACCGGTTATATCAGTAGAAAAATATGCTTCCACAAACCTCAAATCATTTTTCAATAACTGACAGTGAAGATCACTAATAAGGTCCATTACTAACCTGTCTCGAATAGCTTGGTTTGTATTGTTGAGAAGTGCATAATTGTAGTCATCTTGGTTTCCAACCAGAACAAACACAATATCGGTTCTGAAAGAAAATATCATTGTAGAGATTCAGGCGTAGCATACACCATGAGGGAGATGCATCTAGTACTAAATTCAATTCAGACTAACTGTTTATGTAAAGCGACAACATTTCGAGCGAAATGTAGATGTCCTTACTTTAATCAACTGACCATGTAGAACTCTACTGACACACCATTTACATTTTGTGCTAGTAGTGTTTGTACAGATGACTTAATGTCCTTACTATGCATGCTATCACTTCTCAATGCTATTGGAGATTAAAGCTAAAGTTAAATGCATACTCAAAGTACTGTGCTAACTTGTTATGTATAGGTTATCACTTGGTGAAATATTACTTACGACTCCATTTCTGTTTGGATATCATTCTGGTTTTGCAGTGTTCTTTTGCCTTCTATTCTTTCTATGAGAGCCAGGTAGCCAAGAGCCTCCTGTAATGATCTGAGGAAAACACATGGTTGATTAATTATGACACATAACAGTGATACTGTTTTTCTCACTAAAACAGCCTTGTCTAGTGCATAAATAGTACATTATCCATCCTTATTACACATTTCTTTGTGAAGAAAAATCCATTTTTCTGTAAATGAAATTGTGTTTGTTGCCTTGACAAAACCAACAGACATTTTAGTGGAAATATATTTATTTTTAACCTTTTTCAAATTTTTCTAAATTGCTAACAAGGATGGTAACATATTTTCATTGTTTACCAGATGCAGTGTTTCCAAATATATATATACAGTATATAGAGATATATTGTTCAACTGATGGTCAATATTTCTATCTTTAATTATATGTATGTTGCCCTGCATGAATAAAACAAGTGAATACTTACTTTCTAATCATTTCACTTTTGGGAATGATTTCATTAGCCCGCGTTTTATCCATAACAAGTACAAATCTATTGTACTCTTCAATTAGGTTAACCTGCAAAATAACAAAAATACACTGAAATTTCATAATAAACCTAAACCATATCAAACAACAAATATTGAACAATAGTTATCATTGTTAATAATTCTAAGAATGCTACCTTTATTACATCTTTGCCATAAATCCTGTATTTTGGTTTGTCAAACTAACCAAATTTTCAGATTTTCAACAGACATCCTCTTCACTGTCAATTACACACAATTAGTTGTTCCCAAATAGCACTATGACCAGCTATGACTTCTGCAATGGTGGGAAACCTCACTTCTTTCCAACATCTAACCACTAGAGGTAGATGAATTGGAGAGGTGGGTGGGAGTGCTTCTTATGTAAAAGAGGTAGTATTCTTAGAATTATTAACAATGATAACTATTGTTCGATAATTCTTGCGAATCCTCTACCTCTATTACATCTTTGACAGAATGTAGAAGGAGGAAACTATTGGTGGATGATTGTTTGCACCGCAACAATGGGCTCAAGTAACAGGGGTTTGTGAGGCCCATTGACAGCTAGACACCACTTGTTCCACCGAACGAATGTTCATGAAGCGAGACTCGTGGCTAGGGCTCTGATCTCATGAGGCGAGCAGGATCCAAGACTGGGAGTGGAATTCTGTGCCTGCGTATAACTTGCTGCAACTGTAGACTTAAGCCAGCCCATTACCGTAGCCTTGTTGATGTCCTTATTGGAAAGAGGCTTGCAGGATATGAATAGCCTCCTTCGATGGTGTCTATGTGGGTCTGTAGCCGAGAGGCAGAATTTGAGAGCTCTGATTGGACAGAGAAGTCCACTGTCGGCTCCAAGACAGGAATGGTAAGTGTCTACAGCCCCATGGTGGTAGAATAGCTACAAAATGTGGGAGCAATCTTAGAGTAATTGAGGTCCAATGTTGATCATGGGTGAGACTAGAATAGTCCAGTGCATGACGTTCTGAAACTCTTGCTGCTGTTGGCATGGCTAGGAGGAAGGAGGCTTTACTGGATTTTTGGGGTAAGGTGGTCTTAGCCAGGGTTCGTAAGGTTCTGTTAAAAGTGCAGATAGCACAACAGATAGATTCCACTTGGGGAAGATACGAGGTGTGTGAACATCTTCTAGTAGGAAGGATGTCATTAGTCTGTTTAGAATGGGATGGTTTCCAATGTCAGAGTCAAGTGATCTGTAACTTTCTATCGTACCATGTTGGAACTTATTGTCCTGACGTAGATATAGCAGAAAGTCCGCTACCATAGGGATGGGGATTGTATTTGTATATAATCCCGACGTCTTCTCCATTGGACGAACTTATCCTTTCTATTGTCATATATAAGGGAGTATGAAGGTCTCCATGGTCTTGCCACAGACTCAGATGCAAGTACAGAGTACCCAGATGTCTGCATCTTTGTGTGATAACTTCCAGGCGGTTAGATGAAGGCTGGACAGATTGTCGTAGAAAATGTTTGACCTGGTCTGTCGTAACAGATCTCACAGAGAGGTAACTGGAGAGGTTCTTCCATTATAAGACTTCATAATCTGGGGAACCACGCACTGGTTGGCCAGAATGGTGCTATCAAGATTATCATGCAATCCGTCTCCTCCACCTTGTGGATGACCTTGACTAGGAAAGACCATGGTGGGAATGCGTATGCAAATAGCCCCGTCCAAACCATCGATAGCGCATAGATCTGGTGGATCCGGAACTGGACTGACATAAACCTGAAGTTGATGGTTTAGGCAGGTGGCAAAAGATCTAGATGTGGTGTGTCCCATAATTTGGTTATCCAAGCAAAGATCTCGGGATGTAAGTTACATTCTGTTGGCACTATTCTCCCCTGACGAGAAAGGCTGTCGGCAAGGATGTTCAGCTTCCTGGGAATATGTCTTGCTTCCATCCAACATCTGTCTGCCAAGGCAACAATTGTGTAGTCTCCATCATCAGAGAACTGGATCTGGTTGCTCCTTGATTCTGTGTGTATGCCACTACTATGGTGTTGTCTGTGATTATGAGGATGGACGGTTGGAAGATACGTATTTCCCATGCCAGGATGGCGTAATAAATGGCCTTCATTTCCCTGCAGGTGATGTGTATGATCCTCTTTCCTTGTTCCAAGATCCTTGTATCGTGAGATCGTCTCATCCCGAATCTGATGCATCTGTAAATGGATGGTGTTTGGGCGTTGGAGAAGTCAGAGGAATGTCACTCATCACATGCTCTGTGAGTCCACCAATGCAGGTCCCGTAATTAATAGGGAGGTAACTGAGTTTTGAACTCGAAGGTGTGGGATCATAGTGAGTTGATCCATGTCTGTAGAGGACATAACATCAACCTTCTTCTGAAGGTCATATCCTGTAGAGACGTTAGGTTGCCTAGAAGAGACATCCATCACCCTAGAGACCTGCTGGGTTGAATTGATATGGATTGAATCATCGTAATAGTCTTGACGAATCGATCCTCTGGTGGACATAGATATCCCTTGTGGTGTTGGAAACGCACTCCAATATATACGATGACTTGAACCGGAGTGGTCTGGGACTTGGACGAATTGACTAGGAGGCCTTGGTAGATAATAAGCTGAACCAGAATAGCATGTTCTGGTGTAAGTTCTTGGTCTGCTGCCAGGAATCGTCCAGGTACTCATGCATTCGTACTACCTGGAGGTGGGCAAACCTGATGACTGGCACTGTAATCTTGGTGAACAGCCAAGGGGCTATTGATATCCGAATGGAAAGACCTGGAACTCGTGGCTTTGATCCTTGATTGCGGGTCGAGACTGATGAGCCAATTTCCTGTCCTCGAAGTCGACCGCAACTTCTGTACTGATTCCATCTGGAACTTTGGATGAGGTACCAGGAATGATTTGTTGAGGATCTTTATAATCCTCATGTCGGATGAATTATTCTTCGGAACTAAGAATACAGGAGAATAAAAAACCTTTTGTGTTGTTGATCTCCAATAGTTTCGGAATGGCTAGCTACTTTTGTCGCTTCCTGACAGCCAGTTCTGCTGCCGCTAGCTTGGCTCCAACTAGACAAATCTGCAGCCGACAGCCTGAGATGTCAGGATGGGATGCCTCTTGAAATGCCGTTTTTTATCCATGAGCGCCGACGTCTAGGACCCAGTAGTCAAGCGTAATCTGCTTCCAACTTTCGGCGTATGACAGAAGACGCCCTCCCACTGGCCTCAGAGTCGGCATTATGTTGAAAGACGGTAGGTGTAATCGCAGTCCATAGACATAACCAGGTCGAAAGGGTCTATAAATTGTTGGCAAGGAAGTTAGAACCTGAATTCACCTTTGTCCCCGGACTTGTCTTGGCGATAGGCTCCTTGTTTCTTGTAGTCAGGCTGACGAAACGAATCCTGAGAAGACTGATGTTTGTCGTACCCCTCGGTTGGAACGAATCCTGCCCGGAGGGAACAAACTTCTTCTTTGGTGGCTGTTTATATGATGAGTCCTTCTGATCACTTCGGGGATAGGAAAATCCCTGTGCATTGACAGCTAGCTTGATAGTCGACACCTGGATCGTTCAGTTGTGTCTTGTCTGACTTCGTCTATGACATGTCCTAATCTGCCGTTGAATATCTTGGGAGCAGATATCGGTTATGACATTATCAACTTTTTCGTTTGGTTGGAAACAGCTCTTGAATTAATCTGTGCTAGTAGTTGTTTACGCTGTACCCGGATTAACTGTGAAGACATCCTGACTTGGGTGGATGAGTAAGTCTTCCTGCATTCTGGCTATGGTGTATAGCAGGCTGTGGATGAATCCGACCTGATCCGTCCTAAATAGTCATAGGAGTCTCTGCGGATATGCTATCATATGATGTCTGCAACGGTGGAATGATGTACCTGATAGGAGGCGACAACCAGTTGATATATGCGTCAATGTCCATAAAATGTCTGGACGTCATAGACATGTCTTTATCCCGGGAAGCAGGTAGCGTGACTTAAGCATTAGGGTTTGGTACTAGTTTCATAAAAGTCCTCTCCAAAACTTTATGGACTGGAAGTGGAGAATCATGGGTTTGATACAACTCCCGCTTCAATGAAGATAAGGGTAGCTGGTCATCATGTCTGAGATTGAGTAGGCTTTCAGGAGCCTGATGTACCACCATGCCTGTCTAGCTTGGCTACGGCAATGTCTGGTGGATATGTTGAGATGATATGGGAGCATGATATCCTCTGTATTCCAGCATTCCCTCTGTATAATCCAGTTGGGGTGAATCGTCAGACTGATTTACCTCCTCATATAGGTCCGATTCCGCCTCGGAATGACTGTGGGTAACTCCCGGGAGGGGTGGATGTTAGTCATAATCCATACACTCAATATGTTCCCTGTGCGGTTCATCAATCTCTGGTGTCCAGGATCCCGCTATGAGCAAGGTTTGTGCGGCTTGTGACGACTGCCCGTGTATAACTGAACCCGTACGGGAATGATGGTCCTCCATCAAACCACCAGGCTGTCCCATGATGTAAACTCCGTCTCTGTCGGTAGACCCTGGACAGCCCTGCGCTGTCCAAGCACTTGGCTTGGGTACCATCGGTTGATGGTAACTATGAGGTTGAAATGACGCTCCCGTAATGTTCTGCTGGGCTACCGTGGGGTCCGTGCGGACCGTACGGTGTCTTAGATGAGGAAGATACCATGCGGTACCATGATTGGACCCAAAAAGATATATAGATGCCTGTGTCTCATGGGAGGGTAATGCTTGGGAGCTTCTACCTGGCTGGTACGTATGGTCATCTGGGGTAGGCCTTATAGCAGTGGCTGGTCTGAACAGATGGCTGTTCCCAATGCTGCCTCTTGCCCGGAGGACTTTTCTTAGCCAATACTGTCTGCTTCTTACATGGTCATAGAGAACGTAGAAGTAGATTCATTCGACAGCGTAGTAGGTATAGAAGCCATGGTTTGAAGCAGATACTGTCTGTTTTGTGAGCATCTCCCATGATCATAAAATGGCCACACTTCTTACAATCAGGAGGAGGGGAAGACTCCATGACAACCTCACAAACACCTCTAGCCAGCAATACTTACGTGAGTACAATTAGCAGCTCTTATATGACTTAATATATCCTTTTTATTAGAAAACCATAGATTAAATGGGACACGTCATAGCTTGGGTTGCTATAATGCTATTTGGGAACAACTAATTGTGTGTAATTCACAGTGAAGAGGACGTCTGTTGAAAATCTGAAAATTTAGTTAGAGTGACTGAAGCCAAAATTTATGGCAAAGATGTAATATAAGTAGAGGATTCATGAGAATTATATGCTTATGAGTGCAGAAACATGCATAGCTTATCCTTGTACCTTCTGGCAGACTTTAACACACACACTGAACAAAAAGCTGTAGTGAGTAAATTAGGATCTTTTGTCTCAGTTATTCTGTCTTAACTCCTTCACTTTTCACATGGATACAACCGCCTCCATGGTCTAGTGGTAGGGTGTCTGCCTGGAGAGTGAACTTTTTGAGTTCAATCCCCGGCCATGTCATACCAAAAGACATTAAAAGATGGAACTTGATGTTTACCTGCCTAGCACTCGGCATTAAGGGGTGAAAACAAGGACTGGTAGGCTCGGAGTCAGTATACAGTGTTAAACTGTGGCATGGTATCTCAGTGGGCCAGCACAATATTGCAGGCATACTGCTAAAAGTGGTGGGTGTAAAACCATACTCACTCACTCCTATGCTTTTAACAAACACATATCACAGTCAGTCTGTTTCTTTGTGGAATGCAAACAATTAATCTACTACCATAGTAAGCAATAACAAGGAATCATGAATGAGACAGCATTACATACCACAACTGTGGTAGTGGAGACTCTAGCAGCCTCTTGTGTTGGGTTGTCTTGAGCCTGTACACCAAATGTGATTCGTCTTGGTGCAGTTGGAGATTGGTCAAACTCAGCAGTGGTGAAGATAATGCCCTCAGTTGTTGTGACCCCGAAGGGTGGAATAGTCTGCTGTGACATGTCCCGGCTGTAGGTCACCATACCATTAGGACCTATATCCTTATCAGTAGCCTGAAAACAAACAATTAACACTTTGTTCATAAACATCTAAAACTTAAAGTCAAAACCTTATTTTTCAATTGTTATACACTTTGACCAAAAGAATACTAGATTAAAAAACCTTAATGCAATATTTTATAACATAAATGCATGTTGTAGAAAATATCCTGGTGGATTATTCATTTATTATTCTAATCACACTTACATTGATTCTGAGAACTTGTTCATCAGGTTTAGCCTGGATAGAGATGGCTCCATAGTATTGGTCCTTATTGTAGCCACTTATCGGGACATCTTGGTACTTGAAAATTGGATTATTGTCATTGACATCAGTGACTATCAAGATAATATCTGCGACTCTCCAGGAATCTGCATTGCAACACAAAAAGAAGAATTACAAAATAAGAAATTCATAACAAAAAGATGTCTGGGTTTAAAAGGATATACACTAAACATACTGAATGTACATACATTCAGATATCACATACTAAAATGTACATGACCCGTCGATGATAGTAAAAAAAACCTGCTATTTTTGACAATCGTCTTCATGCATGTAAAGCAAAACTCTCTTCCCAGTTGGCAATTCCTGTAGGCATTATGTGTCTGTTATACATAATCAAGCGATGAAAAGTCATCAACAAAATGTGTACACACAGATTAGAAACCACTAGCAGATAAGATAGACACAATTTTTATGGATAACAACTTCTATAATACTGTGAAAAGCAATGTTTTGGTATAGATCCTTATACCGTTGTCAAGCTAGGTCCTTGACAACGGTATAAGGATCTATACCGAAACGTCGCTTTTCACAGTATTAAAGAAGTTGTTATCCATAAAAAATTGTGTCTATCTTGTCATCCGTCAACTTCTAAGTAATGCCTATCAAACAATTTTTTCACTAGCAGATAGCACCCTTTTGAGCAAATTTATATATTTCATTCTGAACATTTGCATGTCTGACAAAATCCTCTTGTATGAACATGGTGTGTCTAATGCATAATCCATAGTAAACATAAAGATTGAGATGAAAAACAATATTCAGGTTTGGAAATTTCCGTGTTGTACCCAGTATTTGATACCTTCAAACTATAATTTGGACCTGATGACATATTGTCGATACTGAAGTTATTGTGTGTTTTCTGTCAACTTAATTCCAGTAAGATAGGGAAGCCTAAGACCCAACAGTGGAGAGGGTGAGCTGATATGTATACTCACTGTAGGTCTGCACAGCTGCATTGTCAGTACCAATAGCTCGTTTGTTTCTGCTTGGACTTGGTGTGACTCTCACTCTCAGCTTATAGATGTCTCTCTGTTCCCTGTCCAGATTCCTCATCAACACTAAGTAGCAGTTCTTCTTATCAGTATCTGGCTGTGTAGTGAATAAACCTAGCAAAAAACATGCATCATTTAAAATCTTGATTTTCTCATAGGAATTTGTAAAATAAATTGATTTATCATACAATGGGTAGGTTTCTCGGCAGGATAAAGCCAACGGATAAAAACGATATCCGTTGGGGTCATATGCGGATAGAGATGCAAATTTCAAAGGTCAAGTAGGGACTACTTTCACTGTTTATAAACAAACATGGCGTCACCCTTGTCATTCGGCGATCGAGTCGGTATGAACCATCGGGAATTTGGATAAACAACAGGGATAATTGCTATCATTATCAAAAGAACAGTGACTCTAATATACTGAAAATCAGTGTCTATAAATGTTACGTAGCTAAGGCATTTTATAAGTTTTGGCAACTTTGGAGATATAAATTTCGCAAACAATTTTGCCGAGGCCTAGCCAAGGGGGATCAGTAGCCATATCTGTGCTTGTAGACCTCTGCGGCTTGTAACCTTCTCCACAAATTAAAATAGTTCGATTTGGCCGAAATATGTTTGAATTGTTACCGTGTTTCGTTTTGTCGCTGTGTGTACATCTGACTACACTTCTTAACGTTATGACAGGACAGACCGACTGTGAACAAGTTCTGACCGTGGCAGTGACGTCTCATAGACTAGGGTTAGAGTAGCTTCCCTTTGACAAGGGGCAGTTACTCTAGCGGACAGACCAATGGATTGCGGCGAAAGGCATTTCAAAACAATTGTTGTTTTGCGTATATGTTGCTTCGCCACTGTATAAGAAACAGATTTCAGTTGGAACTATATTGGCTACTGTCACTGTCCGACTGACACATCACTTATACCCTGTGACGTAATAAATATTAATGCGCGCATTCCAGGAAAACTCGCAATGTTTCAGTAATGTTTGTGAGAGAGGGAAAGCGATTTTGAAGCACAGAATTAAAGAATGACATTATATGATAAAGAGGTTATCACGCTTGTGTGTTAAGGGATGGTAAATATCCTGTATTAGGAATAAACACTATGTATTTAGCTCGCCAAGGCTCGCTAAATACAATGTTTATTCCTAATGCAGGATATTTACCATCCCCAAACACACTCGCGTGATAACCTCTATTAATTTAGACATGCAGATTAGGCATGAACAATAATTACAAAAAATGCAGTAGCTTCATGCATGAAGTCATGTTCTCAACACCTTTAAAACAGCTATAATACTATCTCATGCTGAAGATTTATCAACCAGATAAGGTTCTTATTCAATTTTAACACAAATGATTATTACATAACTAAAACAAATTGTGAAACTTATTAAAATACAACTCACCAGAATCATGCAGAAAAAAGAAATATGTAAAGAACAGGTATACAGTTAACTATATTACTAGTTAATTTGTTATAGTTAAATTACATGAGAGGTTCAGATAGCATGCAGTATGATAGCTTAATAATAAACCCTTTACAAACACAAGGGTTTTGTAGTAAAATAAACAACACTTTCTTAACACATTGATTTCATGTAACAGGACAAAAATGTTTGTCAGAACATACCAGTCTCTACTTCATCACCACTAATGATGGAACACGTGACTTCATTGTTCTGCTGATTCACAACATCCAAGAACAGCACAGTCTTGTTCTGGACATTTTCAGGAATTTCTTGGCTAAAAAACAATAATAAAACCTATGTCAACAAGCCTTTCCTAATCAGCATGATCTTACCTACATGTGTATGCAATATTACTATTTAACACAGCTTATCATATGTACTTAAATCTTGCTCAAGTCTAATTGCCACAATGCAAATTCACAGAGGTGTTATCTATTCTACTGGTTTTATGTACTGTGAAAGAGCTACAATCTTGGCAACACAGGTTGAAATGAAACCCTCACAAACAAAACATCTCCAGTGTGTTGACTGCATAAAAATGTCCATATGTTTAATAAATCCTCACAAGCTACTGACTTGATCATCAGTCGAACAAGAGTTACTCACTAATATACAGGTTGAATGAAGCCAAGGTCTCCAAGAACCACATTAATTGGGGTGATGCTGACTGTCACGTTGATTTGCGAGTATTTCCGGTTCCAACTACGGTCAGTAGCCTCAATCAGAAACTGGAGAAAAGAACACATGCATAAACCATTTTATCTAAGGATCTTGACAGCAATATCTGAAACTCTTTAGTCATCATACAAGTGAGATCACTGGTCACTGTATAATATATACTCACGGTAAGTACGTAGTTTCCTTCGTTGTTATCATTGGTCAGTGGTTGATTAATGAAAATGTTGCCATCAGAAGCTACTCCAAAATATCGCACAATCGAAGATGGACCAATGATACGGTATTGTATTTCTGCATTTGGTGTCTGAAATTGAGAACATTTAAGCATGCAATAATGTAGTGAAGAAAGTAAAAGAATTGAAAGTCAATTAAATGTGCTGGGAACTGTACTGCAAGGTTAACATTACAAATATGTCTCTAATCCATAAAAATATTCAGAAGTTGTATGGAGACAAACGGAACAGGAAACTACTGTTTCTTCATTTTGAGTCATCATTTTTGTGAAAAAGGAGCTCTGCCTGATCAAAACAAAGTTCAATTGGTAGTCTTTAATAAAAGTCCATCCTTCGAATCTGTTTATGCACACCTTGCGCTTAATGTGCTGAATATGCTATACCTAAAATGATCATCAATCTAGATTTATTTAGTCCTTAACAGTAAAAATCCCCAAAATGGAATTACAAGTTTTCTCATTCATATTATCACATACAAGTTACAATAAATGTTATGGCTTTGCCGAGTTGTCTTCTATTTTGATGTAACCTATTTTTTACTTTCTCCCTTTTCTGACGGTCGATTTCATCCCGAAATATTATGAGAACATGAGTAAGGTCAGAGCTCACATGAGACTTAACTGTCAACAGAACCAGTAAAGAGAAAGAGTCTCTAAAGCTTAGATTTACATTATTATACATTGAAAAGAATGTTAAATACGTCTGAATTAAAAAATAAAAGAACTTATAGAAATCCAACTTCAGTTGGAAGAAAATACCAAATAATTTACCCAACTTAGCCTGCCAAGGAATCCTACATAAATCACTGTGTATACATCAATACTTACCAACTGATTCAATGGGACATCGGCATCAGCATCTGTGGCTGTTAAATTTGCGATGACTTTGCCTATGGCATCACGTTCACTGGCATTAGCAAAGATAAATGCTGTTGGGAACTGAGGTGCATACATGTTCCTTATGGTGTTGATGACAAGGGTGGTAGTGGCAGTTTTGGGTTTAGTGGCCCTATCTGTAACTTGTATGGTGAGCTGAAACAAAATATTTTATGCATTAAACCTAAAACCTCAAAGATGGTTGATGAAGTGAACAAAGAATTACATTTCATGAATCTAGAATCTAGAATCAAAATATTTTTTTTTTTTTTTTTTTTTTCTTACCTCAGTTCGGTTTGGTGAAATGTTATTAGCCAAAGGCTTTGCAAGGAGGATATCACCAGATGTAGGACTGATGATGAAGTAATCATTGGCACTGATAGGGCTCACGCCAGAAATAGAATAACGCAGCTGACCACCAAGTGTCTGAAAACAGTAACAAAAGTTAACACCAAACTATAATTTTTAGTGAGCATCTTATAGTGAGTTACATTATACAGCCTTGGACATTCATTTTTTAAGACTAATCCAGAGGACTAGTGGAAGCATTATGTCACTAATACTTGGAGTTTGTGGCTAGTCTTGCTTGCAAAAAGACAAAAAAAGTAGGAACAAACAATCTTTACATCAAGAAATCATGAATTTATAGCAACATAATGACAAACAGATATGGTCTGTGAAACATTGTTAAATTAACTTACAGAATCACTATCCGCATCAGTGGCTCTAATTGTAGTAATGACTGTCAGTATAGCTTTGTACTCGGACACATCCACACTATTATTGTGTGGATTGAACACAGGGCGATTGGGGTTTCTCACTATATTCACAGTGACAGTTGCAGTATCAGATCTAGGGGAGGATCGGCCATCACTAGCAACAACTCGGATCTGAAATTAGATCAATCCCCTTCAATACATATACATATGACAAAAGAAGATAATTCTTTAATAATGTTTTCCAGTTCTAACATCTTATATATACCACAGAATTAAGATGGTAAACATAATTTATAATTTATCATTTCTTTATAACACAAAGAGTGAGTTGGGTTTAAAGCTGCTCTGAACAGTATTCCAATTATATCATGCCATTATGATATGAGACAAATCCTAAATACAAGCTTTAAAGGTTAAGCACATTGCTGAAAACAATAGTAATATATTTTCAGGTAAATGTAATACATACAATATATCGATCCTGCAGGTCTTGAGTGAAAGGTCTGGCAACTGTGATGAGGCCAGTGGATGGCACAATATTGAAGTAATAGCTATCTGGTGGCTCCTGGAGGATGGTGTAGGTCACTGTGTCCTGAAAAGAAGAAATAATAATAATGTCCATGTTCTTACATCAAAGGAAGTGAATTATTCTCTAAACTGAATTTCATGATTAAAAAAACTCTCCTAAAAAGATGCTGTCAAACTGTAACTATTTGTGTTGAAGTTGTTGTCAAGAAAGACTCACCCCATCAGGATCTGCAGCATTAACATCTACTATGCTTGTGCCCTCACTGGTCACTTCAGGAACAGTTCTTTCGTACAAATTAGGATTGAAGACTGGTGCACTTGGATTGCGAGCAACGTTAACTGTCACTGTCACCGATGCAGTACGCCGTGGCGATCCACGGTCAATGGCCATAACATTAAACTGGTAAAAGAGAGGTAGGTGGATGAACACATGAATTCAGAACTGTTTCCAAGATACAATCATTAAATTGGAATTTTGTAAAGAACAGGCTCACCTGTTTCAGATACAATACATAGGTGGATTTTGATGTGTAATAAAAGGTACATTCAAGACATTTAGTCACTGTGATAATTTAGTAGCTCAACATGATCAGTGGACATTTCCATAGATGAGCTTGGTTCAGGTTTATTTTCAATCCAAGGAAGCCATCAAAGACTTAGGTTGTCTGTTAACACTTAATCAAAATATCAATAACTAATTACAGGATACAACTCCCTAAATTCACATCAAGTATAAAACATGGGCTGAAAATGATATTTTAACATTACATCATCATTCTATGAAATATATGAATTATTTCATAAGAATACTTTTGTTTGCCTTACCAGATATCTCTGGGTGTTACTGTCTTCGGACAATCTTGTAATCACAGACAATGCACCAGTGGTGGGGTTGACGAAGAAATAACCATAAGAATATGATGGTGTAACACCAGTTGTATCAATGGAGAAATCAAGAAGACCGTTGTCACCCTGAAAGCAAAATACAGTTTTAATCATCTGACTTGTGGAATTCAATACGTGTCGAGAGACTGTTTGTTACATTACTGTTTCTTCACTCACGGACTTTACATGACTTGTGTTCCAACTTACTGTGTCAGAATCTGTCGCATTTATCCTTCCAAACTCAACACCCAGTGCCTGATCCTCTGGCAGGTTAAACACCAGGTTTTGGTTAGGGAAAACAGGTGCATTTGGATTCCTCAAGACATTGACTCTCACAATGGCCGTAGTTGTTTCGGCCGTGTTGGACTGTCTGAAGGCTACAACTCTCAGCTGAAACAGAAACATGCCATGCCAACATCACCGTCACAAACAACATGAACATCATTGATATATTTTAACTTTTGTTTTAGCAGGTATCAGAACTGAAATATTCAAATGATAGAGCTTGTTCAACCCCACATTCCGGCGCAGTGATTACTTAGCATTACACCACTGCAACAAGCTAAGTCATCACTGCTTTTGGGTGTGCTTTACATATTGTTTTGCAGAATTATAAAGATATGCTACTACAACTGCAACAGTGAGGAGTACGACAATACATCTTTACACGTCAAAGTGACTGTATCGCTGGCTCTCCATAGGGCTTTGACGTCAACATGAGACTGTACAACCAATGTAAACAAAGGATAACCATGCAAATGGAAATAGTTTTTCATGTTTTGGGATATTTAATGAATAAAAGTAATATATGTTTGTCTAATTTTGTAGACACGTTGAAACAGATAAAAAACAGACATTTTGTTGAATGGACTGGACAAATTGTCACATCTCACTGGCCTGTGGCAGGGGTACTTGGTGGACCACATGGGACTCTGAGTGGGACAGTGGTTTAAACAGTGCACATACCCTGCAACTACCCTCAAACTATGTACATGTACTTACAGTGTAAACGGTGACCTTCTGTGTATCTTCAATAAGTGGCCTGCTGACAGTTATCTGCCCTGTTTGTCGGTTGATACTGAAGAAATTTGGCCCAAGACCATCTCCCCTCAACTCATACTGCAATACACTCTGTGCACAGAAAAGAAATAATATATATAACATATACATATTACAGAAACAATGTGAACAAGGTTTAAGAAATCATATCTAAGAAATGTAATATTATTAAAGATCAGTTGGGGCCCACACTTACCCCACTAATCGGATCTGTTGCTGTGATGGTGAAAATGCTGTCATTGACGGGTCGGTTTTCGTTGATATTGACTTCCACTTCACTGGGTGTGAAAGATGGCAGCCCCAACTTGGAGATTGTCAAAGTAACAGCAGCAGTGTCAGACAAAGGAGGGATACCAGCATCTGTAGCTTGGACATCAAACTGTAACACAACACAAACCCATGCAATACACCTAATAAACACCTAAACCAAACATCCCTCATATGATATATTACTATGGACCATTCAAATCAATGCATGAAATTTAAATGTAATTTGCAATTGAAAGTCCCAAGTAATTTTTAATGTTTTTGATGACACAACTGAAAACTGAGGCAAATGAAGATAGTTAACCTAAGCACAAAAGACAATACTTTCTGGTCCAGATAATTTTATACAAAGAAATTACAATGATAAAATTCCTACAATTGTTATTAGAAATATCCCAGCAGTGGACTGGTCATTTATCTGTACACCAGGCATACCTCTGCTTTATTCTTTATTCTTACACCTTATGTCTTCAAATTAAAACACATCATTCACACTATTCATTATCTTGAACCAACATTTGAATTAATTTCCACTTGAAAAAGATGGAACTATTTTGTACATTAATTGACAAGTGAATAACTTCAATTTTTTTCCGAAAACATGTGTCACCAGCGGAGTTCGAATCTGCATTGTTTGATTTGAAAACGTGTAATTATCAACCTCAGCTATGGTGGCACATGAAAGTATAATGTGTAATGAACTATAAAATATTTTCATAATTTTGTATAATGCTTAAAGGCCAAAATAATTTGTATATATTTTGTGTTAGAGCAGGTTACCCACAACAAGGTTTACATTTATAGCAATTAGATAAGCCTTTGGCGAGAGAAATCAAATCAGGTAATATATATATCCTTGTGCGGGGCCCTATATTTCCTATTATTCCCGTCAGCATGTATTGACAATGTGCAAGCGATTGATAAATACTAGTTTAGGAACCAAAGAAATTATGAAGAGCTGTGCACCATGCATTGTAAATGTCAGCTTGCAACGGAGCTTAGCTCACGTGCAACAGCGACAGAGAAGGCATTCCTCGTGCATCACGCAAGGGCGATTCACGCAGTATAAATACAGACAACAAAGAGTTCTGCTTTATGTTTCAAATATTTTCCACAACATAACATCTTGTCGAAGTATAAAAGTAGGGATGAGTTTTAAGTAGGGGAATATTCTGGTAACTCTCCATTCCTTAAAAATAATGGGCCTCTGCTCCATTATTTTTAAAGAATGGAGAGTTACTTGGACATTCCCCTCTACATAAAATCTAAAATTTTGAAGTATACATAAACTTAAATAATGAGAAAAAGCATACAAGTTGTAAAAGCTTTAGCTATTGAACAACAAGAGTACTTTGCATACCCTCCAGATAGCCTGGGTGATGCGGCGAAGGTCAATACGTGGAGAAATGGCACCGGTCACTTGGTTTATCTGGAATACCCGGTTGGCACCACTACTGAGGATGCTGTATCGTACTTGGCCATTGAGGGTAGTCTGAATATATAAAAAACAGTAATCAACAGGATCATAGGAATTGGTGGACAAAACTAAAAGGATATTCAGAATCTGAGGGCAATCATTTACAGGATCTTCAGAATCTGAGTGCAATCATTTACAGGATCTTCAGAATCTGAGGGCAATCATTTACAGGATCTTCAGAATCTGAGGGCAATCATTTACAGGATCTTCAGATCTGAGTGCAATCATTTACAGGATCTTCAGAATCTGAGGGCAATCATTTACAGGATCTTCAGAATCTGAGGGCAATCATTTACAGGATCTTCAGAATCTGAGGGCAATCATTTACAGGATCTTCAGAATCTGAGGGCAATCATTTACAGGATCTACAGAATCTGAGGGCAATCATTTACAGGATCTTCAGAATCTGAGGTAGAAATATTTACAGGATCTTCAGCATCTGAGGACAATAGTTTACAGGATCTTCAGAATCTGCCGACAATAACTAACAGGATGATCTGAATCTGAGTACAATAACTTACAGGATCATCAGAATCTGAGGCTGAGACAGTGAGGATAGTGTAGTTGAGAACAGGAGCCTCCTCGTCAACCACATTGTTGTAGGAATCCTCTCGCACAAACACTGGCGCCTGGTTGCGGGCTACTATGACAGTCACAGTTGCAGTGGAACTCCTAGGTGTGGAGCTTGTGTCTTGAGCAACCACATACAGCTGAAAAGGATTCATACACATTCATGATGATAAACAGTCAACAGTTATTGACAGAAAGAACTATAACATCCAGTTTAAAATAGGAAAGAAATGTTTCAGTGAAAACATTTCCAGACAGTGCTGCTATTCAATGTCTATCTATTATAGGAGCAATGATCTGACACTATTTAGGGACACTCTGGGATATGATGGCATCCACATTCTTTGGAACATAATACTGATATTATATAGCCTGTGCATGGGACTTACTATGTATCTGTTCTGTGTGGTAGGATCTTCAGACACACGCCTACTGACTGTGATCAGACCAGTGAAGGGGTGAACTGTGAAGTAGTCATTGGCAGCACGGCTTCCATCACTCAGGCTGAACATGATTTGATTCTCTGGGGCCTGTAACAGTCAAGGATATCATCGTCAACTCCGGACATAAAACCTGGTAGTTTTACATAGATAATTAGAAGGACTGAGAACATCATGTGATTAAACCTTGAAAACATCTCTGCTTCAAATCCATTATCCCAATTTTCTCAGGGGTATGTTTTACTCACCAATGGATCACTGTCAGTGGCAGTGACAGCAACAACGTTTGTTCCTTTAGGGTCATAGTCATTGAGGTTAGCTGTGTATTGAGTAGGTGAAAATCGTGGGCTGGCCAGATTGCGGTCAACTGTGATGGTTGCAGTAGTGTAAGACACTTCACCAGCATTACCAGAATCAAAACACTTCACTAGGAGCTGTAATGAGAAGTAAAAGCAAAAATTCATTTTGAATATTCAGAATAAAACATTTGTGGGGGAAAAAAAGAACATATTCCGATGAAAAAAATAACTTTTTAAAACACAGCTTACCACATAATTGACATCCGGTTGTAGGTTTTGAGTTAGGTTGGCCCGAACAGTGATGGCATGAGTAACATTGTTTAGCTCAAAGTAGGTTTGTCCAGGTTCATAGCCCTCAAGTTGGCAAACAACTGTTCCCTGTGTGTGAAAAATTCAAATAATGGAACAGTTACATATTACAAACAGTCACATGATAATAAACACTGTAGCGAAATAGGATTACTTAGAATGGAATTGAATTTGTGTGAATTTTACAGGAACATACTTTGAATCAACTAGATGAAAAAAACATTAGGCATCGTAAGTGCAAGTAGTTGAAATGCAAAACTATGACTGCATTCAGAACATACCACACGATCTGGGTCACTGACGGAGAGGGAGAGTACACGAGTTCCAACTGGCTGTGTGATTGGGATTCTCGTGTTATATGGACGATTGCTGAACACAGGGGGGCCGCTGTTCTTAGTCACTGTTATCCTCACAATAGCATCACCAGTTTTTCCACGACCATCGGAAACTTGCACTTGGAACTGTATTGAGCAAAGACAAATGTGAAGAGAAATATCTGGGCTATAACACAAACAGTGGAATATCCTGGTGTTATGAAGCCTGAACTGACAAACAACGGAGAATCTTGTCCCTGCAAGACAAAGTAATATAACATCCTATATACGTCATATATACTCACCACAAAAAGAAACGTGAACCATAGAAACAAATAGAGAAGTATGTACGTCAAGAAGAGATGTTTCCAATGTGTACCAATGAATGACAAAACTAGCAATCAGTCAAGTGTTACCACAGAGTGACTTTATTTTTATCATGATATGTTGCACGTGATTTCCAAACACTAATTTACACGCTAATCCTGCACAAGACAAATGACGGGATAAGTTCATGAGCATCGGTTCACACAACATACCAGTATGTTCATTTGTGCATCAAACCAATCTTATATCTCTTGAATGGGAGTAAGACTTCTTATATTACCCAACATGTATGGTATTCACATTTCTTTTGGCACTAAGTACATATGTAACTATAATTTTTCTAATGATTTCCTCACTAACGTGAAGCATTTCGTACATTATCTGTAATTACTTTGAACAAACCATTTTGATCAAAACCAAGCTTCCCAGCATCACAAAACAATGTGATGCAATGGTTTAGAAAATAGGAGGGCATGATGTTATGTATTTGTTTGTTGTCTACAGCCAAAGTCAAGTCATAGCACAGAGGCCTGTATGTAATTGAAATGGACCAGACAAACAAGTGTTTGATATTTAGAGCACATATATAACAAAATTAGGTTACTATGATACACGATCAATCAAATCATAGAGCCTGACCAACTGATTAAGTTAGCTGCCTCTCATAGGTTATTTGGGACCAATTTTATTCCGGAATCAACACTCTCTGAACAGTGACAAAAAGTAAAATGGATTCAAAGCTTAAGCTGGAGCTGCTAATAACATGATCCTACCTCAAATGATGTGCTGTCAGTAGATCTCAAATCTTTCAGCAGCACAACAACACCAGTTGTTGGGTTGACATAGAAAAAGCTCTTGTCAGTGTCACTACCTTGGTTGCTGAAGGTTACAGCATCCTAAAAAAAACACATACCAGACTGTAACATTTTCTTCTTAGATTGGCTTTTCATAAACTGAATTCTCAGATAGTCATCAACTAAAAATAAAACATACTGTAGACATTCCTTAATCTCCAAATTGAACTCACCCCATCCGAGTCCTGTCCCGAGAGTTGTAAGACTGTGTTGCCCAAGGGGAAGGTATCAGGAATGCTCCTTGTGTATGGGGTGTTGGTAAATACAGGGAAGGCAGGGTTGCGTCGGACGTTGATGGTGAGCACACCCTCTGCCTTATTGAGTGGCCAGGCCGTATCATAACACTGAACCCGTACCTACAAGAAACAAGAACTAAAAGATAAGCAGGTAGCCAAACGAGATGAAGTTGAGCAACCATTGCAAGGTGTTACCATGAATCTCATTTGCTCTAATTTTGTTATGTTTTGTTCAGGTAACCAACATGGAGTAATAATAACAGGTATAACCTTCCATATTGATTTAATATCTTGTTCCTCTTTAACTAATCATAATAATAGATTTCTTTCATACTTCTGGTGAAATGATTTCATGATCTTAGTCTACGTTTCAGTGAAATATGACCTAGCTTGTGATTGGACAGGACAAATTCACACAACCATGCCTTGACATGCCTTGTCTGTCGTTAGACAAGTGACGAACATATTGACATAGAAAGAATGACATATGACTGTACTTGTGGCAAACCAGAGAATCCTTACCTTGTATTCATCCCTGCTGACAGTATCAAGTTTTGGAGAGTTGTTGATCCTTACTTGTCCAGTAGCACCATCAAGAGTGAAGAAAGTGGATGAAGGCCAATCTCCAGTCATTTGGCATCGTACATTCCCCTATTAAACATAAAAATTAACATTTAAAGGAAAATAACTCAAATATTGCTTTAAAAAATGGTACTGATTAAAATCTCAGTATAACAATAAATGTGACAACTGACAACTTTAATGACTAGCTTTGTCAGTGTAGCTGCAATTTTGAAAATGTATTAATATGTATTTGCTTTTTCAACATTTTCAAATATTTCCACTACATTATGCCTGAATCAGAGGTGAGATGCGAAAAAGGAAGAATGGAATTGTAATACATGTAGTATAACTATATTGTGACAAAATGAAAAAGCTAACAGTCAACATACGTCTTGATCAGCATCAAATGGGTCCAAGGTATACACAAGGTCTGTAGGTTGTGCAGACTCCTCAATGGTTACTGATGCAGGCAGGTTACGGATTATAGGAATGGCTGTGTCACGTGGAACGTTCACTGTCACCAGTGTGGTACCGGTTCGAGCAGGATTTCCATTGTCTTTAGCAAGAATTGTGATCTGAAACAACACACATATACAAATTTCCTAAAATTAGCATCTGACTAAAGAATATGCATCATTGCAAAAATTTGATCGAGAGCATGGTTATATAGCCTATGATTTGTCCAAACTCACATCATATCTCGTTGTACGGTCAGTGTCGGCTGTCAAGTTCTTCTTGAGAGTCAGCAAACAAGTGCGGGAATCGACAGCAAAGAATTCTTGTGCTTTGGCAGTGCCACTGATCTCACAGGTTGTGACAGTCTGTAAAATTGTGAGGAAATAATATCAAGTATTATTCAGTGTCACATATTAGATGTCACTCTTAGGTCATACAATATCATCAACAAAGGCAATAACAAAGACAGACTCTACATACACTATCCCTGTCTGTGACATTGATTGGCCGAGACCAAGAGGTTGTGCTGGTTGTCTCTGGCAACTCCAGGGTAACACTGGGAGGGCTGAACTCAGGGCCAAATCCATTTCTGTTTACAGTGATGCGGACTGTAGAGGTGCTTCTCAGATCTGGGTACAAGGAATCATAACCAGCCACCAGGAGCTGTCAAGGGAAAAAATATCTTATCACAATTAACAAACATTTTTTAGGCTGGCATATTGAAAAAGCTTACAATTATTACCTTAATTGAAATTGGAAGGATAAGTAGGGAAAGTTCAATACAGTAGCTAGTTATCATTAAATGTTTTGTCTGATCATCTACATACCTTGTATTCACGGTTGCCGTCTGGTCGTAGATCACTGATAACAGTAACTCTACCAGTACGATTATTGACACCAAAGAATGTCGGTGCTGGGTATTCTCCAACAACCTCATACACCATGTTACCCTGAAGCAAAGTGAGAGAATAGTCATTGCAACTTCTGTCATCTAATTCTGAGAATATGTCGTACACATTCATCTCCATAGAGGCAGGCACACTAATATTGATAATATTGATTGATTTACTGAAATTAAATAGAAACATTGAGAGGGATCATAAACTCACCGGTGGAGTCTTTGTAGCTTGTACATCAACAACAAATGTACTGATAGGGTTCTTCTCATCAACCGTGGCAAAATACTCATTCTGTGTAAACTGGGGGAACTGGATTGAGCCGACAGTGACTTGAAGTGTTGTAGTATCTACATTGGCAGTCGGGAAGCCATTGTCTGTTACTTGGATGCTACACTGAAACAGTGATTGAATCATTGGTAGACATTTCTAATGATCGGCACATAGCAGCATCACATGTTCAAGGAATTATGTGTCTTAAAGTTGCAAAGCCAATAAAGTTATTTCAGAGCGTTTCACTCAACTATCCCTATATGTGATAACAACGATTGTCCAGGGCTGACACCTATTCATACGTGTTATTAATGTTCTGATAATAGTTGTTATCACATTGGGAAATTCTTATCAAAATCTTCCTCACAAATTATTTCATCATTTTATATTTGACTATGCCTGCAGTAGAGGCAGTCAATCTTTCAAGACATTTCATTGAACACTCTATCTATGTCTGTGTGGAATGCTTGCTGTGTGATACAGAATGTTCTGATACAGAGTGAGTGAGTGACTGAGTTTAGTTAACACCGCTTTGAGGTGAGTCGAAGGTGAAATGGAGTTTAACGTCGCGTTCAAGATTATTGCACTTATACAGCGGTGTGTGTGTGTGTGTGTTAGTGTGTGTGTGTTAGTGTGTGTGTGTGTTAGTGTGTGTGTGTGTTAGTGTGTGTGTGTGTTAGTGTGTGTTAGTGTGTGTTAGTGTGTGTTAGTGTGTGTGTGTGTGTGTGTGTGTGTGTGTGTGTGTGTGTGTGTGTGTGTGTGTGTGTGTGTGTGTGTGTGTGTGTGTGTGTGTGCAGTGTACCACCGAAACCAGCCTTTGTTTTAGCCCCTAATACCAAATGCCAGGCAGGGTTACAACAAGCACCATCTTTTAACGTCTATTGGTATGACACTAAACAACAGAGTCATTCCAACACTGCTTTGAAAAGTGAGAGGAAAGCTTAACATGGTAGGAAATCTCGAAGTGATGCAGGTCTTAGAGGATTACTACTTTGGTGAAATCTACGAATATGGTAGACAAATGATAATCTGTTGAATCTAGGATCAAACCCATGTTTATCGATAGCACAAAGGGATGCAATTCGGCATTGCTAATTGCAGAGCTTTTGATGTGTCCCTTAGTGAGAAGAATGCAGTGAATGCAGGGCTGACATATACTTATTGGATTTTCTATCTCAACTTAATTTCAGAATGAGACTATGCTTCATGGAGCACTCACGGTGAAACTGGGAGTAGTGGCCACACGTAGGTTCTTGCTGAGGAGGACCACGCCAGTGTCAGGATTCATGTAGAAGGTTTCCTGGCATCGTGCATCTCCAGTGATGGTGAAAGTCAACTTGTCCTGAACACAATCATACACATATGTTACATGAGTGCATGAACGCAAGCATTACAAAAGAATATACTTATATAAAACTGAAACCAACTCATTACACGTTGACTGGTTCTTACATTTTGGTCTGCATCCTGTGCACTGACTAGATTAGTAACAGTGGTACCAAGACCTGCGTTGTCCTGAATGGTGGAGACATATGGTCCTCCGATAAACAATGGAGATGATGGATTCCTTGTCACAGTGATCACCAATGTACTCTCAACCCAGAATGTAGGAAACTCAGAGTCATAGGCTCGAACACGAAGCTGAAAAAGAAAGATATTTGGGAACTCAGTCAATGCAACAGAATACACATGTACACTCTGTTACCTTAAAAACATGGTTCATTAGTCAATTACTTTTACCAAATTTTATAGCAAATCATGAACACTGACAGGTTTCCACTAGTATGGGTGCCTTATTCATGTGGGTGATGTCTCAGAATCAAGACTTATCAATTCAACTCTTTAACAGTGACAAAGTGCTGCTCACAGTGTATTGTGCATCACGCCCTGAGCGGAGGTCCCTGCGAATTGACACAATGCCAGTTGTCTGGTTGACGGCAAAGAAGTATGGGGCTAGACCCTCTCCTTGGACTTCATAAACCATGGTTCCCTGAAAACAAAAGTACTTCATATCACAATGCGCCCTGTCATTCAACAGCTAGTTTGTCAGCAGAATTTCAATACTGAATCTTACACACACTCAATCAACCTTGATTAATCTTTCATAAATAAGGTAACCACAATCATTGAAATACATCCATTTGGACCTTATTAGTTTCGTGTATCTATTATGTATCTGGCTATTGTATAATAATGGCTTACTCATCAAGTAGAAATATACGTACAGCAATATTAGCTTTGCTGGCGGACAAAGTATATATGTTGGTAGTGACTGGACGATCTTCTCGAACAGTTGTGTCGAATCTGTTGCTGCCAAAGGATGGCCTTTGGATGCCAGTGATGATAATATTGACATTCACATTAGAGCTCTTTGCAGGACGGCCACTGTCTGTAGCCCTCACATTCATCTAGAAAACATGCAAGAAAGAAATAGCTGTGAAACATTGCCACGTGCTGTTTTTCTTCCAATGACTCATGATACAAGAAATGACATGAATTTACTAGTAGAAATATACAAACACAATGGGTTAATTATCTTTGATCGAAGTTTGCTATAGAGACAGGCAACCATACTGATCCTACCGTGTATGTGCGTCCTCCTAAGCCCAGGAGTTGCCTTCGAGGGTAGATAACTCCAGTTTCCCTCACAATATAGAAGTAGGACAGGCCATCCGCACCATTCAGATCAGATGTCAGTTGATAAATGACAGTATCCTAACAACAAAAATTATTGCCATTAACAATCATTAAGGAGCAAGAAGAATCAATTCATGTACACGTACATAATAAAAGGAACCTTGATTACTTACCCTGTCCTGATCAGTTGCATTTATATTAATGACAGGCACTGCCAACTGGTGAGTCTCCAGTATGGTGTTTGTGTAGGTCGACTGCGAGAACTGCGGACTGTTGGCGTTACGCACTACGTTGATCTGCACAGTTTCAGTCACACGGACATCAGGCACCTGGCTGTCATACACAGTTATTTGAAGCTGAAATACAAAAAGAAAGAAACTTGAAACTACACAGTCTATAGTTGAGTCCTAGGAATAATGAAATGGAAATCGTGCTTTCAATGCTTCATGCTTATCACAAAATATTGTAGGAGTGAGTGAGTGAGTATGGTTTTACGCCACTTTTAGCAATATCAAATCCTCTGATGTTGGAATCTGTTTGTCTGTTAACTTTCCTTAACCTTATATAAAACTATTGTTAGGTTACCATCAACAGCTGGAGGCTATTTGGTGAAATTTGTGTACATAAAATAATGAACCTATGAGAAAATGTACTGGTAAATAAAAGCAACAACTTAAATATTTAGATTCAAATCATTGAGTTTTCAAGTAAATTTTGTTCCCAAAAGATCGGAACACATTGGCTTCATGCTCCACTTTCATAAACAGGCATGATACACAACCCTGTGCATATACTGCCTACCTGTATACTGCCTATGGGATCAACTGAAATGTAGCAGACTGCTCGACATACTTACAGTGTAAGAATCACGTCCTAAACCATCATTCTTCAGATCCTGTGTAATGTTGATTCTGCCATCGTTTCTGTTGACACCAAAGAAGGTCTGTGCAGGGTAGATACCTGTGGCTTCATACACAAGGGAGCCCTGGAGAAAACAACAATGTATAAGCAATTAAAAAATGTGAACTTATCAGAAAAATTTGAAAATACATATCTTTGACATTAACCATATTGGAATTCTGAACTACATTGTGGCTGTTCACCTTCAGATCTGGATCTCTTGCTGTTACACCACTGTAGATGATTGTTCCCAAAGAGCCAGTTTCTGACACTCCACTAGCAACGTAGGGGGTTCCAAGGAACTCTGGCGGGAATTGATCCTTCTGAATGTTGATGATGACTTGGCTACGATCTTCCTGGGTCAGAATTGGTCTGTCAAATGCCCGCACTGGCAGCTGCAATAGCACATGATGAAAATAAAATATGTAATAATATAAATATGGAAGTACCACCATGCAATAAACAAAACCAAAGTATGTGATCCACAATTAAAACAAGTGCAACAGCAGTAATAGAATTAGGTTAATGTATCATATGCTTATTTTGAAATATTCATACCGTGAACTGCGTGGTGGGGATATTCTGCACAGAGCGTATGAGGAAGACATCTCCAGTTGCTCCATTAAGGAAGAAATAGCTGCCAGCATTTGTGGTGGCCTCAAGATTGTAGGTTACTCTGTCCTGAAAACATACATATGGTCTGTAATTTGTGTTTTTGTCATGTTATCAAATTTCATCATTATTAAACGGTCTGTGAGGAAATGATACTAGATTTATGGTAGTTTTCAATGCCATCATAAAGTTATAAGTTATTATATCTCCTCCTACCCCATCTGGATCTACAGCTGTGACCGTGGTGACAAGGGTTCCAACTTGCTTGTCTTCACTGATATTGATGACATAAGGGTTGAGGGTGAACTTGGGGGCATTGCTGTTGACATTCACCCCAATGGTGACTGTTTCAGTATTACGCACTGATGGGATCTCTGAATCGTAGACAGACACACGAAGCTGTAAGAAACAGAAATAACGTTTATTAGAAATAACAACTTCAAACTTCATGATTTATGAAGCTCTAATTTATGTATAGTTCTCATGATGATTTACCTGGGGCTGACAATGATAGACACCAGCAAGAACTGGACGATGAACCTGTAAGATGACTTACTGTGAACTGCCGGGTCTGAACAGTTGTGAGATTTGATCGGACAGAGATGACTCCAGTTGTTGAGTTGATCTTGAAATAGCTTGGAGCTGGGATGTCTCCAACGATTTCATAGACTAGCTGACCCTGCAAAATACCATACAGGAATAGATAATATGTGTAAGTAAGTAAAGACAGACTACAGTATCATTTCAGAACACTTTACATAACAAGCTTTTATTATACAAAACTCTGTGTATTTTAATGCCAGCATAAAACACCTACCCTTAGATTATCATCTATTGCATTGACATCAAAGATGACTGTGTCCACAGCGTTTGTCTCAGATGCACTAGCGAAGTATGGTGTGCCCACGAAGCGTGGTCGGGCATCCCTCACAACTTGTATAACAACTTGAGTATCAGACACCCTTGGTGGATCTCTCTGATCACTTGCACGAACTTGGAACTGTAACAGAAACAATGAAATGGAGGAATTCCACACTAAGATTGCTGCAAAGAAACAGGCAAAGTGAAGGCTGAGGCCAAAGTGAAACATTCCAAATGAAATGGAAATCGCTTTCCATTCATGTTGCCAGTACTTACCACATATTGGGACTGGGTGTTGAGAGACAAGGATCTCCTAACATAGATTTCACCAGTTCGATCATCGATGAAGAAGTATGTCTGAGCCTGATCATTAGGCAGAACCATACTGTACCGCACAGTGTCCTGCAACAAACAATGCACATCAGCATTACACAAGTTAGATACCTTTTGAGAAAAACAAAATCCGTTTTTGTCCACTTGTCCTTATAATGATATCATATTGCAAAACCCTTAATACTGGCAAATTTCTGCTGGTCCTTATGATACCTTAATTATTCAGAAGTTTGACAAGGAGTAGTGCCAATTTCTACCACTGTATCAAGGTAGTGAAGTAATATCTTTTCTGATCAAGAACCTTCCCTTGACAGAACAGGGTCAAGCCCTTCATACGAGAGTGCAATTTGAACTCTACTGATATAATTCTGACCAGCATCACAATCTGTTCGGTGTGCGTAACTATCACTGTTACTGAAGAGAAAAGAGAAAAGAGAAAATATTGCACACTCACCCCATCACTGTCTGATGCATTCACACGAAGTACTGAGGTTCCTGTGTTGGTGAACTCAAACACTTGAGCACTGTACTGAGGGGAGGTGAACTGAGGTACCCCAACATTACGGTCAACATAGACGGTTATTCTTGCTGTCCCTCTGTTCAGGGGGAAATCAGAGTCGTACGCTGCAACTGTCATCTGAAAGTGAGGCAAAGGTTGGCTCCATGATTTGTGACTGAGCTACCACATACCACAGCTATTTCTACTCATCAAAATTTAACCAATCAACAACACCATTGGTCTGATAGTTAAATGTCACACACAGCAATATACCAGCTATATGACCTCAATCAAGGGTTTGTCAGAAACCCGTGATTGATATTATGATCAACATCCCATGCCATCAGAGTACATCACCGAAGTCAACATGCAGTCAACGAAGTGAGAGAACCTGACCACCTGATCCATTCAGATGCCTTGTCCTGTTAACACAGCATGCCAGAAACCTATTTTAACACATAAGTTCCACATGGTCACCACAGATAGCCTACTTACATCAAATCTGGAAGTTGATGTGGATGTGAGTGGGCGTCTGACATATAGTCTTCCATTATTTTCATCCATCCAGAAGAAAGCCATTCCCAGGCCATCACCAGTAATCACATATTTCACGGTTCCCTGGTATGACACAAAAAATAATTGTCACAAATCATTCATGAAATGGAACACAATTTAGCAAAATTGTAAAAAATAACATCCATACACCTCTGTTTATCCCCAAATCACTCTCTTTACCTTTCAAAAGAAATCAAGCTACTGTACTGAAACAAAATTAAAAGTGCTGCTGTAACAGAATAATGCCAATGCACATACCTTTCTGTCTGCGTCATTAGCAAATACTGTAAGGACTGGTTGTGTGTCATTTACTGCAGTGTTCTCTGGGATGTTTGTCTGGTATTCAACCTGGCTGAATATTGGAGCACCAGCATCTCGTTCAATGGTAACATAAACATATGCTTGACTTATTCGACGAGGGGACCCATTGTCGATTGCTTGTACAGCAAACTGAAACCAAACCAAGAAACATATGAAACCAAACCATGTTTCAAACTGCCTGGCAAAGGTTGCTAGGCACTTCACAAAGAATGTACAGTCCGTAAAACAAACTTAAATGTACCACAATATCCAGATCAAATTGGCCCTATATAAACTTGGATACATCATAAAGACAATACTACCAATAGTTTTATCAATACTCAATGCTGATTGGTCAGTCCTAGCAATATAACGTGACATTGCTTCGTTGTTGAAAACACTATGTGATAATGTCAACCATTTTTCATGACAACACAAATGGATAACATTATGTCCTCTGAACAACAAGCTGATTTCAGTGAAGTTCTCTGTAGGACTGACATTCCTTATATTAACATAGTTTCTCCAAATGACAATGAGTAAAAATATACAGAACCATCTTCTAGAAACTTGGAATTACAGACTATCAGTCCATTGTGAAAGAATATTTTAAGTTCTTCACCAAAGGCTTGGGGCTTACACCATTTGCTTGTTTTTTTAATGCCTCACTCAGCAATATTCCAGCTATATGACGGCAGTCTTTCATTAATAGAATCTGGACCAGATAATCCAGTTATCTGATTTCATGAGCATTGATCTACACATTTTGGATATGATGACATGCATCAACTAAGTTAGTGATCCTGACCACCCGATCCTGTTAGTCGCCTCTTACAAGCTTGTAGCCTTTTATTGCAAGCATGGGTTTCTGAAGACCTGTTCTACCCCAGTTCTTCATGGGTAGCTTACACCATTCATTCACTTGGGACAGATTATCTGTAATTCCTCGTATCTCAGTAGATCCTCTACACATTGGACTCACCCTGAAGAAGTTAGCTGTTCCTGGGGCTTGTAAGTTACTGCGGGTAAAGACGATGCCAGAAGTGGTTCCCAAAGAGAAGTATCTAGAAGCTGTCTGGCCCTCAGTATCTTGAAGAATGTAGTACTGGATGGAGTCCTGGCCAACACACATGTATGCCATTAAATCAAATACTCATTGCAGTAACAGAAGCCCTCCTACAATGACATCATCATTACTGCATAAAATAAAGATGTGGTCCAAATTCTTACCCCATCAGCATCAGAGGCGTTGACTGTCAGCAGCATGCTGTTGATTGGATAGGTCTCAGGAATGGTGATTCTGTACTCTCCTTCAGCAAATACTGGGGTGCTTGGATTGAGGTTTACAAAGATGACCACATCCTCACTGGCACGCATATTTGGGAATGCTGTATCATATGCTTGCACACGGAGCTGGAAAATGACAGAATTCTTCAGTGTACCAAAACTAAAATGGTGATGCACAGAATAAATTGCTAGAAAGCAGAGTTGTTTTAAACAGGATATCTGTCAGACAGTGAAAAACAGTGCAAATTATTACAAAATACCAGGAACATTGCACAACTTGAAAACCATAATTGCGTACAATGTTTACATTTGTATTAAGTACACAACAAGTGGAATAATGATAAACCATGCTGATTGATGTTTCCTAAAGGAGCAATTGATTGCATAAAATGAAAAGGTATTCTTACTGTGTATCTGGATGTTCTCAGGCTGTCAGTAGTGAGGTTCTTCAACACATGTATTTCTCCAGTGGTCTTATTCAGACGGAAGAAGTCAGGAGCTGGGTACACGCCAACTGCCTCATACTCAATACTCCCCTGAAGCAATGATACCAACTCATACACAACATGGAATTTCCAACACACACAAACAAACATTGTGACAACTACACGTAGTAGATCTGTAAAAGTGATCCTGCAACAGACATACCTGAAGATCTGGATCTGTTGCCGAGACTCTCGTCACATACGTGTTGGCTGGTTGAGTAACAAGGATATTGGCATTATATGGCTGGCCAATAAAAGTGGGATTACGGTTACGTGGTCGGTTGATCTCTATTGTAACTGTTGCATTGGCAGTTCCTCCACGGCCATCAGATGCCTCAATCACCATCTATAACCAATTACAACAATGACACATAAAGATTTGGGTGACATTAACATGCGACATATCTCCAGGAGGATCTTAGTCTCTGTAAGAGCAACCTAAAGAGTGATCGTTATGGGATAGTGAGAACACAGGTAAGGCAATTAGACTGTTCACAATAGAGATTGAGCTACAAACTTTATAAATATGGAATTCATTAACATTCATTGGTACTACATGTATTCAACAGTAAAATAATGCACAAGTGACACAACCAATATGGTAAATATTTGTTCAACTGTAAAACTAACAAACTGCATTCAATGCACCAACTTTGAAGCACCGAGGAAACATAAATTGATATCCCTGTTTCCATGGATGGAAATGAACTCCATATTCTTTAAGGTAGGAGTACACGATTCTATTCTCAGATATTTGGGAGAATGTTCAAGATAGGATAGAAGATTGCTTGCTTGAATTTACTTCCTTTCTAATTTTGTAGTGTTTCATACATTATCATTTGACCATCACATGACAATTGCATTTTCTTCATCACTTCAATGCCACCAGGGTCATGGAGAGCAATCCAGGTAAAAGACAACTGATACTAAATACAACCAGGTTACTTCAGATACTGTCTTGTTAAAGCAGAGAGTTTGATTGTTTAAAATATTTGCTTAAATCTAATAAGTTAAACAGATCAGTACCACTCTTGTTTGTGAATACTCATCAGTGTCTGTCTGAACATGTCTATTAAAGGAAAGATATTGAGGAGCCATACATATGGACAATTTTCACCATTTTGGTCAAAGAAAAGCCAGACATAAAACCATAATAATAATTTTGAAAATGATTTATATTATGAGGATATTGAATTTCATACTGAATCATTTAATGGGTAAATCAATTATACATAAAAATGTAAAGACTAAAACTTTGGTATTAAGAACTGACACAGATATGACATTAATGTAACTTTCACAAGGCAACAAGCATGGTAAGATCTGTCTTCTTATCGGCACAAATTCTAGGAGATTACAGGTCGGGTAACTAAATAGCAAAACAAAACTTTTCAACTATTCAGTTAAAAAATGGGTAGGGTTCAGTACAACTAAGCATATTTTTTTTACCAAGTGAAAAATACACATTTGTAGAAATGTAAGGCTAAATAAACTTATACACACAAATATTCAGGGTTGCACAGGAGAAACCTTAAAGACTGCTGACTCAGATGTAAAATTAATGTGAACTATCTGTGAAACCTATTTCATGAAATTTCACGGAAACAGGATGCCCTTTTTGTTCTAAATGAACTGAAAAGAATGGTGCAGCTCATTTTGGCCAATAACTTTTTATAACCTAACCACATTTGTTTTGTTGCACACGCCAAAAACAGGACAAAGTCAGGCTGTTATTTACATATTACAACCATAAATCTTAGATCAATCAAGTTATCTCAACAGCAAAATAATTATTTTCTGATTATTGTCAAGATTGCTGCCAGCTGTTATATTTGGCTTTTAAATGCATGGTCTTAGACAAATTGACTGCGTCTTATGCATCTGTATCTCCACCTGAACTTTGAAATCATTCATTCATCATTCAATCACCAAAACATTTCAGCCTTGTAAGCCTTTTGTGTTTGATGAGACAATTTCAGAAAAATAAAGATGGAAAACAGATTGAATGCCTAGAACAAGCTTAACCCTCTTTATGGTTAGAAACTAAACTAAATTTCAGCTGACTCCATCAGGTGGTACAGGATAAGCAAAAATGCAAAGGATTTAAAGACTATGACAACAAGGGAGAAGGAAGGTGTAATCACTTTACCCTCAGGCCCTTCAGGCCAACCGGACTAAACAAGTTTAGGGCGACTCATATAGAAACTTAAGAAAGCATTTGACACAACGTCAAAGCAATTCAAAGTGTTAGTTCAAATAAAACAATGTATTCTGACCATACATATTAAAATTGATAATAATACTTACAAATGCACTACCATTACGGTCCTGTGTAGTACAAAATGATTAGCTGTCTACTTGCTTTACAAACAAGATGGTATATACACAAGGGAATCATGTATGGTCTTATCTTTTTTTCCTAGTTGCCGAGGCAATATTGATATTTAGGGACTTGGATTTATTCTGATGATATCAACCATAAAACTGGATATTAATTTCTAAAAGACTTATCACCCTACAAAGTAATGTATCTAGATAAGCAGCCACTGGTCATGACAACTACACCATTATAAACTGATTTTACGAACTAATCATTTTTACTGGTATTCAGTAGTTTTGATCCCTATTCCAACTTACTGAAAAGGAATAATATCACCAAAAGAAAAGTACATATACACCTTGAAAACCTGCTTATTAATAAAACCATGTTCAATAAACAAATACAGCAACTAGAGAATGCTGTTGGGGTACAGTAAATGGTAACAGATCTACATGACATGCTCAGTCATGCCAACCCTAACTGAAGCTTTGGAGTAATCAGTGGAGTAAAGAGGGTAATTTCATGTGAAATAGCGTAATGTTAATTGTACCATGATGCAGGTTTTTGCTGCAACATTTTCATTATGCCCAGACGTATGTGAAACATGGGTACATATGCATTGATGCTAGTAACACAGACACACATGACAGCGTCACTTTTTGAAACATAGGGCGATATAGCTAAAAATAAGCAGAAGAAATATCTGCTTGAATTTGGATGATTTATATGATTAAAGCTCGAAAATAAATATGAAAACCATCCATAAATAATTCTTGAAAATAACGTCAAAAGTCATGATTTTAGAAGGACATGTGTAATAGTGTAATTTTAGGCTCAAAAGTGTAATGGTTGGCATCTCTGCATGCTGACTGTATTTCAAGAAATACTGCTTGATACATCACAATATTGGATAACATTTGTCGTATCTTACACTATAGAAGTTCTCAGGTGCTGATGTGAGTGGAGCACGGACATGGACATCACCGGTTTCTGGGTCCAGATAGAAGTACTTCAGTGTGTTGGTGAAGGTATTTACCACACGATATGTCACTTTGTCCTGAAATAACAGGTCATGGTATAAGTACACTATTGCATGTCAAGAACATGGCATTACACAACACCTCTACATATCCTGAAATTAGCAAGACATTACATAACAACATTTCTACATAACTTGAAATTAACAGCATTGTGTCAAAACACTTCTTCAAATCCTCAGGGTAACATGGAAATATATAGCACTATTCTACATATCTTGTGTATAACATGACAGTATGCACCTTGGGTAATGTATCCTGAAGTTTACATGGCATCATCTAGCTGCAGCTTTACAAATCAAGTGAATAATATGCCTTATATAACTATAGGTCTAAGTAGCCTGAAGATACCATGGCATTATATAAGTTGAGATCTACATATCCTAATGACAGTACACTGCAATGTAACAACATATCTCATTATCCTGAAGACAACATGGCATTTTTAAAACAGGCACTGCATAAGCTGATGATAACATTTTACAACACTACCTAAACATTACAGTGCATATCATATCAAAACACTATCGGATAGAAAGACAAGGCATTGCATACCGGCACTGACAAGTAATCATAAATGTACACTTTTTAACATCCTGGAAACAATATGCCATTAGTTTTCTCATTGAAAAATATACTTACTCCATCAAGATCAATTGCAGTGGTATTTTCAACTCTTCCTCCAATTGGCAAGTCCACATTTACAGTTGCTTCATACTGATCATTTGGGATAAAGCGTGGAGCATTGGGATCTCGGACCAGGTTCAGAAGCACGGAGGATGATCCTCGGCGGGTAGGGTGTGCAGTATCATAAGCAAATACTCGGAGCTGAAAGGGTGGTGGTTTGCATGATGTAGTACACAATTGCAATGACAAACAATTTCTCAAACTAGGAAGGATGGCTGGAAATACTGATCATTTGCACAAGGAATGTACCCATTACCTTTGTTGGATTACTTTACATCAGCATGCTGTATATTAGTTCAAATAAATGCCTAAAAGTCTAATTGTATTATTCAGCCCTTAATACTCATGTGTGTTAGCTTGAAAGAAATCATCATGTATTTACAGTGTATCTGGACAGCTGCAGGGGCTCATTCTTGATGTCCTGTTGGAGAGATATTACGCCAGTCTGGGGCTCAATGCTGAAGAAGGATTCAGCTGGGTAGAGACCATCAATACCATAACGAATTTCACCCTGAAATATGAAACAAATATTAGTTTCAACAAATTAATTTCCGTATTCAATCTATAACTGTAAAATATCTACTATAATTAAAAATGTAAGCCAAGCAATTGTGAAGAGGTACCCACCTCTCTATCAGCATCAATGGCCTGGACAGTTGTGACTGAGGTGCCAACAGTAAAGCTCTCCTCAATCTGTTGACTATATGGGTTCTGGGTGAACTGTGGGGTGTCATCTAGATCCACTCGTATTTCAGCATATGTACTGCTACTTTTGGGAGACACAAGTCTTTGATCCGATGCTGAGATGGTCACCTGAAGAAAAGATGTCATTATTAAGTTGTTTCTTCTTGAAACACAGTACCTGCTTTTCATCTCTTAAGAGAAGTTAACTTGCAATAATATATTTCAAATATCTTGAACCAATTAACTGGAGACAGAACACTAGAAAGGACTGATGATAGTTATATATTACATTGAAGAGAGTGATAGGGGTCCTCTCCATTGTGCTCCTCAGGTAGATGATTCCATTACGAGGGTCAATATAGAACTTGGCGGCAAACTGATTTGATGGGTTCACAAAGGAGTACAGTGGCACATCCTGAACAGAAGAAACAATATTGATAAAAGTCTATTGTCAATAAAATATGCAAAAGTGGAATGAAACATACAAACATCTATCACAGATTTTCTTTTGGCATTTCAATTACCTTGAATTATACCAAAGAAACATAGTAAGTTTTCATCATAAAACTTTATATGAGGATACATTTATGCAATGGTTGACAATATCTTTATTTTTCAATATTGAGACAGAGATTACAAATTGTGCAGAACCAATGCAAATAGTTTCACAACACAGTGATTAACTGACAAGAAAAGGTCTTCTTACCCCATCCAGATCCACAGCTGTAGTATTGAGCACCTCAGAGCCTACAACATGGTACTCAGAGATTGTTGTCTGATATGGCTGAAGAAGGAAGACTGGAGCATTGACATTCCTGATGACGAACACGGTCACATCAGCTATCACACTTCGAGGCTGATCCAAACGGTCATATGCTCGAACTTGGAACTGGTGAAGAAATCAACATTCACATATAAGAAAGAATCCTTGGCACTGTACAAAAGAAAACTGTACAAAGCATAACACTGTCTAGTAATAATACATGTGGGGACTACTTACATTGTACTGTACGCTGGAATCATAGAGAATACTGTTTTCCAGGGTGATGTTCCCAGATACCCGATCAATGGCAAAGAAGGCAGGCCGATCAACAAACTCATAGACCACCTGGCTACCAGGCTGAAATAGAGTAAAAAACATCTCTTCATGGAAGGACCTTATAACGAGCAGACTAACCATTAATTGTCATAAGTTCATCTCTTGCATGCCTACTATTAAGGTCCTTGGTTCATGGGCCAACACACACAACGTTTAAAAGGACAATGAGGCAGTTAAGCTTGTACCTAATATGCCTATTAAAACATATTTAATAAATACATATAACATTGCTAACTCTGAAAGTACTCCTATTCTAAGGAATGTTCCACATACCAATCTTTACATTGCACATACCCACAAAGTAATTAAAAAGAATATTATGAAATTACTAAGTACAAATCTTTTGCATGTAGAGAGAATCATGAGACATATAGGACTATTTCTTGAAAGGTAAATACCTTCAAGTCTGGATCAACAGCCCGGACTGCCAAAACAAATGAGCTGACAGCATGAGTCTCCTGGATCTGAATGGTGTAGGGGGTATTCTGCCAAACGGGTGACTGACCATCACGGTTGATGGAAATTGTTGCTGTGGTGTTGATGCAGCGAACAGGATAGCCATTGTCACAGGCAGTGATACCAAGCTGTCAAAAAAGTCATATGTTTCAATGTAAAAACTTCATTATATGGTCAACAATTAAAAGTAAAAATGTCTCGCACTCACAAGGAATAATATAACAATATGCATCATGAAAGGCACTTTGTCATAATACAGTAGCAAAACACAAATTCAAGATCAGTAGCTACAGATGAAGTAATGTCAGAATTATCATCCAAGAAATGATGACCTGAAAGTACTTTTGGTTAGCATACAGAGAAGGTACTGACCGTGAACTGATTAATTCCACTCCCAAGGACGCTTCTTCTCAGCGTGATGAGTCCAGTGTCTGTGTCAATGTAGAAGTAGCCAACAGGACCGATACTAACATCTCTCTGGATCACTTCCGAGTTCAAACTGTATCTTATCTTGTCCTAACACAAATACAGAGACACATAACAGACAAGGAATATGTAGAAGGAATATTGTCTCTGTGTTCAATGAAGATACAGTAAACTACATTAATAATCAACTGACGGATATAACGAACTGTTCATAAGATAAGTGGTCCCTTTGAGTTTGATCTAAACGTTGTTTATTGTGGACTGAAGAGTATGATTTTAGAGTATTTGTCAATGATTAATATACATACAAAGAGGTATAACTTATAAAAGGTAATACAAATATGACGTGAAGATATATAGCAAACATACCCCAACATCCAGGTCAGTTGCAGTAACATTTATTACACCTCCAGGGACGGGATAGTCTTCTGGGATGTTGGTAGAGTAGCTGTTCAAGCCCCACTGTGGTGTGTTTGGATTGCGGATTATATTGATGGTGACAGTAGCTGTCCCCTTCTTTCTTGGCCTTGCGCTATCTTCAGCTGTCACTTCCAACTAGAATATACAATTCAGTTAATTCAGTATCAGAAACAATTAAGTTGAATAACCCCACACCTGAATCTTAGGCTAAAAAAAATAATAGTCTCGGTTCTCAGGCACCGCCCGCATCATCATAAAGTCCGCCGCATGTTTAGTTTTAATTTCCATTTCCATTTTTTTTATAAATATCCTAATACTTAAAAACAATGCAATCCAATATAGAACACAGTTACTTTCCTTTACATGCACACTGATTACTGCGAAACTCGTGTTATGATCATGGCAGCAATAGGAATTTGTATGCTTATTCATGTAGGGTGGCCCTTACCAAGGTTGGTGGAACACAACTGTTTATTTGGTTACATACTAGTTTGAACAAGCAAAAAAAAAACAACCACCTGCCCGCCCACACTATATTTTCATTCTTTTATGTTTTTAAGCCTTAATAAGATATATAGCTTCTTATTTCAAAGCTTTAATCCAACATGTTCAACAGTACAACAAGGCAGGTACAAATTCCATACATGTGACTCACCAAGTATGGGTTGGGTTTGCTGAAGTCCATCTTGAGATCCCTGATGAGTCTTATTTGTCCTGAAGTTTGATCCACCTCGAAGAAACTCAACGCTGGGTAGATGCCTATAGCCTTGTATACCATCTGACCCTATGAACAAACAACCAAACATTCCAATGTAGTCATTGTGGGCATATAACACATGCCATCTATATTTCATAAACCCATCATACAATTCAACAAGTTCCAAATCAATTGATTTATCTTCAGGACACTATTACAGCTTTAGTACCGGTACACTATATTTCTATGGATACAACATAAGTCCTACTGATACGTACAACAACTCCATCCTGGTCCGTGGCCTGTACAACAACTTGCACATTTGATGGGGATGACTGGGTCTCAAAGACATTGGTTTGATAGTTTCCTATAAATATGGGTGCAAACTGATCTCGTCTGATTGTAATGATGACCTCCACTGGAGCCCATCGTTCAGGAAGACCTCCATCAGTTGCATTCACTCTCATCTGAGGAGGAAGCCAAGCAGCATAATTAAGAACAAAGATCAAACTCAAGTCTTGTATCATAGAACATATCATATTTGTCTTATTAAAATCATGATCATTAAAATAAAGTAAGAAAAAACATGACATAACTCCAATATAACATGAACAAATCCTGATCTGGATCATAGACAATACAAATTGCAGGCAAATAGGAAAATACAATCAGGAATAGATGGTGAGTTACCGTGTACTGCATTTTGTTTCCAGGCACAAGAGGTTTGATCAGTGTTACTACTCCACTGCTTGGGTCTAGTTGGAACAACTGCATGGTGTCTGCTTCTCCATATGCTGCATAGTAGATACGATCCTGAAACACATGTCACCTACAGCTTATACACCTGAACAATATCTAGTGGTTCTAGTAAGAAGTTCAACAAAGTTTGATGAGGGCCCCGTTCCACAATCACTCTTGTAACAGATCACCCTCATTACATGGCGACATTGTCTCAGTTAAAAGCATTACAGTATAATATTTACTTGACAGCACACGATTTTGGAGCCATCAGTGCAACCATAACCTGAACTACCACACAAGCAGCATTTAATAATCTCTGTGTTGACGAATTGCATACATACCCCATTACGATCTGTAGCATTCACATCAATAACTGCTCTGCCAACTGGTGTGTCCTCATCAATCGTTACGCGATAAGGTGTGTTGATGTATTCAGGTGCAAATTCGTTGCGTGTGACATCAATAACTACACGCTCTTCAACAAAATCTTGTGGATACAAGGAGTCATAGGCTCTCACAACCAGCTGGAAGGCAAACATAACATAATGAACATACCATACTGATAGTATTGTATATATCGTGTAGGTGAAAAAAGATTCAGTGAATCACCGATGTACACAATTATCCATGGCCATGTGACAAAACATAGATGGCAAGTTTAAATGTCAAGGTTATTATCAATACTGCAAGCCGTATTAATAGTACCGATAAATGTAAAATAAATATTAAAAATACCGTAAATTATTTACTTTTCCATTTATTTTGAACCAAAATACTCCCCTTAAGATACACTTGGGTATCCATTTTAAAAAATTCATGTCAGAAAATAATCAGAGGTACCTCACTTTACTCCCGAAATAAATTCCAAATATAACTGCTGGATGTGTTTGTGATCAGGTCAAATAATGCAGTGAAATCTACATTGTAAGTAGTTTTATCCATGTTACAGTAGTAATGCAAATAGTGAGTTTAGCTGTCCCAGTACTTTTGCAACAGCGAAACTGTCAGCCCTTACATGAAGGTTGTCCAACATAGGCAGTATTTTCCTGCACATTATTATGTGTGAAGAGGTTCAGGTCTCTACTTACCACATACTGAAACTGCCCTCTGTCAGAGCGTATGCTGTTCCTGAGATCAATCTGAGCATTTCGGGTTGTAGCAATTCGTGTGGCTGGTGTGAGGCTAAAGTAAGATGGCGCAGATCCTTCTCCAACCACGTCCAAAATTAGCTCTCCCTGAAATACATTACAAACATTTTATAGAAGAGTAGTATAAAACCAACAATTCTGTGAACGTATATTAACAACTTTTTAGAATAAAATCCCCCTGAAATACATTACATGCAATACATTATATATAACACTGCCCTTCAAATACTTTACATATACATTACATATAATATGCACCCTCAACCACTTAGCATACAATACCCGCCCTGAAATACATTCCATACTATACACCCCCTGAAATACATTCCATACTATACACCCCCTGAAATACATTCCATACAGTACGCCCCCTGAAATAAATAACATTAATACTCCCCTTAACATACATTTCGTACAATACACCCCTAGAAATACATTGCATATTATACTTGGGAAGTACATCACATATACATGTAATCAGCTCCTTGAAATTTGTTACATGTAATACGCACCACCCCCACCAATACATATAATACTAACATTCCCTCAATAACATGTACATACCATTCAGTCTTGTTTATACTACTGACCTTGAGGTCATCATCAACAGCAGTGACTGTGATGATTGAAGTGGACACTGTGGTTAACTCCGAGATCTGGCGAGAGTATGGGTTGTTTCTGAAATATGGTTTGTTCAGGTTGCGTAGAACATTAACTGTGACTTGTGCAGAGCTTGATTTCTCAACAGGTTGCCTCTGGTCTGATACACGCACAGTCATCTGCAAGAAAAATGTATCTGTAGACATACACTGACTTACATTCTGCTCATGTTTTACATCTCTAAATTGACTAACACTGGAATGTGACATGCATTGGCTCTATACGAACTCTACAAACAGAGCACAGGGCACTGACTTCAGACATCTTGATATCCCACATTCCTGAACATGTACAAGCTAAAGGTTAAAATTTACTTTATTAAAAGTTCCTTATTTCTGGATCCGGATAGTCTTATTTAGTGACCAAAATGCATAAATATATGTACAAATGTACTTACAAACAGGATACTAAAAATGCCTGACAATGTTTCATTGGGTGATACCTGCTTGTTACACAAGGAGCAGGAATTTACTGGTCTATAACAGATTTAAGTGCCTAATATTTTGTAAGATTTTATCTGACAACTGTGAAAAAACCCTTAGGTGTCCCATTTCACTGTACACAAGACCTGAACAAAAATTACTGACCACATATTGAGATGTTTTGGCCACATCAGCAGTCAGTGGTCGGATGACACTAATCCTGCCTGTATTGGAGTTGATGCCAAAATACTGTAGTCCATTCACTGATACTGGGTTGCCCTCTAGAGTGTAGCGGAGGACATCCTGCAGAGAACACATATAGCATAAGAAATACATCATTCACGACAAGCTTACAATATTGGACTTACCAATATCAATCAACTTATTGTGTGGAAAATGATAGAGGATACTTATGCATTTAATATAGAAGAGTTATCATATGGACTAACTTGATCTGGATCAGTGGCTGTGACATTGATGATGTTTGTTCCCACTGCTGTCAGCTCCTCTATGGTTGTATCATAGCTTGGTAAACCAAATCCTGGTTGGCCAGCATTGCGATTCACTGTAAAGTCAACAGTTGCTGTGGCAGTACGTGTCGTTGATCCTGAGTCATATGCTGTTACTCTAGCCTGAAATCAGCAGTGACATAAATTAAATAATACATGTTCTCACTTCAGACTTTGTTTATCTTGTGCATAATTTTAGGATACACTGATGAACGTGCATTGATGAACTTGTTCCTTACCTTGTATGACATGAAGGAGTCCATTCGTATGCTGTTCCTCAGAGTGATGAAGCCACTTGTGTCATTGATAGTAAAGAAGTAGGGAGAACGCAGATCACCAATCAAGCCATATACAATGCGACCCTGAAACAAAACCCAATGCAATACAACTTTCAGCATTCCTTTCAGTATTTTCAAATGCAGTACATAGTTCATTATTCAACATGCTGATTAGAAGGCACAAGGCACCATCTTTCAATGAAATGTAGATTATGAATCTACAAGATATAAGTCCCCTCACAACAACAAATGGTAAATACCTTGATATCATTGTCTTGGGCTTCTACTCGGAATACCGAAGTACCAACAGTGATTGTCTCATCAATGCTGTTACTGTATGGCTCGTTGACAAAATAGGGTGCATCATCCCTCTGCACTGTGATAGTAACAAACGACGTACACACTTTGGCAGTCGGAATACCATTATCTGTGGCTTGAATCTGGAACTGTTGAAAGAAGATACATAGAACTTAGAAACCTTGAGGATGTGATATGCATGACAGTAATCATAGTTGTAGGCCCACACCTTACAACACGCATGAATCATAGCTGCTGTTTATTATATGTATCTCATCTATAGTGAAGAAGTGATTACAAGAGCTGTCACAAGAAATTACTCTATATGAAACAGGGTCAATTTCCACAAAGTTATCCTAGAGCTAAGACGATCATAACTCCCATACCTTAACACTGACCTATGACAGACATATTGCTAAGAATGTTTTGGGCAACAGAGACCAGGATGCTAGGTGATATTTCTTCCACATAAATCCTCTTGCTGGGCCATTTAAAGAAAGAAAAGAGTTGGTAAAGATATTGCATGACATATCTGAAGGCAGAATTAAGGAAACAGACTTACGTTAAAGCCAGTGAAGGTATTGTCAATTGGTTCACGGAGACGTAGGATGCCACTTGTCTGGTCTACATAGAAGAATCTATAATCCTCAGGGTCACCATTCACAATGGAATAGGAGATTCGATCCTGAAACAAAAATTCACCAATGAACATATGCACAGACACATAATCTAATTTGGGGGGAGTTAATAACATTCAAAGAGGCTAGTCAACACTGGCCGGAGACATGTGAGACAATAATAACAACTTACCCCATCAGCATCTGTTGCATTGACAGTCCCCAAAACAAATCCAACTGGTGTTAATGAGCCAGTGTCCAAAGCTTGGCTGATAACAGGAGGGTTACATATAGGGGTGTTTGGGTTGGTATCAACACTGATTGTCACTGTTGATGTGGCTGCATTGTTAGGGTAGAAGCTGTCATATGCAGTGACACGTAACTGAAAAGAAAGGAGAACAAAATATATTTGTTGCTGCTTTTTACCACAAGAAATGCAAAATTAAAAGTAAATGGTCCAAAACATTGTGAAGAATGCAAGTCTTGTCCTTACCCTGTAGTTTCCACTGATGGTGGTCAGCTGCTGGTTGAGGTCAACCAATCCAGTCACATTGTTTACTCTGAAGAATGATGGAGCAGGATAGATACCTGTCACTTCGTAGACAATTGTACCCTGGAAAAATAAATAAATATCACGCTCATTAGGACCTCTGATAAAGCTGATACAACAACAAGGACTTCAAAGCTAATTTAGAAACAGCACTAACATTTCCCAAGTGTAACAATCACCATGACTCAGAAGACAAACTAACTTGCTTGAGAGACATACTTTGTTTACTTCTACATAACCCTTGAATATTTTGTCCTTACTTCTGAATTTGTAGATTAATTCCTACCTCTAGATCTCTATCTGTGGCAGTAACAGTCAGAACATTATCACCAACATTTGATCGATATGGGAAGTTGGTTCTAATGTAAGGCTGATTCTGGAACTCTGGAGTAAATCTGTCTCTTTTGATAATGACATCAACCTCGGCTGTACCATATTTTTCAGGAGTCCTCTGGTCTCGCACTTGCAGGCTGATCTGTAAATAGTATGCAGAGCTGAATGACACAGGTCCTTTAAAGTGTATTGAAGACATATGGCAACAGTCTAAGACATGACATCAATGGTATTATCAAAGTCAAGGATTTACCTGATCATTGAGCTGATTGCCTTCCAACAGTGACCTCTCCACATAGATTTCCCCAGTAATTGGGTTGATATTGTAGAATGCCTGGGACTGAATGTTCCCTGTTATGCTGAACATCAGATTATCCTGAAATAAGCCATACCATACAAATTACATCAGTGTCAGTAGTGAAACAAATGAAATCACCAAGGTAGGTGCATGCACATATAAATATACAACTTTTAGGAGAAATATTCCTTTAATTTTTATACTGTAATACACATAATGTATAAGTGTGTAGATTGTTGTAATTGTCTAGGTACATACCCCATCGGCATCTGAAGCATTCACTTGTATTATGGGTACACCCAGTGCCTGAGTGGCATAAATGGTCACTTGATATCTTTGGTTAGAAAACTGTGGGCTGGCCAGGTTCCGCTCAATATTGATGGTGACATCAGTTGTAGCTGGGTTGTTGGGGTAGGCAGTGTCATAGGCCTGGACTCTGAGCTGAAGTTTTGATAAACTTTGATTTTACAGAGCAAGTTCCATTATAAGGAAAGATAAACAACCAATGAGATAGCAAGGCAACTACTAAAGAGGATTTGACAAGAATACGCAGGGAAACTCACTGTATACTGTTGTGTGACATCATTCCTCAGGGCTGTGGTATCCCGTACAATCACAAAGGACTCACGAGGATTCTGTGCAGTCTGGGTGTTCAATGTAAAGAATGCTTCAGCTACGCCTTGTCCAATGGTCACAAACTCAATCTGACCCTAAGAAAAACAAAAGTTATGTTTAATTTTAAATGAGTAATCTTGTGGTTAAAACATGAAAGCATAAAAGCACATTATGTAACATAATTCCTGTTGTACTGGTGTACGAGTAAAACTGGCTTAACTAATTCACTTATAAGCAGTAGATTAACAAAATTAACCTACAAAACATAAACAGGCCTGGGACAAACCAACCAGCAACTGTTTGTTTGTTTGTTTGTTGTTTAATGCCGCACTCAGCAATATTCCAGTTATATGACGACGGCCTGTAAATAATCCCGTCTGGACACGCAATCCAGTGATTGACATCATGAACAGATCACAATGAAGAAAAACTAACACAGAGTTTCAGCTTGATGTGGCAGGAAAGCCTGACTTGATGTTTACTACTTTGGTGAAATCCATGAGCATAGGTATGGAGCTGACTAATGACAGGGACCCTAGTCATCCCAATTTTTCAATAAGCATATTGAAGTGAGGACCACTTTTACCCCTGATTGCAATACTGGAGCTGTAAAGTATAGGGCACTGTTGAAAACTAGCCGTGACAAATACATACCCTAAGGTCATTATCAGTAGCAGTGACGGTAAAGATGCTAGCACTTTCTGCAACATCTTCTCGGATGTTCACCAAATAGGGGGTTCTGATGAAAAGTGGAGCACCTCCATCACGAGTGATGTTCACTGTCACTTGAACTGTTGAAGTTTTCTGACGTGGAACCTTCTGATCATCAGCTTGAATGGTAAACTACAACAGCATACAGTCACATCATCACAAACTGATCATCAACTCTGAATGGTAAACTACAACAGCATACAGTCACATCATCACAAACTGATCATCAACTCTGAATGGTAAACTACAACAGCATACAGTCACATCATCACAAACTGATCATCAGCTCCAATGTAAACAACTCCAATGGTGAAAAGTTAAAAATAAATAGTTTCAATGAATCAGATTTCTTAATCAGTGTACTTTTAAACTTTCTCAAAACTTAATGCAGGCATTTAGAGATTCTTAATCAGTTCCAACGATACGTACTACAGCTCTACTCAAAAGCAATTCATATCTCTACTGAGGATTAAATACTACTACCATTTCAGTTCTACTTATATCAAATCATGATATTGGTCAACAATTGTTGGTCAACTGTAAAACAGAACAAGGTGCCCACCTGATAGACATTTTGTGTAGTGCCTATCAGTGTCTGCTTGAGGGTGATGCTTCCATCACGAGGCCCAACCAGGAAGAAATCTGATGCTGGCTGTCCAGTTATCAGGGTGTATTCCACCACATCCTGAAAGGGCAATCTCACATTCAGTTGTCACAGAAATGTAAATATCCTGATTTCATACCACATGTAAGAGAACTACATAACACTTACATATATATCACTGGGTATATATTACAAAGTCTATTAGTTTACTCCTTATTTCTATAGTATCACCATTTTAAGACAGGATATACATACGTGACCAACCATGAGATCAGGCACCGTATGGGTGAAAAATCACATTTTGACTTTTATTACATTTTAAAACTACAGTATCTTCAGAACACAAAAATACAATTCACATGCTCAGCGGTAGAAACTAACAGTTTTAGTCCACTATTCTTTATAATGATAACAAATAGCAAAACTCTTAAAAATGACAAATTTCTACTACCGGGGTAGTCCTTATGATACCTTAACTACAAGGACTATAGGACTAGTGTCAATTTCTGACACTGCAAGCTTCAACTCACATTTATTACAGAGATACATGGCATCATACATGTGGACCAATTTATTTTTTTCCAACTTATAACTGTTGGTGTAATAATTGCAGATTTTAGACATAATGTCGGATGAATTGAAAGTAAATATGTACGCTGAAAGGTTTTGAAATGTTTTAATTACATTAGAACGAGAGAAAGTAAGATATTTTTTAACAGTCCGCACTCATGGCGATCTTCACTGAAGTAAGTTGATGCCAAACGTCTTATAACATCACAGTACAATTGTATCCTACCACCCATACTTAGGTCCCATTTCGCCGGGAGGTCACATATTTGTAGTTTAATATATATAATGATAGCATTATGATGACAAAACTTGATAAATAATTCCATTTTATGAAATCATAATAATCTTTTTTCTATATTCTGTATTTCCTCCCATGAATTTCAAGATTTGATGGGGATTCACATAGTAATATCATCCTTCAACCATGTAATGACCATGTATAGTCAAACAACTATTAGCATTAGCAGATTAGTTGCATGCTCTCTGCAACTATATTATAACAGATTAGACACATACCCCATCAGCATCAACAGCTCTCACGGTGTCAAGGACACTGCCAAGCCCAGTGGTGTCAGGTATTGTGATGAGGTATTGTGCTCTGTCAAACACTGGTGTATTAATATTTCTGTTGACAATGATGTTGACGGATGTGAAGGCTGTCTGTGATGTCACTCCAGTCCTAGTTGCTCTTACTCTCAACTACAAAGAAATAGAAATATTCAAAAGGATTCAAACAAGGGCTACTTCAAGGTAAACTGTCACAGATGTACAAGCACACAGAACGGTTCTCATTTCATATTCAAAGTATCATCAAGGACCTCACCCGGTAGCCAGTGAGTTCAGCAGTGTCTGAAGTCAGTGTGGTCTTTACACGGACCTCTCCAGTAGAACCGTCCACAGCGAAGAAGTCTGGTCCTGAGCTCAGGCCAATCACTGTGTATGTTACACCAGCCTGTAAATGAAGACAGTCATGTTAGTGGAGAGTAGGAGTTCTCACTATGTTATTTTCAACTCTAATAAAAGCATCACTTAAATATTGGAAAAAAATTCTGCAAGATGGTCATAATTGGGTTTACAATATGGATTGCATATCAGATGCAATGAAGTCAGCAAATTAGTTTGTCTCCAAGAATATAGACCAACCTGTGGTTGAGCCAGTACTTGTGTGATGACAGTGTTGACTTGTGTGTTCTCATTGATAGTTACGTTGTATTCTCCAGAAGCAAAGACCAGCTGGTCACTGTCAAAAGTGACAGTAACTTCTACGGTGGCTGTGGCAAAGAGAGATGGTGTTCCTTCATCCCGTGCTTCTACGTTCAACTGTAATCAGAAAACGTGCAAATCAAGGATGGTAGCCCTGGCAATACAGGTTACTTGACATGAAGAATCTTCAGAATAGGCTTCAACAATAAGTCACTAAGACAACAGGACATATGGGATAGGAAAGGTAGAAGTTACTGAAGAAGATGTCATTATGACAGTTAATACATTCTCACCGTGAAGAATCTTTGAGTGGAAAGTCCTTGAACTGACTTCAGAAGGACAACCTGTCCGTTGTTAGGATCCACGTAGAAGAAACCTATGCCAGTACCACCAACAAGCCTGTACTGAAAGTTACCGTTGGGAGCCTGTAAATGGATAAAGTATTGTGACACAGGAACATTCCATGGCACCAATAATTCAGACAAAATCTTCTCTTTAAATTTACACTGAAAACAATAGTTCTTTGTTAATTAAGTTTATTGATACAAACTCAACAATACGATGATTGATTGACTAAGTACATGGTAATTCATAAAACAATTCATTATCTAGTAACCAACTACCCAATTAAGATGAGAGTTAATTAGTATTACGTCAGGGTTTCAGATAAGATTTTCTGGGACAGTGTTCACTGATAGCCATTTAAATAATCTTCTTCTCGTTTTAATTTTGTAAGTATATAGAAGAACATCCCATTAAAGGTTGATAAAACCATGAACTGTTCTACTGCCATTTGTCTCTTGAAACATCACTGTACAATGGACGATAAAGAGGAGTTCAAGAAGACTGGAAACGGTACAAACCACAGTATCTCTATCCGAGGCTGTTAGACTGGTGACTGTGGTGCCTACAGGAGTTGTTTCTGGTATGGTCTGTTGCACCCGAGAATTTGTGAAGACTGGGGCAAAGAAGTTCCTTGTGACTGAGATAGCAACCAAGGCTGTTGAGGTCAAAGATGGGGAGCCTCCATCACGCACTTGGATACGAGCCTTTTAAAAAACATCAATTAGAAACAAATCAGTTCATGTAAAGTTTCTTAATGAATACTCATAAGTTAGATTTAAATCCCAACCTCTTGCTGCATATATATATACATCATATCCACAATTATGTCTAGTCTCATACATCCTGTACTTACAATGTAGCTAGTCCTGGTGTCGGTAGTGAGGTTGACACCGTTTCTCACAGAGATAAGGCCTGATGGACTGAGATCGAAGTAGGATGGTGTATTGGAGTCACCCAAAAGAGCCAGGGATATTTGATTGAATGGGGTCTGAAGAAAATTATAAAGCAAATATCAGATATTATGTTGTCAACAAAATTATATTTAACATCATATATAGTGGGTTCTTGATACATCATAACGAGAAAAAGGAACAAGAAGCTAAAATTGAAAAAACAATCTGTCTAAAGATACAACAAATGCATATTAGGTAACAGATATTTCTTAAACATGACCTTTGCAAAAATGGAAAAGACAGGCAGTTTAACTTTATTTCAGAATCAGAGTGAAAATTCATATTATCAAATGTGTCACATATATACCAATTGGTTTTTTGGCTTGAAGCAGAAATAAAATGTTAAACAAGGGCAATGGCAATGACTGAAAAACAAAAAGAATCCTTTTAGCCTTATTCCTCAGACATTCCAGCATGGCCTCAGGACAACTTACATCCACATCATTATCTCTGGCAGACACCTGGAACACAGACGTGCCTGCTCCTTGTGTAGCAGGGATGAGTGTAGAGTATGGGATAGCATCAAAGAATGGTGCGGTATTCCTCACAATATTCACAAGGACGGTTGCAGAGTTGCTGGCTGGTTGGCTTGGATTTCCAAGATCTTCACACGTCACTTGGAACTGAAAATATGACAGGGTAAGAGTTATGATCAATTCTTTGATGATGTCCTATTTGCTGCTGATCTGCTCCCGTTTACAGAAGAAGTTATAGAGATTAATCACATACCTGAAGTTGTGTGACGGTGTTGTCTGGGTAATCAGAGATGGCTCTCTTCAATGACACAGTACCAATGTTATTGACTGTGTTTACTTGGAAGAATTGAAGAACAGTGCTATTGCCCGTCAGTGCATACCGCACTTGGTTGTATGGTGCCTACATTGTAAAAGATAAACTCATCAAAATCAAAGCATAAACACCCAACAGTTTGTGGTATAATCAGTCCAAATTACATAAAGTAGTGTGAAAAATACTTCATGATTATACCAATAAAAAGTACAGTGAAAAGCACCTAATGATTATACCAATTCAATGCCTCATCAACTAGCTTCTTCTTTAACATGTCAACTGTGTGCAGAAAATTGTTCCTTTTTTTCAAGTGTTAAAAATCAAATAATAACATGTTTTAAACATAGTATGCTCTTACAAAGTTATCAGCATCTGTGCATGTGACTGGGGTCAGCTCCAATCCTACAAGCTGGTTTTCCAGGATTCGGACTGGGTACACGACTTGATTGAACGTAGGGCTGGCCAGATTCCGATTCACAAACACACGCATCACAGCAGTGTCAGTCAAAGCAGGCTCTCCGCCATCAGATACCACTATACGTAGCTGCATAAAACACAGAAGAACCTTACATATAATTATTTTACAGACTATTGTCACCCTTATATTTTGTCTATAGTCATACTTAGTCTGAAAATGACCTTTCATGTGTATTAAAAATTTCTTTAACTATGCTCCATATAGTAATTATAGCACTAGGACTATCATAGACCTTGTTAAGTCAGGAAATTATGATATCATTTTTAACCCTGATTTTTGCGCTAACAACCTTTTTGCTAACCTACAGTATAACTCTAAAGCGGCTTGGGTAATTGATGTTCTCTAAACAGACCTATTCATGTGCTTTGCAGAGTTTAGAAGTTAGAATGAAAGTCAATGAATCTCTGGATCTGTCAAGATCTGGGTTAGAATAGGTCTTCAGCAACCCATGCTTCTTGTAAAAGGTCAATGATGCTTGTCATAGGAGGTGACTAACAGAATTCGGTGATCAGGCTCGCTGACTTGATTGATGCATGTCATTCTATCGATCACTGGACTGGTCCAGATTCGATTATTTACATACCGCTTTCATATAGCTGGAATGTTGCTAACTGTGGCGTTAAACAAACAAACAAACAAACAAACAAAGAAACACTTAATCTCTGTCACAGTCAGTCCTAAGCAAAGTTTGAGAGGTCCTCAACATGGATACTACAGCTCAAAAGCTCATGGAGCCCAGGAGTGCTCTTAATTTCCATCACTTTCATTGACACTCTCTTTGCAATACTCTTTAAGGAGAACCTTCATAACTTTTCATATGTAATACTCGACTAATGCCCCAAACATAAGCAAATATCACTACAAAATGGTCACAGCTCTCTCACTTACACTGAACACAGGTGTGGAAACAGCATCAAGGGAACTGGTGGTGTAGATCTGCCCATTGCTGGGGTCAATTCGGAAGTAGGCATTAGCATTTTCATCCCCAATCATTGTGAAAGATGTTACATTGAAGGGAGACTGCAATACAAATGAAGAGGTATCAATGTAAGCATGAAACATTTAACTTGCAACAAAATGAAATATGTCCACAATCATGAATTTGAATTGTTTTTTTCTAACCACAAGTAACTCTAAACATGTCTAGCTTGTAATGCACAAGGAGAGATAATGAAGTCTGATGGATTACACATACACTCAGGGACTTTTTATTTTTTTTAACCTTGTGATCACCTGTAAGGAGGGGAAATAGGGCAATCATATACCAGAGGGAATGTTTACGTATTAATTGTATGAATAATGCATGTTGGACTTACCACAGTATCGTTGTCTCTTGCTATAACTCGTGATACGAAAGTGTTGGTTGCAGCATTGCGGAGAATATTTTCATTGTAAGGTTCTTGTAAGAACTCTGGAGGGAAGTTATTCCTCAGAACATTTACTGTCAGTGTTGCTGGTGTACTTGTCAGACGTGGATTGCCATTGTCTGATGCAACAAATTGCATCTGGAAGGAGAATATTTCAACATACTTGTAAATATACCATAATTGTCATAATTCATACTAGGAAGCAGCTATGCCACACACTAGAACACAGACAGAGGATATGGCCTTGTGTGAAATAACTGTAACAATGCTGTGGTAATATTGCGGCTGATTTTTATTATAAGAACTCGGTAATGAAAAAGGAGGAGCAGCAGTTGTATACGTACCACAAATTGGTTCCCAGTAACACTAATGAGTCTTCTACGAAGGAACACAGTTCCAGAGTTGGCATCAATCCTGAACAAATTCTGCCATTGTGAGGAAGCTTCAAATCCATAGGACACTACGGCTCCAGTCTGCAGTGAAATACAGAGTATATTAATAGCATTCATCCTGACACAGACTGTTTTACCTGTCATCTGCACCTCAAACAAGTACCTTTAATCTGAACCTCTAATCTGAACATCTATCCCTGAGTAAATTCTGTACTTAGAAGGTTAGTTGTAATGTCAGCATCTATCCTGACTTCAATCACATGCATCTGATATTGCCAATCTAAGAACTTACGCCTGTGTCAAAGTCTCTTGCAAGGAGGATTGAGACCTGTGCTTCTACACTATGAGTCTCAAGGATAGTGGCAACAACATTCTGTTGTGTGAAGACTGGAGGATTGAGGTTTCGGCGTACGTTGACAGTCAAGACTGCAACAGTGGCACATGGCGGGGAACCACCATCAGCTGCATTTACCCGAATCTAGATCAAGAAAGAAATGGGCAATAAAAAAACTGACATGGTTTATGCTTATTTACTTAACAGTTATTAATTTACAGTATTATTAATATTACTGAGCAGTTGACAATAAAAAATGAAACTTACTCTGTACACATAGGAGGTATCAGTGCTGATGGAGGCTAGCGCACTGATCTGGCCACTTAAAGGATTAATACTGAAGAAGTTGTTGGCATTGTCATCCCCCACAATCTGGTACCTGATGGATGCTGTGTTGTAGTCATTCTGCCAATGCACAGAAGCATCAGGTTATTATCAACACATACAATGGTGACAGGAAACTGATACACTGATAAGTTTCTGTCAGAATTTTTATTTAAATATTATCTGCATAAATTGAGGACTGATGTACAATTACTACAAATATAAAAAAAGTACAAATATTCTTAATCTGCAACAATGATCTGTGATAAGCAGAGCATTGTACTCTTAACATTTGCTTCTGAAGTGTAAGACTTAGCTAAAAAATCAATTATTTTCCCAAATACCAGTTTAATAGTGCACAAATGTTCTTCTCTGAATTTTATTTCTCCCACAAAACTTAACATCAAAACAAAGCATCAGCAAATTTGAATCAGCTGTTTATGAAAAGACGATTACGCAACATTGCCTACAGTGGCCAAGCTGGATTCTGTTAATGAAACCCAAACAGAGTTGCTATTCAGCAACGATAACAACTCTCCTCGCAATATGCTTTCTGTAAAGATGTTATCTAAACTGTTCTGAATTCTAAACTTTTATAAACTAAGAAACAATCATATTATTTATATCAAGAGCATTTCCACCCATCAACCTGTTATTCTTGCTATGGTTACAAAAAATGTACGACTTTCATTAAGTGAGCTAAACGTCCAACATCAAAGTTAAGGTTCTTACCGAAGAGTCTGCATCAGTAGCATCAACATCAAAGAACTGCCCAATGTCTGTCTGATTGATGGTTACGCTCCTTGGGAGTGTTGAGTATGCAGGGCAATTCAGATTCCTCAACACATTAATAGTTACTGTGGCGAAATTGGAACCAGAGAGTGAAGGAACACCAAGATCACGACTGCTGATTGTGAACTGCAAATAAAAAAAGACATTGGTAAGATAACTAGATGGAACTCCAACAGTATCAGTCTGTGCCTGAGTCCACAAGCCCGACCTTGGCTCTTTGTATTATTTTTAGTACATTTTAGTGTTATCGTATGCATTTTTATTACCCAAGCTTACTAGACCAAACAAATGTTACTAGACTCAGTATTCGGACTAGTGGCTAAAGTTGCAGATTGCTGTATGTGAATAACGAAAATCCTTTGCCGTCTATAAACAACTTTAAAAATACAACATACAAAAGTAGTAGAAAGATTTCTCTCATCTTCAAGATATTTACATGACTGCAGTGGAAGGCTGCAGTAGGTCATGACTACTCACAGTATATCTGGTCCTTTTCTGTGTATCAGTGCGTAGGTCTCTCTGTACATACATAGTACCACTATCGGAAAAGATGTTGAAGTATGTGAGTGCAGTGCCATCTCCCGTTGCTTCATATCGTACATCACGGTGGGGAGACTGAATCACACAAACATCATGGCACTATAGTTGTGCAGAAAAGCATTAAAAACTTTTCGCCTCTACATGCTTCATAGTCCCACTATCAAGAGCATTCAAATGAGATTGAGAACCAACAACAGATAACAAAATCCTAAGACAGCAAAGTTCATTGCAAAGAAAATTGAATTAAAAATGAAATAGAATCCTTCGACATTTCACCACACTAAATGTTTCAAAATCTGAGAAAATCATGTAACAACTATACAACAATTGAAATATAACATTCAGATACTATTATATATCTTACAAGGATCTCTATTCATGATTACCTTGCTGTCGCGATCAGTAGCAGTCACTTGGAAGATGGACAATCCCAAAGCCTGAGTCTCGGAAATGGTGATGTTGTAATCAATTGGATCAAAGCGAGGAGCAAACAGATTCCTGTTGACTGTGATGCGAACAGTGGTCGTGTCGGACTTGCTTGGAATACCTCCATCAGCAGCTCGGACTCTCACCTTGGGATCACATTAAGTGTTATGAGCCATGAGTTACAATGAGTACTACCGAGAATCATACAGTAATGAAGAAGAATTCAACAATATGAAAGTAATTTGCAGTATTCACTTGTCCACGGAATTACACTATTGTGCTGAAAGAAATCTGATTTGTTTTCTTGTTTTATCAATACAGCTTATTTTATTTAGACAAATCTTTTGACAATTTTGTTCAGAGAATCAGAATGTGTACAACAGTATTAACCTGACATTGATCATACTTGAAAAATATTTTGTAATTTTTAACATTGGGTATGATTTGATTTCCTTAAGTTTAGAAGCCCTGTTTGACCATTCAAATGCAAATTAATAAATCTACACTAAAGGAGTGAATTTGTGAGTTCTAGGTGAAACACTAAAACATTGAAACATGCAACACAAAATATGCTAGATATATAATCTGAAACACAAAATATCTCCCCCACCCCCAAAATGAAGTAGTGTTTTTTACCTATCTCGCTTGTTCAATGTTTAGGAAAACCAAAGTGTACCCATGACAATAGAAACCAAACACAGGTAACTTAACAGTTCTTCACTGCACTAAGACATAATGAGACACAATATACATCATACTTAGAGCAAGATGAACATACAATAAAGATTACATTCTTATCAGATTCAGGCAATTCTGACCACACTAACAGTATAATACACTCACAATATAAGTTGTCTTGTCATCATTCAAGACCGGTGCTTTGACGAAAATCTGTGCATTGTTGTTATCAGTTTGACGGATATCAAAGTAGACAGGAGCTGTGTCATCACCGATGAGAGTAAACTGAATGGTGTTGAAAGGAGCAACAAGATCCCTGTCCACGGCATTTACTGTGAAGACAGGATCATTCACACTGGCATCTTCCCGCAGATTGGTTGTATATGGCTCATTGTTGAAAACTGGAGGGAAGTCGTTGCGCCGTACATTGATGGTCACAGAAGCAGGAGTGCTGTCCAGCGATGGGGAACCACGGTCACGGGCCACCACTTGCATCTGTGTACAAGACGTACATTCATCAAGGCATAAATTTTTAGGATGTATCATACATGTAGGGAAAGACATCTTTCAAATACAGATGATACAAATATTATTTTAACAAATCAATGTAAAGGAAAACGGGTGGAAACTTACAGAGTAAACTGAAGCTGTGCATGGATTATAGAGTAATGAGCGTCTTGCAGTGATGACACCAGTGTCAGGGTTGATGGTGAAACATTCCAGATCCTCGGGGCCATCAGATATCACGTATGTAATCTGGTTGTTGGGTGCCTGTGAAGAAAGAATGGTATTAATTAACATACACTTTTAATTGTATCATTCAATGCGGCGAAAAACTTATCACTATACCCTGTGGGCAGCAATAAACTGTCACAAGTGTAAGGAAAAATATACAACAAATTTACAACAATATATATATATAACAATATATATATATTTAAATTAAAAACATCAAATGGCACATCAAATGCCACGTAATTATTACTTGAGAAGACTAAAACTATATTTCCTAACCGTTGGGTCGGCATCTGTAGCATTGACATCAATGATGGGTGTTCCTAGTGAGAGAGTTTCTAGTACTGTCTCAGTATAGGTAGCCGGGGAGATGATGGGGGCCTGGAAGTTCGTGGTGATGGTCACAATGGCAGTGGTTCGGTTACACAGACCACCAAGGTCACACGCCTGGATACGCAGCTACAATAGAAACAGTGTCTAGGTTCATTACCAGTGATGTAAAAACAGGAAAGTTCACAGAGAGCATCATTCATTTATCACATTGACAGTACATGTAACTGAAATTCAGGAAGTTAAGCTAAAGAATAACCAGCAAGATTCATTTGTTTTATTGGTTGTTTAATGCTGCACTCAGCAACATTCCATCTACATGATGAAAGTGTGTAAATGATCTGGACCAGACAATCCAGTGATTGATATTATCACATTGATCCATGCAGTTGGAATACAATGACATGCAATCAACCAAGTCACTGAGCCTGACAACCCAATCCATTTTGTCACCTTCATACGACAAGCATAGGTTGCCCGGGACCAATATACTTCCCTGGGGTCTTCACAAGCGGGACCTAGAATGGAAGACAATAACCTACCTGATACAGATTGTCCGAGGTTTGACCCAGTTCATTGCTGATCTCAACAAGTCCAGTCGTGGGGTTGATACTGAAGAAGTTAGGGGCTTGGTCATCACCAATGAGGGTGTAACGAATCTGACCAAAGATTGTTGTCTGAAATGGATAATTACACAATATATGCCAGAAGCACTAGCCAATGTATCTTGTGCCTGTGTTATTACAATAATTTTAATGTTAATAACATAGGTCTGGGGACAATTTCTGCTTACATACAGTCAACACAAAGTGTACTTGAGGACCTCTAAACTAACATATTAACGAGCATCTGACCATATTAATACCTATGCTGAAGATAAGAATTTGGCCATTTACAGTCATAAATGTCTGCATCTTAAATTGATATACAGTTTAGCCAACACTGAGCCATATGAGAGCTGAGACTACAATGTTTATGTTATGGAATATAATTCTTGATCATAATGGTCTGAAATGTAGGTTAAGTACCAAGTGTACAAGATTTTCAGATACATGGTAAGGTGAGGCGAAATGGGATTTAACGTCACATTTAATATAAAATACAAACCATAGGTCTTGGGATATCTAAGATGTACACACAGCTAAACCAGGGTACAATTAGGCACGAGTATCTCGAAACATACTGACGAGTGTCTAATCACATCAATACCAATGTTGATGACAAAACTTGGGCCAATTACAACGAAATATGTCTGTCATAAAAATCATTCACATACACAACACAGTGCAATGTATGTACTGAAACTATAATGTTTATTGAACACAAGTTTAAGTGAAAATAGTACCTGTACTTGAGTCTTAGAATCAAGGGTTCTATAGATGTTTCTACAGTAGTAACACACAGAGAGTATGTGCGTTTATAATGTACATGCAGGACTTACAGGATCATCCCGATCAACTGCTTGAGCTGTCAACACCCCTGTGCCAGCACCAAGAGAACGCTGGAGGTCTCTTCTGTATGGCTCATTGATGAAGAGAGGTGTGTTGAGGTTATGTTTCACAAGGATGGTCACATAGGATGGGGCATCAGAACATCTTGGACTGGAGGCTGAGTCACACACTGACACAGTGCCTACGTAACTTGACAGATCGGACCGGAGGCCTAGATCTTTCTTAACATACACAGCCCCAGATGAAGGATCCACACCAAAGTACTCATTGAACAATGCACTTGATGTTGGTCTGAACACTATTGTGTTATATGGTGCCTGGAAGTAGTGAGAATGATACATGCAGGGCATACAACAATACATCATGACACTTACATGAAATAAATCAGCCAAGTGATAACAAAACTATATAACGATAGGAATAAAGCATGATCTCACCTGGGCATCACTATCAACAGCATTGATGGTGAGGATGGGTATGGAGATAGTCTGTGTGGCCAAAATTTCCACACTGTAGTTTTGAGGCTGCAATCGTGGTGCATTCAAGTTCCTGTTTACAGTTACTAGCACTGTTGATGTGTCTGTGAGTTGTGGAGTTCCTCCATCAGTGGCCACAAGTCGAAGCTGAGTTAAACAAAAGTAATATTAATAGTGACACCTACATCATCAATGTTCTGAAAAAGGGCAAATAACATGTAGGTAAACAACTATACATCTGGGAATAGATAAACATAGAAAGGAACTCACCACATATTGTTCTCTATTATCAGAAGAAAGGGTAGTTCGAGTACTGATGGCTCCACTGCCAGGATTCACTGAAAACAAGCTGAGCGCCACACCATCACCAATCAGAGAATATGTGACCACATTATAGGGACTCTGAAAAGAAAAAGAACAGTTATGCTAAAACAATTCGTTCATTTAAAATAATACATCCACATATAATGAAATAAGAAATTTAGAAATAAATAAAATTAGAACATGATAAAATCCAGGTTGGCATCTAGACTCAATGCTCAAAACAATCCATGTGCACGAGTTCAGGCAGAAAATTTGACAATCAGTTGAAATCTAGGTCATATATACTTGAATGCATAGCAATATATTGAAATGATAGTTGAAAATATATTTGAGTATCATTGCATCATATGTTTTTGACAATTATAGGTTTTTGGACATATGTTTTTGTACGGCCATGTTTATCGTGATTATTCGTGCAATAACAACGGGTGTGGCATGACACAGACATTGTGAATACCCAGATGATGGCTTGTTTTTGAGATAAAGCTGTCTATTATAAGTGAGTGAGATGTTCTACAGTTGTTCTTGTGATTAGCGAGAAAACTATGAATGATTCTTAAGCATCTGAAAACCCATTTCACAGGGATACAACAAAATTCACTAAAATATTGTTAGAGGAATACCATGAACACAAACAAAACTGCTACTGCTTTCATCTTCAAAGCAAGTGACTGAGAGTTGCTTCCTTGCATTTATTACAGTATCACAGAGTAGGACACTATGAAGTGGCTTTAAGTTTAGGATCATATGGAAATTAGACCAATGCCTTTTGTGTGGTGAACACTTTCCCAATAGACTCCCCACGGTTTACGGTGTGAACTACTTATACGTACACTGGTGTCAGCATCTGTAGCAAGCACATTTGTCACTGGGGAGTTAGTGGGAGCAGTGAAATCAATGCTTGCAGTGTAGGGCTCATTCTGGAAGACAGGGGGGAATTGGTTGCGGATAATGTTGACACGCACACGTGCATTTGGCGTGGATGTTTGTGGTGGTACACCTTGGTCAGTGGCTCCAACTGAGAACTGAAAGTCAGAACGTACAAACAAGATTAGTGAAATGAAATAAAAACAAAACATGAATGGCATGAACCAAATATATAATATTGCAGTCCACACTGATAATGCACTAATCCTATGTAGGTATTCACCTCAACAGAAGGAATGTCCGACGGGTCCTGGGTGAGAGGCAAGCGAACATAGATATTGCCACTTGATGCATCAATTCGGAAATATGTGGAGGCAAAGTTCCCGGTCAAGTCTAACAGTGAAAAGGTGAATTCACTCTGAGGACCCTGAAACAGAAAATGAACTGCATGTACCACACTGTTTCACATCAACAATACAGCTGGCATTATCCCTCGGACATCATTTAGTCATTTTTACAATGCAAACTGTGTACTTTGACTATTGAAATCACATAGAAACATATTAAAAACAAACATTAAATTGATGTCACAAGTCAGTAAGTTCCAACTTACAGCTCTGTCTGCATCTGTTGCTGTGACACGCTCAATACTGCCAGTAAGGTCCTGAGTCTCGAAAATGGTCACATTATAAAAGCTTCTGTCAAATACAGGACCATTGAGGTTCCTCAAAATAGTAACAATTCCAGTGATAGAAGCACTCCTTCTTGGAGATCCACCATCCTTTACAACCACTCGTGCCTAAAAAACAATTTGACATGTTAAACAACAGTAATCAGAATCACACCTCAGTATCAACAACAAATCTTCATTTACGACTACACTTGAGTTTCATTCATGGATAGATCTGCATTATCTGGCTCCTTAGTAGCACATCTTCCTGTTAAAACCTTAGTTGAAATTCTATTGATGGTTTTACATCTTCATTAAATAACCAACTGCACATAGACTTGTTTAAAATTCAGTTGACTTTATTTAACAGATAGTTTCGAATCTGCATTATGTTGGAGATCACAAGAAAATTCCTTTACAGCAGTAAACTGTCAGCATTAACCAATACAAACTAGCTATCCAAAAATCCATTCATACAATAAGTCTGAGGGAAATGAAGACATACCACATATCTGTCTATATTATTCCTGTCAAGAGGACTTCGGACTGTGAACACACCAGTCTGGCTGTTGATTTCAAAGAAATTGCCAGTATTGTCATCTCCAATCAAACTGTATTCCAATTGTGAGAATGCAGTGTTCTGCAATTTAAAGCAACAACAATCAGAATAGAACTAGAGAAACAAATCAGTTATTGCAATACTGAACAGATGACATTAAACTGGGGTATTAATAACATTCATAAATTACCAACACAAGGGGTATTGGATATATCACATTTTCAAGTAACTCACTGCTTGGTCAGCATCACTGGCTTGGATCTGGAAGACTGTAAATCCAACATTTTGATTCTCAGGAATGGTTCTGGTATATGGACCACCTCCAATTACAGGAGCATTGAGGTTTCTATCAATCCTGATTGTTGCTGTGGCGATACCAGCACTCTGTCTCACAGGAACACCATTGTCTTGGATTCTCAGGTTCAACTATTAGAAGAAAACAGTGGATTATTTGCCACAGATTCTGAGACAGGGAATGATAAATATAGTACATAGTCCATATTACAAACATCAAAAGTACAAAAGGAAAGTTACGAATACTTAGTGTGAACATACATATATTAAGATAAGTATTGCTATTGACAAAACTGTCATACACTATGTAAATTCTGAAGCACCAATAAATGAGTAACCCTACGGAAGAATTATATTTTAATAAAATTGCACTTTTCACCAAAAAAAACAAAACAAATAAGAGATTGCAAACATGCACTTACATTTTGTCCACATAGCTCGCATGAGCACAAAATAGTGTTATAGATATATGTTGATAATAACTATATACCAACCGTGCACTGGGGAAACGTGGAGGTTGTGAGAGCACGTGAAGCGACTATGAGGCCTGAAGCTCCAAGCAGGAAGTAGGAATCACAGCCTGCGGGAGTCGCCGCCTCTACTGAGTAGCTCAGGGTTTGCTGCAATAGACAATTGTAAACCAATCAAATAATGGTTAAAAAGTCACATTTAAAGGTTACTTCACTAGCTCACCAGGATATGTAGTCAACTGTTTAAACTGTGCACAAAGACAGCCGCTTAATAAAAGTTTCTGTCAGCATTGTTTCTCAAATATTTTCTGCATAAATATGGAGTACAAAAGTATTTAAAAAAATGAAACATGTAACTAAAATTCCACAATATTTCCAAATCTGCAAGAATGAATGAAACAACAGTATGTTACATTAGCTTTACACAACGTCAACTCTGAACCTTTACCTAATTTGAAGAATCATACACCATATTTTGTTCAAATCGCTGGGATTTTACTCTCAAAGAAACAGGAAATACCAATGATTTGAACAAGATATGATGTCATCATAAAGAGAAACATACATGCCGAAGTTCAGCTTCCTTAGTCTGGCAATTTCAGAGAAGATGTTTACAGAGCAAAATTGTATTTTGAGAGAATTTATAAGCATAACAGTACATTTTGAACAGAAATGATGGAGGTGTTTCATTATAGATTCCATAGCAACCACATTGAAAATCAAACCTCTTGAACAAATTCAGATGCCATCATTGGGAAAAAGTTTCCCAAAGAGATGATGATTACAGCAAGAAAATGCATTTTGAGAGAATTCAGAAGTATAGTCCAAAGAGTAAATGTCAAATATAGGTTTAAATTAAAAATATAAAAACAAAACATGTATTGAACCCCACTACATGTACTAACTACACATACAAATTTCATTACATTTTGAATAACAACTGCAAAATGACCATGAATAGCTTTTTAATATGGCTGCCTTGACAAGCATGACATACGCAGCACTTGACTTTCAGGCAGATGAGCTAAAATTAATGATAAACATTAACTAAAGGTCCTATTATATATACATATCAATCCATGCACATGAACACACAATTAAATTATTCCTAATTTGTTTCAATAATGATAACTCCTGCCAATGAAAATGTGACAAATGATATATCTTACTCCATCTTGGTCACTGGCTTCAATCTGGATGACAGACACACCAAGATCGTATGTCTCTGAGATCGTTCTGTCATAGGATGCCGTTGTGAAAACTGGAGCATTGGGATTTTTATTTACTGTGATGGTCAGGTTGGTCAAGTCTTTTCTGTTAGGGCGAGAAGAGTCAAATGTGGACAGGCCAAGCTGGAATAGAAAACAAAGAGATTACTGACTAGATCATGACAGTGTGTAAAAGTAGTTATTTTGATATATGCAAGTAAATGCCTCCTGGTGGGTGTATTACCGGAGAAAGAAAGAAGTCAGAAAGATTGTTATTCCTACTTTGGAAATGATCCTAGCATGTCAGCATATTCAATCTGTTGTAATAGCAAATGGGCAGATTATTGACCCAAATATGTGTTGTATGTAGTGCAGGTGCATACTCATAACACTTATGACAATTACATTGTTTACAGTGCTTGAAAGTATGTAACCGTGTAACTGTGTCTGAAGGCACATATAGTGGGAGAAGGAGCTCAAAGTAGAATGTAGCAATTACAGTGTAGACAGGGATTATCTGACATGATGGGATTTACTGAGCATCATGCTATGTTGAAGTGCAGCGAATGATGGCACTTACATCATATGGGGTACACTCAGCAATACTCCAGCTATATGATGTAACTAACTCATGTTATTGACATCATCAGCATCAACAGATGAGCATAGGACAGATGACAAACAAATTGTCACTGAGCATGACCAACCAATCTATTCAGTCGCCTCAGAAGCACAACAGGTGCACACTTCAGGGATAGAAACTAACAAAGAAAGTTTACAAACCTGCATAGTAATACCATATAGCAATAACCCACGTAATGTTTGAAATTCTACAAGCCCTTAGGATACCTTTAACATTAACAAAGCTGGTCCGGGCTAGTGTAAATTTCTATCCTTGCACTTGGTGTGAGTTGGTGAGATTAAGTTTACATTGCATAGGCAATATTGCAGCACTTACAGTGTTGTAAGGGACTTAAAAATAGGAAAGAGATTACAGTGTCACTTAGGACTCACATGACAGCAAGGATTTACAGTGTCACAAGAAACTAACATGATATGAAGAACTCACAATGGAAGAATGAACTCAGGACATGGAAACTCCCATGATAATGCAGCTTTCTGTGTTCTAGACACTTACGGTGTATGAGGAAGCACTCTCTGCAGCTATTGACTGAGACAGGAATATTTCACCCGACGTTCTGTCCACACGGAAAAAGGCTGGTGCTGATAAGTACTGTCCAGTCAGCTCGTAATTCATTGCTCCCTGAAACAGTTTATTATATTTAACATGGTAACTGTGACATCATGGATGATTCAACGGTGTTTATTGACATGCATACTATTAAAGTTATCAAAATTAATTTTGTATAAATCAAACATGTGTGAACAGCTGATTGCTATTATACACAAATACAAATACACATGTAATCTCAACCTCTGCATATAAAACATTGTCTGGCATACAGTACACAAATACCATTGAATTTGTAAATCATCAATTCTAGTGATATTTTATCGTACATTTCATGTTTTCATTGACCAAATTTGCAAACAAACACGCAAACTCCTATTGCTGCCATGACCAGAACACGAGATGCGCAGTAAAGCAGTGTGCGCATAAAGGAAAGTAACTGCACGCTATATTGGATCACATTGTTTTTAGTATTGCAGCATTTCAATGCCAAGGTCATGTGTTAAAGACGCGATATATTTAAGGATTTATTTTTTTAAATGGAAATAAAAATTAAACTTGTAGCAGACATTTTGATGATGCATAACATACAATCATGTCAGGATCCATTGCCTGTGCAGTATACACACGGGTTCCAACAGGATCATTGAAGTTGATCCCAGAAACATATGGTTCATTGATGAATGCTGGTGGCTGGTTGTCACCTTGGACAGTGACAATGACGCTGGCAGTTGAGGATCTTTCTGGATTCATTCCATCCCTTGCCCGAACTGTGAACTGGAAAACATTCAAACAACATAAAGAATCTGTTTCATCTAAAAATCACCGATACTTATCAGGTTTGTATATACATGTTGATAGGTGATAAGGGATGCAGTGTGTAGAAATCTGTTAAGGAATATTGTGTTTGATATATCACTTGATTAATCACTACAGCTGGCATCTGACAAGCAACATTCATTCACTTGAAGAGAGTGGTTCAACAGAGAAAGTAGGGTACCTCAAACCTCCTGGTGTTGGTGGATGTCAAAGGTTTGGCAACACGAACAAGGCCGCTGAAAGGTCCTAGGTAGAAGAAATCTGTCTCTCCAGTCTGGTAGTTTATCACTTCATAGCGAACTGTATCCTGCATTAACAAAGCATTGATGAAATGATGATCAGATATATTTTACAGGGTTAGAACTTAACTAAAAAGTTTTACTTGCCCAGGTAAAGATAAATTGACCTTGTAATGTTAAACAATGGGGAAATTTGGAAATTTGTACTATTCCAATATCCTAGTAGTATTTTACTATATATATTTGAAATAAATTAATAACCATAAGCGTAGCACTTTGGTACAGCTCATTGCTATTGCCGGATATTTTTTTCTTATGGAACAATTTGACTAATCACTGCCGATGGCATTTATGTTATATATATACATTCTCTATCAACTAAAGTTCCTTTCAAGGCCTCAATAGCAGTAATATGACGGTGGTTGCTGTAAATAACGGTGAGTTATGCGAGTTATCACTTCACATACAATTTTGCCGAACTGAAAATAATCAATATTGAATGAAATTTTGAATAAAATTAATAAAATAGATTACAAAGGTAAGTCCAGATATATAATGAACTGTTTTTATAACCAGACCGTGTAATTACATGATTAGTTTGTGTACTTCGTTACGGACTTGCTGACATGGTATTTCCAGTGTTACGTGCTCACAGTTATGTCTGTGTTGGGGGGGAAAAACATCAAAACTCTTCCACCCTGTGTATATGATGCCCCCCACTTGAAAGCCCCCTAATTCCAGGTATGAAAAACTCACTTTACACACAGCAATATATGGTACATACAACTGTACATTCATAACATCTAGATAATGCATTGTTAAACTGCAATTCAATTGACAGCATGGATAACATGTAATACATCAGGTAAATAAAACATAATCATAATTCCAAATATAAAGAAAATGCAAAACTTTCAATAGGTGTGTTGGGTTCTAATAAATTTAAAACAAAATTGGCTTAATTGAGGGACAAAAATCTTTGAGGTAACTTCCATAAAGATATGTTCATATAAATAAACCTACCCGATCAGCATCAGGAGCATACAGTTGAAGGATTGTCGACCCCAGTTCACGGGTTTCATCAATTGTCACCTCATAGATGCTGTCAGTTTCATTGAAGACAGGACCATTTGGATTCCTTGTCACTGTGATGGTGACATTGGAAGTGGCCTTCTGAAGGTTGACGGTGAACTGCTTATCTGCTTCAACTTGAAGCTGAGGAGAAAACAAGCAATCACAGGTTAACTTAATAGGTTTAGTTTCTACATACTGTATTATCCTCAAAACATAACTAGATGCTAATTATAATCTTTTCGTATCCTATCATCAGGGATCTGTAAAAGGATTACCCATTACTAATTATATAAGAGAAAGTTTTGAAACATTAACAAATTGTAAAAGAAATAATCTTGACTCGTACATAGAAAGTTGTCCGCCTTGAAACATCTGTTGTGAGGTCCTTGATGAGAGTTATCTGCCCATTACTAGGGTTGACACTGAAGAAATCTCCCGAATCACTGTAGCCAGTAAGTCGGTATGTCACATCAGGCTGCAGACAAAACATAAAATATATATTTCATGCAATCATGGCAGAAACAGCAAAAAGTATTATAAAGACTATGTTTCAAATAGACATAAATCTGACAGAGTTGCCAACTGTGATAGGTCTTACCCCTGGTATTGCCTCAACATTGAGGATATTGGTTGTGACAGGGGTGTTCTCCACAATCGTATACACGTAGTTGGTCTGCCGGAAAGCCAGTGACTGGTCATCACGAGCCACATTAACACGCACTGTAGCTATAGCTGCCTTGGGGGGGCTACCACCATCTTGGACCCTCACCAAAAACTACAACAAAAAACACAACACAGCTTACTTTATGCTTCCAGATTCCAAAATCAACAAATGAAGTTAACAGATATATGCATGATCCGACGTATATTGAAAGAAAAACTGAGTTTAACTTACATCCAACTGCCTGACTGCTGACCCAATGAAAGACTTCTGTGTACGAACTTCTCCATTGATGGGATTGACGTAAAAGTACTCAGCTTCTGGACCGCTTGGGTTAAGGGCTAGATATGTCAGCACGTTATTGGGAGCCTGAAAATACAAATTCATTAGCATAAATTTAATTCCGATTTTTTACATCAGTCAACATAATAATTTACAATAAGTTACAATGTGAATTTAGTATTCTCTAATCAATTCAGAAATCGCTCCTTTGGTGCACCTTTGTAATGCAGGATTGTCGTTTTACACTGCGTACACAATTCAATACTCTCTCATGCTACATACACACTGTGAAATTCAGACTTCGCTCATTTGGTGCACCAATGTAATGCAGGATTGTAAATCCACACTGCGTACACAATTCAGTACTCTCTCATGCTACACACAGTGCAATTCAGAATTCCCTCATTTGGTGCACCTATGTAATACAGGATTGTTGTTCTACACTGCATACACAATTCAGTACTTTATCATGCTACACACTGTGCAATTCAGACTTCGCTCATTTGGTGCACCTATGTAATGCAGGATTGTGAATCCACACTGCGTACACAATTCAGTACTCTCTCATGCTACACACAGTGCAATTCAGAATTCCCTCATTTGGTGCACCTATGTAATACAGGATTGTTGTTCTACACTGCATACACAATTCAGTACTTTATCATGCTACACACTGTGCAATTCAGACTTCGCTCATTTGGTGCACCTATGTAATGCAGGATTGTGAATCCACACTGCGTACACAATTCAGTACTCTCTCATGCTACACACAGTGCAATTCAGAATTCCCTTATTTGGTGCACCTATGTAATGCAGGATTGTTGTTCTACACTGCATACACAATTCAGTATTCTGTCACATTTTCTACACAAAGGAATCAAAATAGCAGGGTGAATATTTAGAGTCCTTGATGCATGCTATAATGACTCCTTGAGTTCCTACCTGAGGGTCATTATCAGTTGCATTGAGGATAGTAATGAGTCCACCCACTGGATAGTTTTCATTAATATTACGTTCAACGAACGAATTACTAAAGATGGGTGTTGCAAGGTTTCGGATCACTTGAATGTTCATCACAGCTGTTGCTGACAGGGCAGACCGTCCGCCATCTCTCACTTCAAGACGAACCTGAAAGTGAAATAATACAGTTAAATTTGCTTACAATTGTTTCAGTCTAAAAAAGCATAAAAACAACACTTTGTCATCTGACTTGAAAAAAATGTACATCTTGTGACTGCAAACTTTAATTACCGTATATGAACTGAGAGCTTCTGCAGCAAGGTCAGTTGCGCTAGTAACCACTACGTTGTTTCCATTCAGGTTGAATAAGGCAGGGGCATTGCCATCACCAAGTATCCTGTAGTTCTGTTCATTGAAAGGTGCCTGAAAAACAAAAAATATTACTACACATGTGGACAGACATTCATCCCAACGGTCTGTACAAAGCAGCAATATTAACAGATTCAACCTGTGCCAAATGGTACCTCAACTTACATCTGTATCGCTATCGCTGATTGCGAAAGTCCCGACGACAGTGCCAGTGGTGACATTTCTCTGCAGTACAGCATTGTATGGCAGACCAATGAACTGTGGGGCTGTGTTTCTGATCACATTGATGCTCACTGTGGCCTGGTTGGTGGAGTCCCGTCGAGGATTGCCTTGGTCCTGGGCTGATACTTGACACTGAAACACACATAAAATCATTCTACTCCCATTGTGAACAGGCTATATCAAATTAAAATGACTAAATCACAAGTGATTCCATGGTATTCTATTGGATTACTGTGCAGGGTTTTTAATGTTGAGACTGATTGTCACTGACTTTGTATAATTGTCTACGGTTTTGTATGTTAAACATTAATAAGCAGTCTATGAAGTTCTTATTGTTAACCTATTTATTCTTAAAAATTGACTTCAGTATTTCTTTATTTATGCAAAGTGTATATCTTCATAAACAGACAAAAATATTGAAGTCAATTCTTTACAGATAAAACAATTGCTCATAGACATATCAAGTGACATGATATTTTATAAAAGCTTAACTATGACATATAGTTATCATGGAAAAAAAGAATGATGTCATAAAACAAGTTCATCTCTACTCATCTCATCTCATTGTATGAATTTCCAAAATGTAAATGTTCAAACAGAGTAACAATTGAGATAAATACAATATTTGGTGACCCTTGTTGGGTAACATGTGCAGTTTTAGTTAATGAAATGCATATTACCTCCCCAAATATGATACAAATATATGCAAACAGTGTTCTACAGATCAGATCTGGAGAGTTTACAGTTCCCCCCTCCCACCCAAGCACTATGCTACTGGTGTTTTGATTTGGTCTGAAATGACAGAGTTGATCCATACAATTCTTGAATTCTGAAAGTAAAAACGTAGTTGTCTCTGGTATCTACCGCACATATATCATGCTCATGTGCAGTTTGTACTTTCACTTTGGGAAAAACAGTGAGGACTACCTGCCCTTGGTTAAAATTCCGGATAATAATAAAGCCTGATGCGGGGGGATAAAAATGGGGGAAGGGCGCAACCATATGTTATCTACTTACAGTGTAGAGTGAAGCCCTGGTGGGATCTGCGACAAGATCAGCTTGCACATACAAGCCTCCATTGGTGTTAATGCCGAAGTATCGTTGACATTCAGAGTTACCCGTTAGCTGGTAAGCCAATACATTGTTGGGGGCCTGAAACATTCAAGTGTTTGCCAAAATAATTTTAAGAACCAAATTACAATGATACACAATGTAGCTTCTTAAAAATGAATTACCTATTAACTTTGTAACCTCATTTTATGTACTGCAAATGATACATAAATATAAGAAATATATTAACAGACAGTAATGAGGAAATATAAGTGTCTTTGTAATATTTTTGAAACAGTGAATTGGTTACATGAACATTTCAACATCTCAATCATGCAATACATACCGATGTGTCCGAGTCTTGAGCTGAGACTGATACGAAAACTTCCCCAAAGTTTGTGATCTCCAGAATCCTTGCAGTGTAAGAGGGGGTGTTGAAAACAGGTGCACGGAGATTACGGGTTACATTGACGGACACAACAGTGATGTCTGACAGACGTGGGTTGCCACCATCTCGTGCTCGTACTCGGATCTGAAATATAACAAGCAAAATTTACATTAAATGTGGTGACAAGACAGATGTTGAGAAGATATTGAATTTTGCAGAGAGAAAAATCTCAAAAGGAATTTAAAGATAAAACGCAATCAAAGGCAAAATGTTTTAATGAAATTCAGGGTTTGACCTCATGCTTATATTTTTTATGTGAAAAACATCCTTGGCATAACTACTTCTGTCTGGGACAAACATCATGATCTGGGCACCCCTTCCCTCCTCACTGTACAAACAATTTGTAAGCATGCCCACACCCTTCCATAATGTGTACACTCTGTAGGTGACCATACCCGGTAAAGCTCAGCACCATCACCACCAAAGGTGTTGCGAAGAGAAATTTGACCACTGGACTCATCGATCTGGAAGATGTTTTGAGCATTGTCGTCGCCAATGATATCATACTTTACATCATTGAAGGGAAACTGAAACAAACACATATCTCCATTAATAAGGAAACCTGCAAAAACTTCACATTGTAACGTCAACATTAATAAAACTGAAGAGGATCCAGTCCAACGTCTCTTTAGACTAAGATATTGATGCCCATCAAGTGTTGTGACATTATACTGATACTACTATTCACAGACAAAGATTTTGTATGCTGACAGACAAACCTCAGTATCTGCATCAGAGGCTGAAACTCGGACTACACCATCTCCTGCACTTGCGGTTGCCAGCAGCGACTGGCTGTATGGCTCATTGATAAACACAGGAGGAAAGTTGTTCCGTGTCACATTGATGCGAACTGTGGCAAACTGACTACGCAGTGGAGGGGTACCGCCATCCTGAGCATACACCTGGAACTGAACATCAATCGTTTTTGTTACTTACATGTATTTGGCAAAGTAGCTTTTAAAACAGAAAACAAAAGCAAAAGTAAAGTATATTTTTTCTTCAATCCCTAATAACTATTCCAGCAATGACTGAAGTGCCTACTTACTGTGAAAGTCTGTCCAGATTCACCAATAAGTGAGCGTCGAACAGATACAACTCCATTGTTGACATCCACAAGGAATCTGTCTGATGAGCCACTTGTATAGTAGCTGACTGTACTGTAGGGAGCCTGAAACATCATGACACTTCATAAAGACTGCATATAATCGTTGACACACATTGTAACATAAACTCATGGTTCAAATATATATTCTTCTGAGGATAATCAAATTTATGATACTTTAGCTGATGCTAATGAAGAACTGTAAACAAATAGACAGTCTATAAACCCCTGCACAGGAAATTTGTGGAATAAAAATATATCTGAGAAATCTGAAACAAAAGCTAAAAGTTGTTTTATCAACAACTTAAATTGAAACAACTATCATTTTTCAAAATGATACAGACCTTTCTTTTATTCCAATATGAAAAGCTATGGTAAGAAATACACTATGGTATATTTGAGCTGATACAAGCTTTCACCCAAAATGTTGTCATTCACAGTACTTACCGTTTGGTCACTGTCCTGGGCAAACAGGTTGAGGATACTTGTGGACACAGGAGTGGTTTCCTGAATGACTCTCTCATAAGTTGTCTGAGAGAAAACAGGAGCAAAGAGGTTCCTCTGAATGTACACAGTGAGTACTGCTACATCAGTGAGACCTGAGCCATCCTTTGCCTGGAGTCGCACCTGTCACATGGATAACATAATCTCATTTACCTTCACAGACTCTCATGACAACTTATATGTCGTTGATACTACTGAACTTGTCTTAGGGCCAAAATATATGTTCCTGATAAAGTTATCCAAGACATATGATTTAAGTACACATAGCTGATGCTAAGGTCTTATAATTAAACTGCATGTCCTTGATACATCTATTAAATGTGTTTACAATGCATGTCCCTGATATGTCTATGACAGTGCTATGACTACAATGCATGTCCCTGATACATCTATGACATTGCTATGACTACAATGCATGTCCATGATACATCTATGACAGTGCTATGGCTACAATGCATGTCCCTGATACATCTATGACAGTGCTATGACTACAATGCATGTCCATGATACATCTATGACAGTGCTATGACTACAATGCATGTCCATGATACATCTATGACAGTGCTATGACTACAATGCATGTCCCTGATACATCTATGACAGTGCTATGACTACAATGCATGTCCCTGATACATCTATGACAGTGCTATAACTACAATGCATGTCCCTGATACATCTATGACAGTGCTATGACTACAATGCATGTCCCTGATACATCTATGACAGTGTTACAACTCCAATTCATGTCCCTGATACATCTATGACAGTGCTATGACTACAATGCATGTCCCTGATACATCTATGACAGTGTTACAACTCCAATGTATGTCCCTGATACATCTATGACAGTGCTATGACTACAATGCATGTCCCTGATACATCTATCACATTGCTATGACTACAATGCATGTCCCTGATACATCTATGACAGTGCTGTGACTACAATGTATGTCCCTGATACATCTATGACAGTGTTACAACTCCAATGTATGTCCCTGATACATCTGTGACAGTGCTATGACTACAAAGCATGTCCCTGATACATCTATGACAGTGCTATGACTACAATGCATGTCCCTGATACATCTATGACAGTGCTATGACTACAATGTATGTCCCTGATACATCTATGACAGTGCTATGACTACAATGTATGTCCCTGATACATCTATGACAGGGTTACATCTACAATACATGTCCCTGATACATCTATGACAGTGCTATGACTACAATGCATGTCCCTGATACATCTATGACAGTGTTACAACTCCAATGTATGTCCCTGATACATCTGTGACAGTGCTATGACTACAAAGCATGTCCCTGATACATCCATGACAGTGCTATGACTACAATGCATGCTCATGATACATCCATGACAGTGTAATGACTACAATGTATGTCCCTGATACATCTATGACAGTGTTACAACTCCAATGTATGTCCCTGATACATCTGTGACAGTGCTATGACTACAAAGCATGTCCCTGATACATCCATGACAGTGCTATGACTACAATGCATGCTCATGATACATCCATGACAGTGTTATGACTACAATGTATGTCCCTGATACATCTATGGCAGTGTTACAACTCCAATGTATGTCCCTGATACATCTGTGACAGTGCTATGACTACAAAGCATGTCCCTGATACATCCATGACAGTGCTATGACTACAATGCATGCTCATGATACATCTATGACAGTGCTATGACTACAATGCATGTCCCTGATACATCTGTGACAGTGCTATGACTACAATGCATGTCCCTGATACATCTATGACAGTGCTATGACTACAAAGCATGTCCCTGATACATCCATGACAGTGCTATGACTACAATGCATGTCCCTGATACATCTATGACAGTGCTATGACTACAATGCATGTCCCTGATACATCTGTGACAGTGCTATGACTACAATGTATGTCCCTGATACATCTATGACAGTGTTATGACTACAATGTATGTCCCTGATACATCTATGACAGTGTTATGACTACAATGTATGTCCCTGATACATCTATGACAGTGTTATGACTACAATGTATGTCCCTGATACATCTATGACAGTGTTATGACTACAATGTATGTCCCTGATACATCTATGACAGTGTTATGACTACAATGTATGTCCCTGATACATCTATGACAGTGCTATGACTACAATGTATGTCCCTGATACATCTATGACAGTGCTATGACTACAATGTATGTCCCTGATACATCCATGACAGTGCTATGACTACAATGCATGTCCCTGATACATCTATGACAGTGTTATGACTACAATGTATGTCCCTGATACATCTATGACAGTGTTATGACTACAATGTATGTCCATGATACATCCATGACAGTGCTATGACTACAATGCATGTCCCTGATACATCTATGACAGTGCTATGACTACAATGCATGTCCCTGATACATCTGTGACAGTGCTATGACTACAATGTATGTCCCTGATACATCTATGACAGTGTTATGACTACAATGTATGTCCCTGATACATCTATGACAGTGTTATGACTACAATGTATGTCCCTGATACATCTATGACAGTGTTATGACTACAATGTATGTCCCTGATACATCTATGACAGTGCTATGACTACAATGTATGTCCCTGATACATCTATGACAGTGCTATGACTACAATGCATGTCCCTGATACATCTATGACAGTGCTATGACTACAAAGCATGTCCCTGATACATCCATGACAGTGCTATGACTACAATGCATGTCCCTGATACATCTATGACAGTGCTATGACTACAATGCATGTCCCTGATACATCTGTGACAGTGCTATGACTACAATGTATGTCCCTGATACATCTATGACAGTTTTATGACTACAATGTATGTCCCTGATACATCTATGACAGTGTTATGACTACAATGTATGTCCCTGATACATCTATGACAGTGTTATGACTACAATGTATGTCCCTGATACATCTATGACAGTGCTATGACTACAATGCATGTCCCTGATACATCTATGACAGTGCTATGACTACAATGTATGTCCCTGATACATCTATGACAGTGCTGTGACTACAATGTATGTCCCTGATACATCTATGACAGTGCTATGACTACAATGCATGTCCCTGATACATCTATGACAGTGCTATGACTACAATGCATGTCCATGATACATCTATGACAGTGCTATGGCTACAATGCATGTCCCTGATACATCTATGACAGTGCTATGGCTACAATGCATGTCCCTGATACATCTATGACAGTGCTATGGCTACAATGCATGTCCCTGATACATCTATGACAGTGTTACATCTACAATACATGTCCCTGATACATCTATCACATTGTTATGACTACAATACATGTCCATGATACATCCATGACAGTGCTATGACTACAATGCATGTCCCTGATACATCCATGACAGTGTTATGACTACAATGCATGTCCCTGATACATCCATGACAGTGCTATGACTACAATGCATGTCCCTGATACATCTATGACAGTGCTATGACTACAATGCATGCTCATGATACATCCATGACAGTATTACGACTACAATGCATGTCCCTGATACATCCATGACAGTGCTATGACTACAATGCATGTCCCTGATACATCCATGACAGTGTTATGACTACAATGCATGTCCCTGATACATCTATGACAGTGCTATGACTACAATGCATGTCCCTGATACATCTATGACAGTGCTATGACTACAATGCATGTCCCTGATACATCTATGACAGTGCTATGACTACAATGCATGTCCATGATACATCCATGACAGTGCTATGACTACAAAGCATGTCCCTGATACATCTTTCACATTGCTCTGACTACAATACATGTCCCTGATACATCTATGACAGTGCTATGACTACAATGCATGTCCCTGATACATCTATGACAGTGCTATGGCTACACTGCATGTCCATGAAACATCTATAACAGTGTTACATCTACAATACATGTCCCTGATACATCTATGACAGTTATGACTGCAATAATGTATGTGTGTGTCTGACTTACCCTGAACTGTGTATTCGGGATGCTAAACACTGGCTGTGCAAGTGTAACCTCACCACTGCCAGGATTTATGGTGAAGTAGCTCTGACTCCCATCATCCCCTATGATGCTGTATTGCACCACATTGAAGGGGTTCTGAAAGTAGGATAGTGAGCCATGAGTGTTTATAGGCTTTTCATAATAGTTACCGTAACAAATATTCTGATTATGTATGTCAAAATCACAAACTCATTACAGCAGATGACCAACTGGTATAAGTTGCTGTGCTGGTATTTTACCTGACAACCCCCATAGATACTACACAGTTGATACTCTCTGCATATACAGTCACTGTATTTACCTGAGAAGCAATATACATTCTACACAGTTGATACTCTTTGCATATACAATTGCTGTATTTTACCTGAGAATCTCTATCTATTCTAAACAGCTGATACTCTTTGCGTAGACAGTCATTGTCTTTACCTGAGAATATAAGGTGGTCACATTGACCTGAGAAAACCTTGTATATACTTGATAGTTGACACATTTTGGATGTAAGGTGATTGTATTTACGTGAGAATCCTCATTTATACTTGACAGTAGATATTTAGATATAAGGTGGCTGTATTCATCTGAGAATCCTTATAAATACTTGACAGTAGCTACTAGATATAAGGTGGCTGTATTCATCTGAGAATCCATAAAAATACTTGACAGTAGCTACTAGATATAAGGTGGCTGTATTCATCTGAGAATCCATAAAAATACTTGGCAGTAGCTACTAGATTTAAGGTGGCTGTATTCATCTGAGAATCCTTATAAATACTTGACAGTAGCTACTAGATTTAAGGTGGCTGTATTCATCTGAGAATCCTTATAAATACTTGACAGTAGCTACTAGATATAAGGTGGCTGTATTCATCTGAGAATCCATAAAAAATACTTGACGGTGGATACTTTTTAGATATATGGTGGCTGTATTTACCTGAAAATCCTTACATATATTTGACAGTAGATATTCTATGGCTATGAGGTGGCTGTATTCACCTGAGAATCCTTATAAATACTTGACAGTAGCTACTATTTAGATATAAGGTATTTACCTGAGAATCCCTATCAGTGGCCAAAGCAGTGAAGACTGGTGAGTTCTGTGGCGTGGTGTTGTTGATGACAGCTGTGTAGTTGGTGGTAATGAACTCGGGCGGAAAGAGATTCCTGTCCACAGTGATTTCAACATTGGCAGGCAGTGCTGCCCTCACTCCACTCCCATCTATCGCATCAACAACAAACTGAAAAGAGAATAAAACATCAGAGACATTTGAACGTCAGAAAAATAGAACCAAAATTCAACATACAGAATACTATGATAGAATCTCATATGCCGTTTCATCACAATAATGGGAAAATGAAGGTGGACATGTGGGTTAACAACCTGAGGTCAGAAAAGTATGGTGGGAGCTGTTTTTACGTACAAATCAAAGACACCTACCCTGTATACAGATGTATCGCTGGTATCTGTTTCCAGGTTGCGCCTCACACTGACAACACCAGTGTTCGGGTCGACCATAAAGTACTGCCTTCCTAGAGCACTGGAAGACAGGCTGCTGATCTCATACTGCACCGTGTTGTAAGGGGCCTGAAAAATACAGTCAAGATCATTCAGATCCAGATTCAATTTATTCGGAATACCAGGCAATCTGACCCCTTTTTCATTACATATACAACATATCTAACATTTATTTTAATACCCCCTTTGATACAAAGAACTTTGTACATATGTTTGATGCAGCAACTATACAATTCGAATTAGCTGTATATTCTTTAAGTACTGCATAACATGGGCAAACGCTTTATACATGACTTTTATCTTCTTTTACAAAACAGGTTTTACACAAGACTTCAGGATCACTTAATTCACATTCACCTTTACGGAAGTTTTGTATACCAAGAGAATTCATAAATGATCTAAATTTTAACAAAGATTTTTCATAACACACAGAGCTACATAAGTTGCATAAAATCTGTTAAACACAGTTCAAAATCAAATATAGATTTACATAGAGGTTAGAATTCCAGGGATTTAGAGTTGCACATAGAGGCATGCCAATCTTGTTTAGCAGCAAAACTATTTTTTTTAACACAAATGATCCTCAACTGCGGTAGCTATTCAAAGCATTATCAAGAAATAAATGACAAGGAAATCAACAACACTCACGACTCTGTCTCCATCTGTTGCCTGAACCTGTACAATAGAGACGGCAAGCTGTTGTGTCTCGGGTATCCTTGCACTGTAATCCTGGGTAGTGAACACTGGAGGTCTCAGGTTCCTGTTGACAGTTATGTAAGCTAACGCTGTGGCAGAGCGGGCAGGCGAGCCTCCATCTCTTGCTTCAATGCGCAGCTGAAAAATAACAGGTACATAAGTCATACAAAATGAGGTTCTTTTTATAAAAGTGATATAGAAAAATAATGATCACATGTGACAAAGCCAGTAAGTGGTGTACTTACAGTATAACGAAGATCATTTCCTGTGTCCAAGGTAAGGTCCCTTGAGACATTGATTTGATTATTAGCCAAACCGAAGTATAAAGGTCCTTTCTCATCACCAATCACACGAAGTGTCACCTGGTTGAATGGATTCTGAAGAGAAAGGAGAAATGAGTATTTGTGCTTGACAAAATCATGCAATACATGCATAAAGTTTTCACTCTAAAATGGCTGGTCGAATTGTCCAAGGCACCACACTTTGTTTTGGTCGTCCCATGCCAGAAACCAAAGATTGTGAGTTCTAATCCCAGGTTCAGCCTGACAATGGTTTGCCAGCACCATACGCATGTCCAAAGTCGCAAACAGAACTGTATCACTTCTTTGATAGGCATTTAGAAGTTGGACTACTAAGTAAGGATAAGAATTTATGGATGAACAACTTCTTTATTACAATTAAGAGCAACGTTTCCGTGTACGTTCTAACACCGGTATTAAGAAAGTGATTTACAGAGTGTGGTTGACAGGCAATCTTTATACAGTAGAGTAGATATCAAATGTAGTTATTCTGGAGTGGAGAAGCCTGTTATGTATACACGAGGGTAGCAATGACAATCATCGGTGAAGTCAGTGACATAAACAAAAGATGAAGCCAGTAATATAAACAACAGGATTATGGCTGATTGGGGCCTTTGATGAGTTGATGGTATGCCAGGGGCGGGGTGGGGTATGTAATAGCCTTGGTCACAGTTGATTGAAGGTTGGAGTCTTTTGATGCTGCATACCCCCCGGGTTACAATCAACTCATGAAAGACCCCAATCAAACTTGAAAATTTGAAAATGTACTTAGGGTCACACCATAAATATTACTAACCTTCTAGCCTAACACTTACGTTAACATCTGAGTCCTGTACAACGACAGGGAGGATTTGTGACCCCACTGTTTGATCCTCATTGATGGTAACTGAGTAGGGACTGCCAACAAACAAGGGGTCATTGTTGTTGCGACGGACAGTGATTCTCACAGTTGCTCTCTGTGCCTGCTCTAGGGATGGCACACCTTTGTCACGTACAAGAGCCTGGAACTCATACACAAGATCGGGGTTCCCTGTTAGTGGTCTTCGCAGAACAACATTACCAGTATCAGCCTCCAGGCTGAAGAATGTGAGACCAGTCGCACTGTTGGGAATCTGGGCAAACTCCACTGTATTGTATGGGGGCTGAAATGTAACAAAGACATTGAATGTGGTGGTCAAAACCACTCTGTATGGCTTGACACATAGCAGCATAAAGGAAAGTCAGAGATTTTCATCAAAGATAGGTACATCACTTTCCTACTCAGAGTTCCTTGAGACTAGCCTTGTACTTCTGCCACAAAAATGTGATGATATGACACATCTTATAAGGTTCATTCAACAAATTGCACGTTTTTCATTCATTTCAATTTTGAAATTTACACATTTAGATAAGCGTATGTCATAAAATGGTTAACTTTGATTGAGAAAATATACTAAGACATGGAAAACTATTTCCATTTGTGCAATAATCTTTTGTTTACATTCTTTGCATACTGGCTGTTGCCGAAATCCTATGGAGAACTAGCAACATGGTCACTTTGATGCATAAAGATATATTGTCAGGCTTTGCTGTTGCAGGGGTAGTAGCATATCTATATATTTAAGCAAAACAATATGCAAAACCCACTAACCGCCTCCATCAGGCTGACCTGCTCTGATTACAGAATAAGCATGTTTATTAACAAACAAGAGAAAAGTCTGTTCACGTGATATGCAAATTAGCCTGTGGCAGTGATGTAATGCTGAGGCATCACTGCGCCGGAGTGTGTAAATACACATACCACGGAATCCTGGTCAGTGGCCGAGATCCTCAGAACTGCCGTGCCTACTTCTGTAGTTTCATCAATCTCTGTTGTGAACAACAGCTGAGAGAAGGTAGGTGTGTTCAGGTTGCGATTGATGATGACTGACACCACAGTTGTGTTGGTCTTAGGAGGAACACCATTGTCAGAGGCAACAACTCTCAACTGTAAAATAATGTTTCATGTGAACTACCAGGTAAAGTTTTTTGTTAGAAGCATTCATCTCTCTCTTCAAAACAAATCTGGACTTATGCCAACAGTGACAACAAACAAACCTTGATTGAGTACAAAAACAAGAGACAAAATAGTATCCTAGTAATTACACCTACAGTAAGATTTTTACTGTTGTATTATATTACATCTTATTATCTTGTGCACCTATTTTTTCAGATAATGTAAAAAGTAAAACTTACATAGAACCGAGTGTCAGAAACACTTTGCAGTGACTGCTTTCTGATGATAGTACCTCCTTGCGTCACGTCGAAGTATGCTGATGCAGTGCCGTCTCCGATGATTGCATAGCTCACACGGTTGAATGCATTCTGGGGATAAAGTCAATTACTACAATGAAATGTTTTGCTCTTGTTTTTCAATATATCAAAGCAATATCTTCAATTATATCATTACCATAAAGTTTATCTCAATTACTGTTATGTTGCAAAATTGCATTGTTTGATAGGCATTACTAAGAAGTTGACGGATGACAAAGTAGACACAATTTATGGATAACAACTTCTTTAAAACTGTAAAGGCGACGTTTCGGTATAGATCCGTGTCTAAGAAGTGTGTCTACTTTGCAAAATTGCAGTTAATGTATACTTTAGGGCTGAAATGATACACTGTCACAATAGACATATGAAAATCCAGCCCTTGCTATGCTAAGGAGCCATACGTATTTCAATCGTGGTACAAGTATTGGATCGCACACATATTTCAGTCACTAAGAAAACATACAACTTTATGGATGACAATTTCTGCCTTATTGCATATAGCAGCATTTCAATGTATATTCTGACACTGTTATCAAGCTGGAATGACACCAACCAAGTGATGAGAGGTATATATATATATACATGATATGTTGTGATAAGCAGCAGACAAACAAAAGTAATCGATAACAAGTAGTCAACATTTACAACTCTATGCATTTCAGTCCTATCACTGAATGTAGAGTTTGGTGATATACAACAGAAAACATGCATACCGTGTCATCATCAACTGCCAGGACATTGACAATGTTGACATTTTGACCAATTGTCTCATCAATCGTGGCACTGTAAGGCTCATTGACCCAGCGTGGAGTATTCAGATTGCGGATGACATTAACTGTAATGGTGGCAGTGGTAGGGGCAGGCCTAGGTGGATCGCCACCATCTGTTACAGCTATAACCAGCTGCAAAAACAAACAAATTAGAGATTGTAAATAAATTATTTTTTAATGGCCAATATCATAGGTAGTAACAAACTTATACTGTACTTGATCACTGTACTTACTCTGTACTGGAGAGTCTGGAGGGTGTCCTGAAGCAGAGAGGACTTGAGACGGATCTCACCACTGTCGCGATTTATCAGGAAGTAGGTTGGAGCAGTATTTTCTCCAATGATGGAGAAGCGTAGAGACCTGTATGGGTCCTGTACACAACAGAAACAAAATAGTACCACCTCAATATTTTATAACACAATACATTACTGCTATATAATATCAATGCATCTTCCTCATAAATCTGGATGAATGTATCTTCATTACAATACACGTGGAAGACCTAGTCTGACAACATTCTATTGTAGATGTATGCATATTCTTGGCCTTTACCAAAACACAGGTAATAAGTATATGATAAAACAAACAACAACAAACTACTTCCACAGGATCATAAAGAACTTGACATCCATGATAAGTCTAAAATAAACGATACACAGCAGGAGGCAAATTTCAACTTCAAAATATGTACCTAAATGAATACCCTTCTTACCGATAAATCTGCATCAAAGGCATCCACATCATAGATAAGGTAATCAAATCCAATAGTTTCCAGTACTGTGGTGGAATTTTCAAAGTTTGGTCCAGAGGGATTTATAAGGAATGGTGCATTTAGGTTACGATCAACTCCCACTGTAAATGTGTTGTAGGTCACACGCCTTGGGTTTCCTCCATCTTGTGCGAAAACTGTTACCTAAAAATGGAAAATACAAATCATAAGCATAAATATATACAGAAGAGTTAAAAAAAGTGAATGGAAACCTTGAAAAAAAATTTCACCACTTCTTGAACTGTAAACAATTTCTTACCCCATATTGAGCCTGAGAATCTGAGGCAATAGCTTGTGTGAGAGTTATCTCCCCTGTTGATGGGTTGATTTGGAATCTGTTGACAGTCATGCTGGCAATACCATATGTGACTTCATTGTAGGGACTCTGAAACATTTACAAGACAAATATATAACAGACAAACATGAAAACAAGCTATATATGGACATAAAAACAATAAGGACAATCACTCAATGTTTCAGTAAGGAGCGTACCCTTGTGTCGGCATCAGTAGCAGTTACAGTGACAACTGGTGTGTTGGCTCCTGCTGTTCGCAACACAGTGGTGTCGTAAGGAGTCTGTACAAACACTGGGGAGGCCTGGTTCCTCACAACGTTGATAGTGACAGATGCAGGCTGGGCTGACGACAGAGGGCTGGCACCTTTATCTTGAGCTTGGATTGTCAGCTGAAGAACATACAGGCTGATTAGACCAACAATGTGGTTTCTTTACAATTACTCTGCAATCACTCTGATTAAACCAACAATGTGGTTTCTTTACAATTACTCTGCAATCACTCTGATTAGACCAACAATGTGGTTTCTTTACAATTACTCTACAATCACTCTGACTAGACCAACAATGTGGTTTCTTTACAATTACTCTACAATCACTCTGATTAGACCAACAATGTGGTTTCTTTACAATTACTCTACAATCACTCTGACTAGACCAACAATGTGGTTTCTTTACAATTACTCTGCAATCCCTCTGATTAGACCAACAATGTGGTTTCTTTACAATTACTCTACAATCCCTCTGATTAGACCAACAATATGGTTTCTTTACAATTACTCTACAATCCCTCTGATTAGACCAATTATGTGGTTTCTTTACAATTACTCTACAATCCCTCTAATTAGACCAACAATGTGGTTTCTTTACAATTACATGTACTCTGCAATCCCTCTGATTAGACCACCAATGTGGTTTCTTTACAATTACTCTGCAATCCTTCTGATTAGACCAACTATGTGCTCACATTACAATCACACTACTCAAATTTTAACAAATTAAACAAGATGTCCTTCTAATTTGTATTCAATATATATCCATCATTATGCGATGTTAGATTCCCTTATGATCAGTGATGTTGACTGATTTGGCTGGACACCTACAGCTGTGACCAAATAAAAGAACCAGTTCAATACTTATCAAAGACAATTTGTGCACAGGAGATATGTGCAAGGCTCGATTTAAAGGAACTTGATATTAACTTGCACCAGGTGCATTTTGACATGAAAAGCTAGTTGCACCGGACAAACCCAGGTTGCACCTGGTCCCAAAACACAGATGCATAAACTAGTCTACAAAAAAGTAAAATCAGTTCTCTGATGACTGTGTCATTTGTCATGAATTACATATAACACAGGAATTAGTTATGTAGTATGGTAAAAATAACGTTTAGAGGTACTGAGAATGTTCAAAGATTGATGTCTGGACAAGGAAGGGTTTATCAGTATAGAATTTTTTTACATGCACTTGCACTGGTGCATGTGATATATAGCCACTTCGAGCCCTATTTGAGGTAATAATTGAGTCCAAATTTACTACCTGGGTACCCACCCCCTATTACCTGACCCTACCTGGGTACCCACTGTAGGTCTCAAGAGATAGGTACAAAATGTCTGATTGGGCATTTTTTTTACCATAGCCCTGTCAAAATGTATTTAGATACATGTATTTAACAATCTGGTCATGCATACACTGAAGTTGACTTAAGTTATGTCTTTATTCAACCATATGAAAAGTCAGAAGGAATGGGTGCATAGTCAGAAAGAAATGCGAACATTAGTGACTTGTAGTGTAACCATAGATTTCTAGATACTTTTTGCCATTAAACAATATATCATGTGACTAACCTCGGGTCCGGGTAGTCCTGTGGGTACCCGGGTCCTACTCAGTACCCACCCGACCCGGGTACCCAAGTTACCCCTCCCAGCCCTACTTCAAAGGTCATATCAAGCCTAAACATGAATATATGAAGAACATAAAATAAAATATTGGATCAGGTCCCCCTGTTCCCAAACATTGCACTGGATACATCATAATAAACTCAATATAATATAAGTCAAATCTATTTTCAGCTTCAGATATGATGGTGAACAGATAACAGATAACAGACAGAAGAAGAGATGATCAAGCATTACAACAGTTTCACAGAATTACATCGACATTTTACAGCAACAGTTGATCTTGGAGAAAGCTTAGTCACCTGATATCTTGTGGTAGAATCCTGGACAAGGTTATTGACAACTGTTACTTCTCCTGTCTGGCTGTTGACATTGAAAAAGGCCAGGCCGGATCCAAAGGCAGAAAATGTAATCTCATTGTTTGGGTTCTGAAAGAGATATGATTTGTAAACATAAAGAAGCTAAACAAACACATTTCAAAACACACTTAACTTCCAATTCAATCAACCTAATTCTGAACTATCTTCATATAAAAAAATATCTTTCAACACAAAAAATGGCTGGAGAAATCTATTTATTGTCACAAATAAGTCAGTTTCTTACAGGACATTTTTCAACTCACAAGAGATAGAGAGTCTACTGTGTCTACTGATGCAAATATATAAGTTTTTTGACAGTTTATATTTCAACAAACGACAGCCGCTTACTTGGTTATCAGCATCGGTAGCTGTCACTCTGACAACAACGTCTCCAATTGGCCTGGTCTCCAGAATGGTCTCTTCATAGCTGACTGGGTTGAAGATTGGCGGGTTCAGATTCCGGTTGATGGTGAGCTCAACAAGGGCAATGTCATACAGTTTGGGACTGCCATTGTCCTCGGCTCGCACATAAATCTGCAAGATTAAACATCATGAATTTGCAAACATGTCAAATGCATAACACTTCTTGAATAAAAAATTACTAACGTTTTAACATGTTTAAAATAGGGATAATCTTATATAGATTTGATCTAAGTCTTGAAACATTAGCAGACAACTGCAACCCTGCAAGAGTTTGACACTTGCAAACTATGACACGAGTCCGACACCTGTGTGATTTATGCAATGTCCCTATCAGCAAAAAATGGGATACTAGGTTTCACAAATACCTTATAACTTGTCTGAGAGGCACTGTTGATAGCTGCAGGGTTTGTTGGCTGAATATTGCCTGACCCATCGATTGTAAACAGAGCTAGAGCGTTTGCTGGACCCTCAATGGAATATGTGATCTGGTTGAATTCAGTCTGTGAAGGAAATATGGAATATATGACAGTGTAAACCCCTTCTGACAAAAATAAAATGGAAGAAAACAGTAAATGTCTTCAAGTTTCATTAATGATGTAATATAATGTAAAATGTAATTTATTATTATAAGGGGATAATACTTCAGTTGTTTTATTAATATCTTTATTAACATTACTTTTAATACAGGTATGTCACAAGTAAAGAATTTAAGAAGCAAAATGCAATGAGTTATTCCACAGAAGAAATATATGGAAATTACTCAATTATCTTGTTACAAAAGTTCATCATAGCCTGTCATAGTTGTCAAAGGGTAAGTCTTGGCCCATCAAAGCAATGCACTTACAGCTATTTAATGATCACAGGATCAAGATCAGTCTTTTTCCTATTAATAGTTGCCAAATATTCATGGTGATTTCACTTACAGTAGGGTCATCATCAACTGCCCTGACAGAGATCACCGTGCCGCTGCCTAGGCCCTGATTTACTGTAATGGAGTAGGGATCCTGGATGAACCGAGGGGCATTGTTGTTTCTGTACACTGATATTGTCACAGTGGCATTGAATGCAGCACTGAGACGTGGGCTGCCGTTATCTCGAGCGTTCACAACAAACTGAAACAAACAAGTTCAAACTCTCAAAAGGTCTATATATTCTTAGTACAGAGTGATATGACATTGAGGAAATCTCTCTCTGATCTTACTAGATTATAGCATGATTACTGGTAGGTACATCAGAAAAATGAATGAAGGTTAAATCAAACAAAAGCAGATTAATAAGTGTATATGGAAGTCATATTCCTTTAACAACTCACATCAAACCGACTTCTTCTGGATGTATCCAGTGTGAGCGGACGCCTGGGACGGATATCGCCAGTGGAACTGACAATCTCAAAGTAATACAGTTGAATGGCATCTCCTACAAGCTCATAGGACACTTCATTGTTGGGGGGCTGAAATGTAAGATATGACATTTGTAATAATGTTCAAAACTTGATGATGCAAGGTTACAACTCAAACACATTAGTAAATTGGATTTTTTCAAGGGAGGTCATCAATACCTGAGCATCGCTATCTGTGGCTGTGACACGCAGGATATTCTCAAGGACTGGGGCTGTCTCTGGGATGCTAGTCGCATAAGTTGCAGAACTCCAAATTGGCCGTGCAAAGTTTCTTGTAACTGTTACATACAGCAGTGCTGTGGCAGACCGTGGAGGGGATCCGCCATCTTGTGCCACAATACGGACCTGGAAAAAATCAACACAGAACAGTGAGACTACAAATGGAACAAAGAAGGAAAACTAACCTGTTTATCATAACTTCTGCAAGTAAATACCTAGATAAAAACTTGCTTAAAACTTATCTGAACACCTTACATATATTCATTGAATGAGGCTTCTTCATACTTACTGTAAAGTCATTGATGGGTGTGGTTGTCAGGCTTGTTTTCACTGAAACAATTCCACTGTTCTCGTTTATTTGGAAGATGTCATCAGCAGTCCCATCGCCAATAATGCTGTATCTCAGTGTACCAAAGTTTCCCTGTAACATTACAAGTAGTATTTGACTTGATCAGGAATCTGCAACCACTAATAAATTCAAATAAAGTTCATCTTCAGTTTACATCCTGCATCCTTTTGTTTGATCCAAGTCATGTTTTTCTTTATCTATCATCTGATACTCAATAATTGGTAATTAATTAATTAATTAATTAATTGGCTTTACCAATTCACCGTTATTCAAAGCAACCACATTCATATTACTGCTATTGACACCTTGAAACAAACCTTTAATTGACAGAAAATGGATATATATATCATAACTGCCATACTCTGACTTGTGAAAAGTAACATTAGTTGTAGTTTGATTAAATGTCAACATATTGTTTCTGCGATGGAAATAGCGAGATCACGCAAAACCTCAACGATGATTTGTCAAATTGTTCCATGCAAAAAACGTATCCGACAATACACAATAGTGCTACCGCATAACCATAGTTATGGTTATCATTATTTTGAAGGTATATAGTAAAACCTGCAATTAAAACAACAAGATATCAGAATATATTATTGTAGTAAATAAGTAATTTAAGATACTATTTTTTCCGATCATTGCATCAAAATTCTTTTACTTAATATTATTGCATATGTTTTAATGTAATCACTGGTAGATTGGGAGACCATGTGTGTACAGCTGATTGCTACTTCCGGCTTAGTATACTAGACAATACACATCATAGCATTGTTCATTCACCTGAACCGATACGATGTAGTTTATTTACCCACAGAAAAAAAGTTTGATGAAAGTGTAAGCCATACATAAGCCGACACCTTTCGACAGAACCTTTTTTCTGGTCCACAAAATTCACCTGTCTACAAACATATACAATATGCAAGACATTATGACTTGTTTATTGTGGTGTGTTTAATAGTCATTTCAATATAACCCAAATATAAAACATAAAATCAGTCAATCTATAAATATCATCATACAACACATTGTATGTGATCAATAGGATGTAATCATTGGAACATTGGTTTGGTCTATTAAATTGCCATCGTCCATAGTTTACACTATTCGTCAGTAAATGATATTTCTGAATAAACAAGTACCTGTGTATCAGCATCTGTAGCGACTACTCTTTCAACAGACTGGCCTATTGTTGTGTTCTCTGGAATGACCCGGTTGTATTCTCTAGTGAAAAAGACGGGTGGGTTGGCATTGCGTATTACATTGATGATGACATAGGCTGGGTTGGGATTTGCTGGCCTGTTGGTTGGAAGGCCTTGGTCACGGACATCCACGATCATCTGAAACAAAGGAAAGTTACTGCGTCTGTACAATATGCAATACCATGTATCAACAGTGGACCTGAGTTTTGTAAACAACTACGGTGAAAGACAAATGTGGTTGTTAGATGCATTATTAAGGTACCCACTGAAAAAAGTTTTTTACAGCTCTGTAACTCCAAAAGTAGTTTTAGTGGAACTCACATTAAATGCGCTGATAGCTTGGTTTTCTGCAGGAGATCTAATAAGGTAGATCTCACCCCGACTGTTGACAGCAAAGAACTGCTGAGCAGTGGCATCTCCCGTTATACTGTAAGACAGCTGATTGTGAGGGGGCTGTAAAACAAAACACATTCAATGAGAAAATATCAAGTATAGAAGTATAACAACAGAATCATTACGTGATCACACAATACAAAAATAAAATGATAAAAAGAAAGAATGAAAAGATGTTTTTACTTTACCTGTCTATCAGCATCAGTAGCCCTGATAGTAACAATGGCAGATCCCAAAGCACGATTCTCAAAGATGGTCTGAGTGTAGTTCTGTTGATTCAGACTGGGTGCATTGAGATTCTTGTTGACAGTAAGATCAATCTGCAAGTCAGCATACAGTCCACCGCCATCGGTTGCTCGAATACGAAGCTGTAGAGTACACATGTAGCAGGTACAGGACATGTTATCATTGTGATGCATATATTGCATTATTCTCAATAAATGAAATGTAATCTTGAAACAGTTGAAGTTGTGATCCACTGAATTACTGAATACACAAACATGATAGAGAGAAGTCATCCTCAATACTTAGCTTTAATAATAGAAATATTTGTACATATTCCCGAACATACACTGCACCATAAATGTACATATTCCTGATCAGTTGTAGCACTACATATAAACTCAGGCCAGATTTAGTATTGTCACTCTGCACAATAAGATGTTTGTTATCACTCAACTTACAGTGAATGATCTGTCAGTTGTTGTACATATTCCTGAACATATACTGCACAACATATAAACTCAGGCCAGATTTAGTATTGTCACTCTGCACAATAAGATGTTTCTTATCACTCAACATACAGTGAATGATCTGTCAGTTGTTGTACATATTCCTGAACATATACTGCACTACATATAAACTCATTAGTATTGTCACTCTGCACAATAAGATGTTTCTTATGGCACAACTTACAGTGAATGATCTATCAGTAGTTGACGACAGCAAGGCTCGGGTTTGAATTTCTCCACTAGCAGAGTTGACTTGGAAATAATCAATAGCAGGTCCATCACCACGTAGTGTGTAGGTCAGCTCATTGAAGGGGCTCTGCAATAAGTCAAAGGGTACTGGTGGTCTCAGAGGATTTGGAAGCTTAACAAAACCATGTTAGTGTACATCTATTTCTTCCAGATAAATGTAATTGTTCTATATGTGTTTAACACTCTAAAATAGATATTTCTCAAAACATATCTGAATTAGGATGACATTACATACTTTATGAGTGTGATATACTGAACATAAAAATGTATAACAAAGTACTCACAGCAGTGTCAGTATCAGTGGCAGTGGCTGTGATGACGGGAACAACCTGAGTGATGCTGTTCTCATCAATATTAGCCTGGAGAGTAGTGGGGTTGAAGACAGGCGCCGTGTTCCTGATCACCGTTACTGTTATAGTGATAACTCCAGCTCGTTGTGGCGTTCCTTCATTGGTGCCTACGACGGTGACCTAAAACAACGTTACATACCGCTACACTGTAATTACTCTGATGAACTGAAACATGTAAAGGGATGACACTTTTTGTATTGGTATATGAGAAACAAAACTAGTAACTAGGCCTCACCGTATATGTAGGTACACCAGGATCATCGGTGAATGGGTTGCTCAACACAAGTTGTCCTGTGGTGGGGTTGATAAAGAACAGTGGTCTGCCAGAGGTGGGTACCACACTGCCGATACTGAACATCACACGGCTGTTAGGGGTGTTCTGAAAGATTTTTAAAAAATGCATGAGGAAACCAAAGTTAATACAGCATCCCAAAGTACAACATTCTAAAAAATTACAATCAACTGTCACACAAAACATGCTTAACCAAGGTTCATAAAGATGTAAACACCAAAATTCAAGGCCTTTTTAAGGATTTTCAAGGCTGCCATTATTAAATCCAGCATGCTAAATATTAGTAAGACCTAAAGAGCAGTATGACCATCACACATTTTCAAAGAAGATTTATTTTTCACCCAACAAAAGAATAACTTAAGTCTGTCATGAATTCTTCAGGGTGTTTGTCACACAAATCTAACAATGGGATAAATCTCAATTAAACATCTTTGGTAGATATTCTTGTGTGCTTTAATATTTTGATTAACCAGTCAATTTGTACAAAATCAAGGCTTTTTAAGAGGGACCTTAAAATTCAAAGCTTTTTCAAGCCTGTACGAAACCAGTTAACATTAAACGAAACCTTTCTGCATGCTCTACTTACCGGTGGGTCATTGTCCGCTGCATCAATGTCTACCAGCTGTTCACTGATAGCTAGATTCTCCAATACTGTGATAGCATCAACACCATTGGTGGTTCTAAGCACTGGGGTAAAGTCATTTTGGTCCTGAAATACAGAATTTGAGTTTGGCAATTTTCTACTTATGTGGCATCAACAAGATCAACTATGTAACTCATATGTAAACAGATTTTATAGTTTTTGAATAGAGAATCCATACTGACAATACAATTGTAAAAGTTACAATATCTACCTGAGGAATATTAGGTCCTGATCATCAATAAAATAGTGGCAACCAATAAGTTCTACTTACAATAACACTGATGGTGACAGTGGCAGTGGATGACAGAGTGTTTGTGTTCACCCCATCAGATGTTGTCACGGTCAAAGTGTACAGGTTCTTAGTTTCGTAGTCTAGTGGTATGACAGTACTGATGACACCAGTTGATGGGTTGATGGAAAATGATTGGAACTCTCCGCCAGCAAACTGGTAGACAATGTTGTCTGTCTGGTCTGCATCAATTGCCTGAAAATCACAAACGTTTATGTTACACACCGGTTCATCTTGATGAATGCAACAATCATGTGGGAGGAAAGAGCCTTAAAAGTGAATACGTGGTCATTGAGGTCATGGAGCCATCTGGATTAACAAATATTTCATGAAATATCATGGTATTGGAGGAACATTTCAAGGTGTTCACAGATGGATGAACATATTTAAGCAAAGGTGAAATGATTCACAGTAGTAATTTACCGAAACTGTGAGGACAGATGTTCCGTTGAGGTTTTCTTGTATCGATCCTTCATAGTCAACGTTAACAAACAGTGGTATGCTGTCCTGTGTATCAATGACACTGACAACAACTGTTGCTACATTTGCCCTGGGTGAAGCCCCTGAGTCACTGGCCCTCACTGTGAACTCATGCTGTTTCTGGGTCTCAAAGTCCAGAGGAACAAGTGTGGTAATAGCACCAGTCTGACCATCAATACGGAAGCTGGGAAGAAACAAGACAATGAAACAATTTTATCATTGAAAACTTCACAAATGTGCATTAAAATTGAACTGTTGAGGTGAGATGAAATGGGGTTCAACGTCACATTCAAGATGACTGTTCTTATATATGTGTCTGTTTGTCTGTCTGTCTTTGGTCCCCAAATATTTTCTTTAGTTTTTCTTATCACTGAATTTCTTAACTAATAAACAAATTTAATCATCAATTTTGGAAAGGGAGTTTGACATTTTGACATGTTTTGACACTACTTTTAAGAGTTCAATTTCAAATAAAACATGTTTTCAAAAAAACTTAAAGTTCTTTTCATTATGCTCACTGATCCAACTTTTTACACAGGTTAATGATTTGGGTCATTTGATATCAAGGTACATAGTAAATGACAAAGAAAACAGGATGAGTCTCTACATTTCTCCACAATAAACAAATTTCAACAAAGAATTTTTACATACAACGAATTTTGTCCAACCATGTCATATATGACAGTCGCCTGGGGTGTACCACTCTGGTCACCATCCACAGCCTGAAATCATAACAAACAATTCTATTGAAAATGCAAGCTGGAATAACTAGAATTCTAGATGTTTGGAATTGCATTAACATATGTAGAACAATCAGCCACTTCCACACAATAACCTGGCCTGACATAATAACAAGAAAAATACCAAGCTGGAATAACTAGAATTCTAGATGTTTGGAGTCAGCCACTTCCACACAATAACCTGGCCTGACATAATAACAAGAAAAATACTAGCTGGAATAACTGGAATTCTGTACGTTTGGCATTGCATTAACATATGTAGAACAATCAGCCACTTCCACACATTAACCTGGCTTGACATAATAACAAGAAAAATACCAAGCTGGAATAACTAGAATTCTAGATGTTTGGAGTCAGCCACTTCCACACAATAACCTGGCCTGACATAATAACATGAAAAATACTAGCTGGAATAACTAGAATTCTGTATGTTTGGCATTGCATTAACATATGTAGAACAATCAATCACTTCCACACCATAACCTGGCCTGACATAATAACAAGAAAAATACAAGCTGGTATAACTGGAATTCTGTACGTTTGGCATTGCATTAACATATGTAGAACAATCAATCACTTCCACACAATAACCTGGCCTGACATAATAACAAGAAAAATACAAGCTGGTATAACTGGAATTCTGTACGTTTGGCATTGCATTAACATATGTAGAACAATCAATCACTTCCACACCTTAACCTAGCTTGACATTAAGAAGAACAATACTATAGCCACTAAGAAATACCTACAGCAACATTTCCAACTGTAGCAGGGGGTGTTTGAGCCTCCTGGACATTGAAGAAGTATCTATTATTGATACTGTTGAGGAAGACTGGGGAGTTGTCGTTGACATCGGTGACAATGACTCTCAACACAGTGGATGCTGGCTGTAACAGTAACATGTTCCCACATTCAAGTCATGCTTCATTTAAGTGAATTTGCTCATAATTGTAAGAGACATGATACAGTTCTGCACACAGTCATGTGTACATAGAAACTTATCTTAATTTGGAAGTGGCACTTACAGAAGATCCGAGATCCGCAGCAGTGATGGTGAGGTTGTACTCTGGTACTGTCTCTCGATTAAGTGTCACACGGTTGCTCACAATGCCGTCACTGAAAAATAACATCAACATCATTATCAAACCTGTGACAATATCAATACCAATGGTAAATATCTGATGCTATCATTACTATTGTTGAACCTCTGGAGCTGTCAAACCAGTGGTTATCATTTGATTCTACAAATACAACTTGTCTTCATGCCATACTATCTGCACTATTGGACATTCTACAAATACAACTTGTCTTCATGTGATACCATCTGCACTATTGGACATTCTACAAATACAACTTGTCTTCATGAGATACTATCTGCACTATTGGACATTCTACAAATACAACTTGTCTTCATGAGATACTATCTACACTATTGGATATTCTACAAATACAACTTGTCTTCATGTGATACTATCTGCACTATTGGACATTCTACAAATACAACTTGTCTTCATGTGATACCATCTGCACTATTGGACATTCTACAAATACAACTTGTCTTCATGAGATACTATCTACACTATTGGACATTCTACAAATACAGCTTGTCTTCATGCGATGCTATCTGCACTATTGGACATTCTACAAATACAACTTGTCTTCATGTGATACTATCTGCACTATTGGACATTCTACAAATACAACTTGTCTTCATGTGATATACTATCTGCACTATTGGACATTCTACAAATACAACTTGTCTTCATGAGATACTTTCTACACTATTGGACATTCTACAAATACAACTTGTCTTCATGTGATACCATCTGCACTATTGGACATTCTACAAATACAACTTGTCTTCATGCGATGCTATCTGCACTATTGGACATTCTACAAATACAACTTGTCTTCATGTGATATTATCTGCACTATTGGACATTCTACAAATACAACTTGTCTTCATGCAATACTATCTGCACTATTGGACATTCTACAAATACAACTTGTCTTCATGAGATACTATCTGCACTATTGGACATTCTACAAATACAACTTGTCTTCATGAGATACTATCTACACTATTGGACATTCTACAAATACAAATTGTCTTCATGTGATACCATCTGCACTATTGGACATTCTACAAATACAACTTGTCTTCATGCGATGCTATCTGCACTATTGGACATTCTACAAATACAACTTGTCTTCATGCGATGCTATCTGCACTATTGGACATTCTCCTTAAAAACAGTACCTAGAACACTTCCTTACTTTTAACAGTGCTGTTCCAAAAGCAATGTCAAAATTTCAAATAGAAAAGAAATGACAAAAACTCACTTGTTTATAGAGAATGTATTGCCATTATTTCCATTAATAATGGAAAATGTAAGAGGCTGATTATCTGGATCTGTAGCCTGCAAAAGATGTCATCAAAATTGTCTAAACATTCTTCAGAATGATCAACATGAATAGTAAAAGAAATTACTAATCTAACATTATCTATGTTTTCACATCATAAGAAAAGTCTCAACATTAAAATGTGTTCCACTACTCAGTAGAATATCCTCTAATCACCTCATCTCCCTGCATTGTCTCTCATAACTATGAAATATCAACATTCTTGTCACAAACTCAATATTTCCATGATTGCACTATATACAATAATATTACTAATAAATATGATTCAATAAATCCAAATAAAATAAGTAAATACTGCAAACAGTATTAATCATACAAAAACATAAAAAAATAGGTTCTGAAGGAAAGCACTTTATTCTTACAATATAAGAAGCGCGAAATTAATGATCAACTATTACTATAAATGTCATCCACAGAGTCAACAAACCGGTATAGTGAAGATATCCCTGTTAGCATCAATGCCTTCACTGACATAGACTGTGTACAGTCCTGCTGGAATCTGGGGGTCTTTGTTGCCAGAGGATGTTACTGTGACATAGACAGGTACTGAGGCACTGCAACATGGACAATAACAGTCAGAACAATCACAGAAGGGAACTGGACAAGTTTATCAAAAGGCAAATAATCTCTTTCACAAGAACCTCAATACATGAAAACATTAATTTCATGATTTGGTTGAAATTAACAGCAATCAAACTTAGGCCAATCTTGTGACAGCTGACCTTAGTGGCATGATTGGAATCAAACACTGACATATGCAAAGCTTTAATACAATTTGGTTCATATCTATAGAACATACAGCCTTTTTAAATTTTGCCAATTATATAACGCAAATATGCCATTAATTATACAGGTCCTTCATGCCTAGCGGATAAACAATAGATTGGATTAACAATAACAGAAGAAAAACATCTCACTCTTAGTTCAACTAACATCATTTGGTTTATTCTATTAAATGATAATAATGATAATAAATAAATATATAAAAATAATTTCTGAATATGAAATCACTTCCGAAGTGATTGACCAGTAAACTTATACAGGTTCTCACTAACACATTAAAAGCAGACAGGATGCAATTTTCTAATATTATTTTTACTAAAGTAATCAAATCAAATCAATCAAAAACATAAAGTCAAGTACCTCCTTTTTGGTACGGTGCTGTCAGTAGCATTGACAATGATCGTGTACTCCTCACCAATTCCAACCACGGCCCGAAGAAGCAACTGTCCATTGGTACTACTTATCGTAAACTTGCCAGCACCTCCGCTAGAGACGCTCTGAATCTCATACGTAATACTTGTGTCCACTGAGTCACGGTCCTGGGCTTGTACCTACAGGAGTAAATCAGCAACCTATTATGTCTCTGTCAATCTGCAGCTTGATGTTAAAGAGCCATGAAGTATATTTTCATCTATTCTTCAAGCAATAATTTGAAATTGGTGCACCACTGCACTGCTTTCATTTGCTTTCAACATGAAAGTATATCAGTTGAGGATAAAGCAAGTGGTCCAACACACTTCTGTAAAGTCACCTTATATGGCTCATCAATAGCTGGATTCACTCTTAATGCTAAAGATACAATACCCTTATTACAAACAAGCGATGACCTACCTGGGCAATAAATTCTCCAGCTCCTTGTGTGTAGTCCCCTTCAGGTAAAGATCTACTGTACGGGATTCCAACAAAGAATGGAGTGTTGTCATTGATGTCCACAACATTGACTGTCAGACTGATGCTTCCTGAGCGCTGCTGTGTGGTGTCCTGCTCCCGCACAATCACCTAAACAGACACAAATTATGGCATACCATCAGAAGCAAATCACAAACTAAGCAAATAAATAAGCTAAGCAGTATCAGATTTCACTGGAGATGTAAACTTAGATGTAATGTTCACCACTTATTTCTGCATTGTTAAAAGTGAAAAGTTAGGAGTTCCTTGATCTCTTCTCACTGCGACTGCTACTCACATTAAATGTGTACTGTTGCACAGACTCATAATCCAAGTTTCCAGCTGTTACTCGGAGGAAACCATCGTTATCCACAAAGAATGGACTTGACGGTGTAACTTCATATGTATACCTCTGGGGGGTGTCTCCAGCAGCCTGAAACAACAGGACAAAAAGAAAGGTTTATGGTCTGCATTACCTCCTCCATTTCAACATTTCATTTGCCAGTGTACAGTATGTATGACATAAAACTGTTTATCCATCAACTTATTATATCATGTTCATCCCATCGGGATTTCCAAGTAGAATTTGCCTCAGAAAAGTTGAACAGGTTGTGAGGGTTGGTGACCTGGTTAATTGAGTGTCATTGCAGCAGCAGCATTGGACTTTACTCATGATATCAACTACTGGTTTGACTGATCCAAACCCGATTGTTGACAAGTCACTGTGACGTAACTGGAACATTGATGATTGCAGCATTAGACAATATTTATTCACTCACTCACTCACTCACTCAGACACTCACTCACTCACAATATCTTGATCTGTATCACATTTAATCTTTCAACTTACAATATCTGCATCTGTAACTACAAGCTTTAGAGGATTTTGAAGCGGCTGGTCTTTGACAAAAGCTCGGGCCAGAGCATCTTCTCGGATGTACCCAATCGGAGAGCCGATGGATGTTGACACAGAGGGTGGGTTATTGTTTGCTTGGGCCACAGTCAGATACACAACAGCACGGTTGTATCGCGCATTGGCAGAGGATTCCCGTGCCTGGGAAACAAAATCCAAAGGTTAGGGTAACAATGCCTTCATGTATATAGGTGTAGTTCCATATGTAAGAAACATGTTTTCTTTGCCCTAAGACACCAGTGAATCAACAAAGATGCTAAGAACATCTGGATCCTGGATAGCATACTTCTAAACAATAAACAAGTCATTAAGAGATTATGTTAACAAATATTAAACAGTTTCAAGATGAATTCTAAAAACAGACACAATTGTCAATCAAATCGAAGTCCCACTTGTTTCCAGGAGAATTTCAATAACAGGATCTAGGAACAGGGACATGATTCTTTGTTCTCTTCCCGTGTTCACACCTGAGAACTTTAAGTCAAATGGTCATAAGAGTACCATGCAGTCTATCAATACAAGTTAACATGAACTTTTTACATCATGTGCATATAACTAGCATAATGACATTGAGTTGAGAGAAAGTTCATTTAGTTCTGAAATCTTACCCGAATGATGACTTTCAGATCTCTAACTTGACTTCTGTCAATGGCTGCTACCAACTGAAGCCGTGCTCTGTAGGTGCTGGTACCTGGGATTTGCTCACTCGCCACTTGAAATCTATTCTCATATCCACGAGGTTCAGCTGACGAAAAAAACATGTCTCTTGTATTATTTCAGTTTTTGACTAACACTGATAGAAACAAGGCAAAAAGTGAACAGGGCTCACAAATACCCCTGACTTGGACTCCCAACATATTTCTAAGTTCAAAACATGAAAAACCAATATTTTCTCAGAAAATCAACTTATCGAACTCAAACTTTGCAATACACCTCTCCTACTGGTAAAGAAACTGTATCCCCGATTTGAAATAAATCAGGCAGAAATTATCAAGTAATAGGTTGCACAAATGTTGAAGATAAAAAAAATTTAAATTTCAAAACATGAAAAAAACATGTTTTCTTAAGAAAATACACATATCAAAACCAAACTTTGCACGGCACCTCTCCTATTGGTATAGAAAGTGTTCCTTAAATTTGAATAGAATCCATAAAGTAGTTCTCAAGCTACAGGTCGCACAAGTGTTGAAGTAAAACAAACATTCTAGGTTCAAAACTTGCAAAAATTCATATTTTCAAATACACAAACTTTGCACTGTACCTCTTCTAAAAGTATGGAGACTGTTCCCTAAATTTTTAAAGAATCCATAGCATAGTTTTCAAGTAATAGGTTGTACACAAAGGGATGGACGGAATTCCTTAGTTTAACTATATAAGAAACTTGTCGCAACAGTACTCATTATTAGATGTATACTAAACTATACATTAACTTAGTACCATGTGAATTTTCAAGTGCGTCTTTGAACGCTTTTTCAGTTATATTAAACCAATGAAGATGCGAGTCTTTAGCAACCCATGCTTGTCGTAACGAGATCAGGTGGTCAGACTTGCTGACTTAGTTGATGCATGTCATCGTATCCCAATTGTGTCGATCGATGCTCATGATATCAATCACATATTTTGCTTGGTATTTTGCTGATAAACCAATGATCAACATCAGTAAGATTCTGTGAATAGTAGCCATTATCATAGAACCCTGGCACACTCAGAAAGGCAATTCTTCACAGCATTAGAGGACCGGTTTACCCATGCCACTTATAAATTAGGAATTGAGATAGAAGGAATGTACCCTTTTTAACAAATTTGTAAGAAATTTAGACATTACAAAGATTTTGAACATCCTGGAGATCTTTGGATGTTTATAAAATGGTCACTGGTATTCATGTGTAGGTGACGGAGTGCTTACTCAGTTCCACTGTGAAGGTAATGGGGCTGTTGAGAGTGTCCTGATCCCTGGCCTGGATGTTGATGGCAACATTGGGGTTGGAAGCAGGAATTGGAAATACAGAAACTTCGCCAAGCTGGAACACAGATTACAATGTTTATCATCACTGATCTCACACATTTTCCACAAAGTTATCTGAAGCAGTGTTTCCTGAAGATATCCCTCAAAATATATGACGACTATTAAATAAACTCAATATTCAACAGCTCCTCCCCCTGTATCTAGGCCCCTGCGTAGAAATTAGCACTGGCCCGCAAGCCCAGACCAGTTTTGTTAATGTTAAAGATATCCTAAGGGCTAGTAGAATTTTAAAACATTTTTGGGGGTACTGCTATATGTTGTCACTATTCGGGCTATTAGAAATCCTATATATTATTTTTTTCTACCCCCGCTACGCATTAGTATCAATGTGTTTCTTCCTGGTGTAAGTCAGTCCCTCATTAATCACATCAAATCAGACATTTTCGTCAAATATATCCCTATGCAACATGTCTTCGAGCCTCACCTATTTTTGAGCCCCTAAACAATATGTAACCATGTGCTTAATGAAGCAATCAAGGTAGACGGTTCAAAGCCCACTGAACACACTAAAGTGTTTGTCACTTGTCGCTAAAGTTATGCCACAAATTAAGTTACTTGAGGTAAGATATTCACTAAGTAGTGAAAACATACTTTTTCTCTCATGCACATTTTAAACAAACTTGAACTGATGATGATTTTGTTAGCACTAATAATGCATCTGATGCTGTTTCTAAACTTCCTGTCTGTAATGTCATGTGACTGATCATATTGTGCATCTACTTTTAACTTGACTGTCATGAGGGGCTCGAAATCATGTGACGGTAACAAGATGGCTCCTGACTGACTCGTCTCACTCGATGAGGCATTATCACTCTAAAATTAACAAGACATGGATGGTTATTTGACCATCAAAGTGCTAACAGAAATAAATGTTCTCAAACGTTAGTCCTAATTTTAGTGTATTGGGATTATAAGACATGTAATCAGAAATACTTCTATGTCTCGAAAACCCATAGCACGAGGATACTTGAATTTGAACCCAATGTCAACAAAAGATAACTTGGTATTTCAGACAGACTTACCGACTGTCCCGATACGATGGATGCTGAGTAGGATGGGTTGAAACATTTATTTGCAGTATCAGTGTAACATGTTGGATATTCAAAGATAGGCTTCTGGTCGTCTCCATCTGTTATTGTGATGTTCAGGGTGGTTGTACTGCTTCTTTGAACCTCTGGTGGTACAGCCGAATCCTACAGGAAGACAGAAATTGCTGACATGTATTTTGTAGACATGATCAAAAGAACATTGCTACGAACAGCTTCATTAAGACATCCTAGATAAATTGCAATTTATATCACATTCTATGCTGCATACATACCCTTGCTCTGATTGACAGGACGTAGTTGGTGTTTCCAGCTGCGTTCAGGACCTCGAAATCCAGAGTATTTTTGACTGTCACATATCCCAAGGATGGGATATCAATAGCAAATTTATCTGATCCTGCAGTCTGAAAGAGAAAGTCATACTAACTATTATCGATTGCTCAAATAGACATCTAATTTGTTTGAAAAAGACTTATATGAATTAAAACCATACAAACAAAGTTAAATAGAATGATTATGAAGGGTTTTTTTCCTTTACACTGCTGTATAAGAACATGAGTAATGTAGAAAGCAACTCTTACAGGAAGAATATCAAACACAATGTTCTTGTTGAAATCGAAGTCCAAGTCCGTGGCTGTAACATCTCGAAACACTGTTGTACCAATTGGAGTAAGCTGAAACAAAGAACAGAATTCTGATTAAGGAAAGATGGAATTTACATTTCACGGAAATTGACTTTAAAAGTGTACTAGATTAAATAGTGATAACATTTGAACATTCCACAAAATCATAATCGGGAAAAAGGATAAACTTAAGGCAAGCTTGATTTAAGGTTTGTGGGCAAGTGTAATGTCCATGCTTTATGTCACATTTGCTAGCAATTGCAGGTGACTTTACAGCAATTAAAGCCCCCAAATGAGGGTTCCAGCCACTAATGCCTACGTCCACTTTTGCCTACAGTTACTATTGCCTACACAAAAATAAAGCTGATAAAGCTGATAATGCCTACACAATGAAAACAACATACCCATGCTAGGAATGAACTCTTCCAATATTAGATTTCTTTGAAATCAGCAAATATCTGCTGGTGTATACTATAAGAACTAATGCAATGATGCAGAAATCATAAATTATTACTGTTAGTGTTATGGCAATGTGAAATAAAAAGTGACTTCATACAATTTTCTGTCTTTTGTTGCCTATAGGCATTATTCCACTAAAGTGGACTTGTCCAGTTAGAGGTTGGGTAGCACTGATAGCAGGTGTCGCTGAAAATCACTGGTGCATGACTTTGTTTATTGTAGACTGTAGGTATTAGTGGACGCCGCCCAAATAAGAGTGTACTATCTAGTTTTTATTATCTCTCTCTATCTACCAGGTATTATCAACTTACCTCATTGACAGAGACAGCGTAGGGAGCATTTTTGAACACTGGACTGTTGTCGTTGACATCCAAAATCTGAACCCTCAGCAAGATGAAAAAAGCCTAAGAAGACAAAAATGACAATTAAAACCTGTATGATATTCATAATTTGCCACAGGTCTTGATGACATATGCACCTGCCTGAAGGACAGTAATTGCAATTTTAAATCCATAAAGAGTTCTTAAAAATTAATTATCTTGAGACAGAAATGACAAATTATCTGCGTATCATAAAAAAAATAAAAGACAGTCCCTTACACCAGACATTTGGGAATGAAACATAATCTTGTAAACTGGGATTCTGTATCATCCAAAGTATCATTTTCACTATACCTGCTTTTTATGACCTGAAGACAAATGTACCAAATGTATGTTGTATTACATGATGGCTTAGCTCAACAGTATGCAATGATATTGATCTAAATAAGCACAACTCTAAATGTTTCAAAATAATGAAAGGCATTTTCAAAAGATAAAATTTTATGTATTTGTGTTCTTGATAAATATTTAAGACCATTATACCCGAGAACATTATGGATAAAACACATTAAAAGAAAGAAAATCTCTGTTGGATAAAAGTCATCTAATTCTTAAACTAAAAAAAAAGATAAAAAGGAACAAAAACATATGCATCAACCTGATTAATCACATTAATGACCCATGGGTTGAAATGAAAATCTCATAACGACCTAAAGGAACATGTCCTGCAAATAGCAAGACTGCTGAGCCATGTAGCTTTTTGTGAACAAGCGTCATATCAGATGCAAAAACATTCATGACATTAACTTACACAGATTCAGCAACAATAGCAAAGTAAGACACTCCAAACTGTTTTAATAAAAGTAATGCAAATTGAAAATATTAGTAAGCATTAAATCCAAAGATTCAAACTTGTCCATTATGTGATCCAAAGGAAATGGTGAAAAATGAAAAAGAAAATTATGTTCTGTGAGTCTAGTAGCCTGAGCTTATATTTCAGTATCATTTTAGCAGTTGTTTATTTTACATCTACCATTGCAACATGAACTTAATCCAGACCTATTGGTCTTCATAAGATTTTTTCTTGGCAAAAGTGCTAAAACACAGGTAGCAAAATTTAAAAAAATATATTGTCTGAGACAAATATAAGATGGATAAGATTTGATGTTAACTCTTGAAAACAACAAAAACAAAAACAAATGTAACTATATCAAAAGTAAGTCTTTTGTCAGTCAAATACAAATTTCAAAAAAGATATTTGTTCACACTTCCAAAGCTAGGCTCATATGTAAAACAAGAAAAAAGGCGATCTGGTCTCACAAGACAAGGCATCAATGGAGGGCTAAACATGCTAAAGTTGTGACTAAATCAAGTGATGTGAATGTTTTCTAAGTGAGATGAGTGGGAATGAAAATCTCACGAGAAATCAAATTAACATGTCTGGCAAATAGCAATACTGCTGGTATTAGATGGTAGTAAATTCATGACATTAGCTAGGACTAATTCAACAGGTTCAGGTTCAGCTAAAAATAATAGAAAACCTAGAAACACACTAAACTGGTTCAATAAAAGTAATGAAAACTGAAAAATATTAGTAAGCATCAGTTAAAAAAAATACATACTTGTCCATTCTGTGATTCAAAGGAAAAGAGATATCATATAATCTGTAATCACCTGGTAATTACTTTTTCTACATAATCTTCTTGGACATTGCATAAATTTAAGTGGACAAAAGTAATTTTCGATTCAAATACCTGAAACAAGAAACTACCTTCTAAACACTTTCTCAACTGTATCGAAAACCCAAAACATACATCACTATCAGCAATAACGGCAACAGTAACTGTGAGCGCCATATGATATGTAACATATTCTTAGGAGTAATAATAGTGAACATTGTGAGTGAATAGTTTAAGATATTGTCATCAGTATTCCAGCTATATAATGACAGCCTGTAAATAATTAAGTCTGGGATGCGCAAAACAGTGGTTAATAGCATGAGCAACTATCCATGCAGTCAGGGTATGAATGACACATAACGCAGGTTACATAATATAAAACCACCCAATTTTCATTCTGGTTGGCTCTTTCAGCAAGCGTGGGATAGTGAGGAAAGTATTCTGCCTCACAGTCCCCATAAGGTTATGAATAATAATATTGAAGTCAGATGTCAAAGATGTATAACATGGTATAACATAAAATTACACCATACATGTCAACATCTGCACACTGATGCTGTAACTGGCCAAACTGTCACTGGTCAAGAATCTGTTGAAATTGAGTGGTATAAGAACTAAGTAGTCATACAAGGCAAGTATGAAAAAGGGTATGTAGAAATCATCCCATTACATATGTCCAAGTCTGTCAGAGGTCTGGATAGCATGTAGTAAGCATGTGTAAAGTTGGTCAGTCAGCATCATAATGATCATATTGCCAGATTAGTATACATATGCATTCAACTAATACATACAAAACATTGATAGGTTCTTATGGGTTATCCTACCAACCCTAAAAAGCCACACTGAATGTTAAAGAAATTCTGCATTGTCAATATACCAAACATGCTGAAGACGATTGTCAACATGGTCAATAATACCCACAATTGTTTTTAATGATTTTCAGTAACCATGGTAACTAGCATATGTATACGGCTGGAAAGAAATAAGGGAACCCATAAGAAATTAATTACATTAAAGGATATTGCAGAAGAATATGTACCAATCTCCTGTCATCAACAACAGGGTTCACATATAGATTTTTATGAAAAATAAATGCTCCCCTAATTTCAGTATTTCCATCAGTATATTTTACACACCAACATGTAAACAAAGTTAATTCCACGCTTTGTAAAATCATTGTAGTTGACCTAAAAGTAATATCCCAATTACCTCAGCAAGCAACCATTATTGAACTTACTGGTACAAACATCAGTGTGTTAGTTACTCTTGTCATCGTCAAGGGGCAAGATGAATGTATGAAAAGAGTTAGCATGCTAAATTTGGATCTGCTAAGAGATAATAATAGTTTGGCATAATCATCACTGAAAGTGAGTTGATGCAGCTTTAACGACAAAAAAAATATACTGAACTAAACAAGTTAGGGATCATGAATATTTGTTGGAATATCTTTTAGTAGTGAAGATTGAGCACACAATTTCAGAAAGATATCCCAAAAATATTCATAATCCCTAACTTTTTTTGTTCAGTATACTTCTGCCATCAGCATGATGAGTAAACAAGCCCCTTCAACCGTGTTGACAACGTCAATTTCTGTGTTTGGACAAGCTATGGAAATTCTGAAAAGTATGTTTCCCAAAGTACATGTACATAAAAACATAGGCATTTCATCCACACATATCTTCAAAAAACCATCACTTGTGAACAAGTTATGTCTAGTTTTTTATCATCTTAAGAATGATTTCTCCATATCTTTTTCATGTCTGTATGAAATGTTCTGCCTAACTATCTCATCATGAATTGCAATCTAATCCTAACCACAGAAGTCATACTGGGCAAGGAATTATGTTTCCAAGAATTGGTATGGCCCTACCTATCACATCTTCCCGAGGCAAGGGAGTTAACTGACTTTAAAAGTCCAGTTTCCACCCTTGCCGAACTAGACTGGAATTACTGGGCTCGTTCGTTGCGCCACCAGTGGCTATTACCAATTATGTCCCTTCTAAGCCTCTTCTATGGACCAATCAGATTTCACCTGTCGTATCACTTGCGTTTGCTTCACACAAAATGGTGGCGCCCAGTCAGGACGATCTGATCGATAATCAAGATCTATATTGTGATAAAACGGGTCTTACATCGCAAAATGCATCAAATCACGTGAGCACCTTGATTAAAAACATGACAGGATTTGGAACATATCTGCTGACAACAAATTGGCGATGCACATGCTTTGCAAACCCTGCAATCGATCGAAATCTGCATGACAGTTTACGAACCGGATTTTGATGTCGGTGCACGATTTTGATTGGACTATGTATAGACTTGTTAGTCCAGACAAAACGTAACTCCATAATACCAGCCTAGTTCGGCAAGGGTGGAAACTGGACTTTTGTAATCAGTTAACTCTCTTGCCTCGGGAAGATGTACCTATCATGGCTATGCAGTGTTTGAAATTGAGCATAAAGCTCTAAGGGTCCTTGTCATTATCCTAATATTAAATATGTCATGTATGTTTGGGGTACATGTGAACATGCTTATATGCATTCTTACATTTGCCAAATTTCCTGTGCTAACTTATTCAAACAATGATTATGTACACATGTTTTATATCTCAGTGTAATTATACGTTTTGATATATTTGTTTCAAATGATAGTATATGATAAGACTCTCTGTCTCTCTCTCTCTATTGAAGCAAACATCAAGGACCCCAGAATCCCCTTCAATACGAACACTGCTATGTTCTCATGGTCTATATCATGCAGCAACTGTGCCATAACAGCAAACAGTAAGTCCTACTTGCCCATGGAAGCTAGCCTCATTCCTCCCAATGCAATTACAGACACAGGGTGACAACATGCAGCCCTCATGCCCATGCCCTACATACTACTCACTGCGTCAGGATTTGCAAAAAGACCAAGTGGTGTGTACCGCTAAACAAACAATAGGACTTCTACTCCACAAATCTAATAAGCAAAGCCCAAGTATTTATATACAAAAAGCAGATAGACACATAAGCAACTACTCAGAACCAACAAAAGCTACAATCAAAGTTGTTTGATGTATGGCTGCATTGTGTAGATGAACAGTGAAGGTAGTTATGACAGGGGCAAGTAAAACAGTGCAAATATTCATAGTCAGGTGCAGAATACTGACTATATCAAACTGTAAATGCTAATGTCAAGGTCATATGAAGACACAAGTGTTGAAGTCTTGAAGAAGGCGTCAAAATTGTCAAGATCACATGAAGAATGTGTCACCATCAATGACAAGGTCCTATGAAGACGTGGTCAACATCAGATGTCATTGTCATGACAACAGTATCAGCATCAATATTGAGGTCAGCTAGTCAGTGCCAGTAATACTTGGTTTCAATGTCATGTCAGAAAGATACTATCAACATAACTGTCAAGTTTTGTATCAACGATGATGTCAGGAAAGAAGTGAGGAAGACAGATAGAACACTTATAAAGAGGTTGTGTGAAAATATCATGAAGGTCTTGAAGATTGTGTCAAGACTAAAGGTGATTTATATTTGACAATGTGAATATCTATGTAGGTTGGGAGAAAATGTCATCATCAATGGAGAGGGTAGGATGACTTTGTCAAACAAATTCTGAAGTCTAGAAGACAGTTTATCAACCTGCATATAGGTCAGGATGAGAATGTCAAAACAAATAGAGAAATACATTGCAGAAATGTCAATTATTAATTCATCATTGAATTCATGACTTAAACAAAAAGCAACAACATTTAGGACTACTTACAGTGTTTATGGTGAGGTCTGTACACTGGAGGGTATACTCAAACACAGTATTGTCATCAAGTGAATCTGGACGATCACCCTAAAAAATCAATATTGTATTTAACACCTGATCCTGTTCCCCAAAGCAATGTAATTTCTAAAACTATGAAAACTATCACAAATCCATGTTGAAGCATTGACGTTTCTGAACTAATATCCCAATCTCATTAAAATCATATCTTAGTTCTCGCTATCGCTAAACAAAGATCTGTGGACATCCCACTACGGGTCACGTCAGAACGACCTTTCATCCAACCAATCAAAGCGTCACTTACCAGATCATAAAAGTGACAATCAGAATGTGTTTTCTCATCATGCAACCTCGAAAACGTTAACACAGGGTATTCCGACGGACAGTCACGGCTCGTACAACTGATTCCTTCAAAATTATCGTCTGTCTCTCACTTCCGTGGGTCAAACATTTGAACAGAGGAGGCGTTGCACAGTACATGGGAAGTACTGTCATAAAATCTCAACTATATATTAGACATTCCGGAATGTTCGTTTGTTAAGTTTTCAAACTTTTAATCGAGAACTGTGCCAACATATTTTTCAAGCATATTCTGAAATGAAAGTCGCCAGGTTGAAACGAGTGCTGTAAAGCTCAAGAAAGCTGCTTTCTAATTGGCTGATGTAGACTTCTTGTTTGTCACTTCAGTAATCGGTCAAAGTTCACGAAAGGTCGTTCTGACGTGACCCGTAATGGGATGTCCTCAGATCTTTGTTTAGCGGCAGCTAGAACTCAGATCTGATTTTAATGAGATTGCTAATATCCCAGTGACAAACAGAGACAAGAAACGGAAACAATGTGAGCATTAATTCTTAATGTGGACTTAGAAAATGTTTTGCTTGAAATTTCTTGAGATAATCATATGATTTACTGTGTTAAAGTCACTAGTACATGTAGTAATAACAGAAAGAGTAAACATGCTATCGACGGACCAATATATATTGCATAAACAACAGTATGCATCAGTGTAGGAAACACACAAGTGCCAGGTGTAATTTAGAACATACATCTCTGTTAATGGGCTTCTTGAGTCTCAGGAACCATTCCCTTCCAGTTAAGCTGCCACTTCGGACGCCAGACTCCAGATCAAAGTACTCCCCAGGAGGAAGCTTAGCAGCAGCATTGGCATCAAACTGAAGCCCAATACTATTTGTATTGCCTGCCAAGCTGAGTCCAGCTCTGTATTCTGTTGGTGAAGCTAAAACGAAAACCATCTTGGTTACCTCATGTCCCTCATCTTCCTAGGCTATTTTTTGTTCTCGTACATATTTATGAAGTACAGTCAACATTTCTCATTCATTCTGTAAGGAAGTAGTGCTTCTCTGTAAGTATTGGAGGTGAAACGATGCAGCAAGGTCACAATACAATATGTACCGCGATACACACAGTTACATCAAATCGTGTGGAAATGTTTTGACTATTAAGTATTTCAGAGCAGGTTTCAAAGGAAAGGCTAGCTGTAGACACATGTTCTTAGCGGGTATTTTTAGTGTTGAACTTGAAATGCATATGACAACACATTTTGCAATATTTGACTGACAAAAAACCCTGGAGGTCATTAAATGAGTTGCTAGTAACATTAGCAAACGTTTCGTCTTTTATCGATATAGAAAAGTATGATGCACCAATGAATGTAGCAAGGTTGCATATCCACTAAAAATTAAGAGTAAAATATGGGCATATCATGTTAAACAAGCACACAATCATCTAATTATACCACTGGGTTTATCCAGATATACTATGATATACAACTTACCATCAATCGCTGCCTGAGTATCTGATTCCTTTATAGACACGCTCAAAGTTCCCACAGCTGATGCATCTTGGCAAGTGTCTACAAACAAACAAAACACATATCACCAAGATCATCAAGGTTACATCCACTTTCAAGGGGAGTTTTGGTTACACTTAAGCATGAACACAAAGTCTTCATAATCTTTTACAGAAATTGTGAATATATAATCCAATACCCTGTCAAAAATATCATTATCAATAAAATGAAACTTAAATGAAAATCAAGTCATATACCAGAATATCCCAGGCCTTATTTTTGTGCAGTCCCAAACAATTATATATATTGACATGTATTACATGAATGACCTTTACATTGTATTCCTTCTTGAACGAGTCTTTGGATATAAATATAAAGAACATGATTACAATAGAAAGTTCATCTTTGAACATCATGAACACAGAAAAATGATTGAATTAAAAATAGAATGTTAAAAAATACACATTTGATTATACATGTTATAGGACCACTGCAATAACATTCCATGACATTCTTGGTACGAGATCATAGTAATCACCATGACACCATGCTTTATTGAACTTTGCATGCAAAAGGGGCAATTCAGAAAGTGTATTCAACAAAACAAATAGAAGACAGTAATATCAAATGTATGCATATCATGCCAATCAACAGGTTAAATTTACATGCTTGAACATGTTGAAACAGGTTTAATCCATGCATATTTGAACAACAGTAGACCAACAACATAAACATCAACCCAGATCCATCAATCTTTCATTACCAATATATAAGAAACACATCAGGCACATTCTTGAAATAATCTATCCATCATCCTCTGCAGGCAGCAAGATCTTCAAGATGCACATTATGTAGTCTTACAACTGCAAACTTTGTACATTCCTTTAACATATCCATCTATACCAAGCATAGAAACCAAACCCATCGATCAGAAAATCCAAGTTTGGTGTACCTAAACCATTCATGGAACAATCCTTCTCATCTGACCCATCTGGACACTGTAAAATCCCATCACATATACAAAATCGAGCAACACAGGTGCCATCAGCACACAGGAATGTGTTGGGGTCATATAGACACTGGTACTCAGAAAAGTGCCCGAATATGTTGTGATCCAAGTTGTAGGCTGAGTTCCAAACATAGTCCAACTGGTGGGAAGAGCTGTCCACCAACGCCCAAGACTTGTCTAAATGTGAGATGCAAATGTCAGGAAGTCCTTCAATGCTTATCTCCTGTACACAAGCCTCGTAACTAAAATGTGTATCTAACATGTAAATATACACAATCAACACGACCATACAACATGCTACACAAACATATCAACAAAACTAAATCGGACTGTCAAATGAGAATGAGAGGCAGATGAAATTCAACTTAAGTAAAAAAAAGTAAAACCTGTTATGAAATTTTTTACGATCAGTTTCAACATAACTAAACTTTGCTACTAAAATGAGATTCATGCATGTCACAGTATACAACTTTCTGTAATATTGCAATTATATGTGTGTACTGTACTATAGCCACCCAAAATGTTGTTTACTGAATGATCTTACTGTTTTCAATGCATTTTTAATTTTTTTGAAACATTTATCAAAATGTGAAATTACCAAATACATGTACATTGCTTCACCTAAACCATCAGAGATAATGTTTACATCTACTATGATATTTACAGAGAGATAGTCAAGCTAATTCAGAATGACAGATCTCATAAGTGTTGTGTTGCTGTTCTTGTTCCTCATATGTACTGTTCAGATACAGTGTCACTTAATCACGTTCTGATTTGTTACCCTGTGTACCATTGCAATGAGCAAAATTGCTGAGCAAAATGCTATTAACAGGTGTGTTCAGCATTGTTTAGTCATGTTGACATAAAATTAAATATGATTAAACAATTCTTTGATCTGAAAATAATTACAGTTATCTTCAAGTTAAATACACAAAATATTAAGTATTTCAAGTACATTTAAAGTATCAATTCAAGTATTGATCATATTAAAAAAACAGGTTATATGACGTAAAATTGTGGAAAATACACTTAAATACAAACTAACTATATGATGATTTATAGGTTGTAAAAAACAATATAGACTAATGTTTGAGGATGAAATCCAGACCAATTACCAACACTAGAATCGGAAATCCTTCTCTCCGAGTAAAATTCACTTCATTACTCAGTACTTCACAAAGCACTCACTTTCCAATCTTTAGACACTAATCTCAGTAGCTGCTCCAGGACAAACCTGATAAAACCAAGGTGTATAATATAGAAGTACTGCACTGATATTAAATAGTATACTTACTGTAAAAACTGACTTGCTGTGTTGTTAGTTGTATACATGTCAGCAGCATTAGGACACAGGTCAGAATAACCTGTGTCGGCGCTGACGGCGTTGTCGCCATCTTGTGTGTCTCCCTTGGAGTTGAGGTTGGGGTAGCTGCAATAGATTTGAATATTAAAACCCCTGATCCTAATTCATTGTCTGTCCTCTGGTAAATAAACCAATATTTGGATAAACTGAATCATGCATTAAGTAATGTTTTTATCCAATTCATGATATTGGTTTACCTATACACGCAAAAACCATATACCAGTACCTAGAAAGTGCTCTAAAAAGTAAACGTAGTCATGCAATTTCTTACTCAAATTCACATCAGATAATTTTTTTTAATCCCACAATCACAAAGTAGCCCTAATCCTATAATGCAATACATGTATTTTGTTTTACTCTTGAATTATCAAACTATATAAACATACTAAAGATAAAATGATATACTAGTTATTAATGATTTCAAGAAAACACAAGGAATTGTGTGAGTACTGTGTATCATAACAGACATACAGCTAGTACAGTAAACATGTTAGCATTTCATTTTCACAACTTAGACAGAAATTATAAGAGCTACCAATGGTTACACAATTTCACACTTACAGATTAACATTCAAAACAAGAATAATAAGACTAATGCCAAATTGACTTCTAATTCTACTCAAACAGTAAGATAGTCATGACAGTTGCTTGTTGCATACAGAAAGAATTATCAGCTCTCCTATAACACCGTCTTTTCTCTTTCATATTTCAGACACATTTTTATCATATTGACAAATTTGGAAACATATTACATAAAATGTTAAAATTTCAAGAACATGCTGTTATATACTCTGATAATAAGCAAGGTTTTCTTTTCATGAATGAATACTTGAAGCCCTGCCCTCTGGAGTGCATGAACGCGTATCGTCGCGATGACAATAGCTAAACCAGCCTTCTAACTTGCCTAACAAGTTCTCTGTAGGGCTGACTATATTCCACTCCCAGGCGACAGATTTAGACATGATAGAATAAACTGGGTCATGCTGGATAGGGGACAAATGTCTTTATAAACCTGCTCAACGCTAAAGATAATGTTATAGTATCATTCCAGTACAATTAGCACCTAAATATTAATACTGATTATGTTCAAGAGATTAATGGCTAAAAAACATTTATTTGATAATGCTGACAAGCATGTTTGTTTCCAAGCAGTTTCAAATGTGACTAACTTTCAATGTTTAAAATATGCAAATCATTTATTCATCTAATTTTACATTAAGATTCAGGACAAGCTATGCAATATTAAGCAACTGCCTTTTCTCTATACAAACATACCATGTCAAACTCATGCACATTGCTCCATTTGAATGAAGTCTCCTTACATTGAATACAATAAAGTGACAACTAGAAAAGTACAATGAATTTTAAGGGAAGTTAATGTTTAAAGTTAGCACCAATACATATGAAACAAACATCTAACACCATGTACACAGCAGAGTCTGTACTATGGCATTACACAAAGATTACTGATAATGACAATATAGTCTTAACACTTTATCAAATGCAAATAAGAATCTAAATACACTATTTATGAAATATAAAATATATCATTGGTTTGTGTACCATTATCTTATCAATTAAAGTAATTTACAGGCAAATATTCATGCCAATAGTATAGCGAGTAAAACATGAAGTCAAAATAAAGATATTTTTTCTTGTCATGTCCTGTTTGAAGATAATATATAATTCAATGAAAGAAAGTAACAAGACCATCCCTCTGTTAAAATATTTGTCCATAGATTACACAAATTACCGTCCTTCGCAGGAGACCCTGTTGTGTCTATAAAGCATTAAAAACCTTATCTTTGGCCACAAACATCCAACAAGTTTATACTCATATATTGTAAGATGTATTTCACCTGATAATCTGTTTGAAGTGGACTGCATTAGGTATTTCTTAGAATGATGACAATCTATTTTCATATTGTCACATACAGTAGGCCTATTCATTAGCAAGAGACAGTTCATGAATGTGTTATGTTTTTCAGATTGTTACGTTTTGGGGAAATATCGATAAATATTTCATTAACAAAACACATCAAAATCAACTGACTTCCCTCTTACGTTCAAAATAACATGTGGGAGTTTTATTATAACAGATGACACAGTGGTCGTATGCAGTAACTCGCCTTGCCAAAGCAACTAAATCAACACGACTGAAAAAAATCAATCACCTCAACTTCATATGTACAATCATCCACAAATCATTGTACTATGTCTATTGAATTATGTGAACAAATTAATCGAAGAGATTTTGACATTACAACGACAAATTATACCTGATTGAAACTAAAAACCCGTTCCTAACACTAACAAACACGCGTAACGTTGTACAGGGCGGTGACAGCAATTGCAGAGTCTTTTACAGCATTTCAGACGCTAACTCTGTATTTTACATATATACACTAGCACACAATATTCCTCACCTTTTCGAAATGTCCAATCCCTCCAATGATAAGTTAATCACAACCGGAGAGAAAGAATAACAGAAACACAGGTAAAGTGAATGTAACCGGCAGCTTTGCCACCACACCTTGTGAGACCCGTTATGATATGCTGTCGGATATATCCCATTGGTTTTCATAATACAAGGCTGCGCCGACCGGTTATTTTGGAATGCCTTCAATAGGCAGAGACGGTATACAGCAACTTGCAGAACCGGTTCGAGCACTGACGCAGCCATCTTTGAAAACATTGCCATGTGAAACAATATTAATAGCAACCAATCAAAACCGTTTTACTGCGTAAAGCTACGCGTCCATCTTCGTATCTTGTTATCGTACTCGCTCACTCTATGTTGGTGAGAGTGCTTCAGTCAACTGTCAAGTCTTAGTGTTGAAACTTTTTTTTCCAACAATGGTAAATAATCAACAAAAATTGAAAAAACAAGGTGAGGTTATGTTTTATCTTTGTGTATAAAAAAAATGTCACATGCTGTTTATATTTATATTTGAAAGTGAATCGTCAATTAACAGCGGGGAGTCTTAATTGGACTTCCTGGCAACAAGCGTTATCCATGGACAGGCAGTTGCAGGTGGTATTTGTCTTCGAACAATAAACATTTAAACTGTAATTTGTGTTTTTTCTCTTTACATAAAGTCGTTATATATCACAACTTCTACAACTATACTTATCGTATCCCTTAACTTTATTTAATCCCTGCGTGACCGTGGTGTGCATGCATGCATTGCACCAATCAAAACCCGATGATGTTGCCGCCTATTTGTTATCTCTATATTATACACGTCCACATTCTTATGTGCATAATAAGGAATCTGGCGTACATGTGTATCGTAGATAATCTCCGGAAATAAATACACCAGATTAATACCGCCACGTGCAAGAACAGTACTATAACAACATTGTTAATCATGTTTATTGAGCCTGGGTAATCTGTCAAATATCCCACCTCTGCGGTGATCATATAGCACTACTGTGTGTTTAGCGTGTGCCCCGGAACTGGTGGAAAAGCCGGAGGCGTTGCGCCAGCCTGACCCAGCCACACCCCAGGGGACTGAACCACCCTACCGTGAAATCACCAGATTATTATATTTATATAGTCGACTACAGTGTGTCTAATGACCCATCAGTTTGACTTACTATTGTACAGAATGAGTATTGTTTAATCCCGCATAATATTTTACAGCTATTCACAGTGAAATGTTTATTAATTATTTGCTTTCCGTGTATCTTGGTGTACGGAACATGAAGATGAATGTAGAGCTCTACATGTTTGTTCGCTTGCGTTCCTTTGAAAACAATAATGACGCTAAAATGTCGGGTTGCAATCCATAAAATACAAGAATACCAATCAATATGTTAAGAATTGAAAGACATTGAAAGACATACATGTTTTTAACTGTTTGGCATTCTAGAAGTTGGTGAGTAAATAGGAAAAGGTACAACTTTATGGATAACAACTTATGGTTGTACTAGCCAGAAGTTGTTATCCATAAAGTTGTACGTGTTTTTACTATGTAAACTGTTATAAGAGCATGGCTGTAAGATACAATTACCCTCCCCATAATCAATAAAGGTACTTATTATAAGTATTCTACTGTACTTTGAATTTCGTAAGTAGGTACAAGACAATGGACGAATACCTGAGTGGATATGTGTATAGCATATTGTATATTTTATTGTACTGTTTTAGAACGAACATTGTGTATGGATCATAGGCCCCTAGGCCGGATATTGCACAAATATTTGCCAAAGCAAACTGTATTATATTGGTGGTTTTTTTAGCAATGTGTGACTTTAATAAATTCATTTTCTTATTCTCCCTCATTTCAAAATAATTACTTACCAAATATGCAAAAAGTACAATGTAAACTGTTTTGTTTATGTGTTTGTCATTAAACAACGCACTTGGAAATATATATTGTGCAGAATGGAAGCTGGATGTCAATATGGCTAAGACAAAAATTGTTGTGTTTGGCAGAGGGAAAGTCAAAATAAATACACTATCCTTCAAATATGGAAATAAGGAACAGGATATAGTAGACTCTCATGTATATTTTGGTATAAAACTTTCATAAAATAGAACATTTACACATGGGGTTAAGACCTTGGCAGAAAATGCAAGAAGAGCTTCATTTTGTTTACTTAAAAAACCTAGACACATAACCCCCCCTCTTTATTGTCTTATTAGAGCATTTGATCTCATGATTACACCAATTCTGTATTTATGGTCCTGAGGCCTGGTGATTTGGATACCTGATGTGATTGAAAAAGTTCATTTGAAGTTTCTCAAAGGCGCCCCTGGTCTAAAATCCTCAACACATAACTTCTTGGTATATGTTGAACTTGGAAGGGCACCTTTAATTTTTTATATACAAAAGAGAATGATAAAATACTGTCACAATACTGTAAAACATACTGATAAACTGAAATTGTCAAATATATTATGCAACTTTTTTATGGCCCATCATAACACAAGTATTGGAAATAGACACCCCTGGTGAAACTACATACAGAAATTGCTTTATATAACTATGGTCTGACTGGAGTATTTATTGCAATACACTGCTTAAATAGTCATTGGATTGTGATTACTGTCGAAAGAGTATGTTTAATCAAAATTGGAGAAGCAATACAAAAACTATAGTTCAATAGGAAAGTATTACTAAATTACCAATATTTAAAAGACCTACCTTCACCAAGTAAATACTTACTCTACCCAATATCTATATCATACCAAATTTTAAAATATATTACCACAAATAATAGTCTCCCTATTGAAACAGGCCACTGGCATGGTATCTCTAGGAAGGACATGTATATTGTGTAATTTCCCAGCAATAGCAGATGAATTTCTTTTCATTTTTCGATGCCTAGCTCAAAGAATACAGAAAACTATACATCCCGAATAAATATATATTTTGGCCTGATATGATGTGTTTTCAACGCCTCTTGAATTCACTAAACTTTAAAGAAATTAAAAACTTAGCTAAATTCATAACTATTGTATTCACAAAACAAAAAATATCAACTAAAGAACATCCATCTTATGACACTTTTGTATTATTTGGTTCATGTTATCTTGTACCACCAGTGGTGGTTTTATGGAGAAATAAAAGGGTTTTGAGTTCAGTTCCACACGAATTCATCTCATCCTTCTTGGCACTATCGGTTTATTCCATGAAGAAATATCCTTACCGTTCCACACCAGCTAGCTATTGCTAACATTTAACTATATTTTTTTACGATCAGCATGGATACTAGAAGACAAGATTCTCGTCAGTTAAAATATGATCAAATACTGTGAATTATTGACAGAAAATGTAATAATTATATATCATTTGAATAGATAGTTACGAGTTTGTGATACCTATAAATCATTAAAATATATTTCGTAACCAGCGTTAGAAATATTGGCACTAAAGTTTTAGTCCCGTAGTCCTTGCCAAACTGCCCAATGGTAAAGGTATCATAAGGACAAGCAGAAATTTGCCATTTTTAGGGGTTTTGCTATGTGTTATCATTATAATGATTAGTGGACTGAAACTGTTAGTTTTTTACCGCTGGTAACATAGAAAAATAACATAATATGTCAATGAGCGTCCAAGAGAAAGCCTAAAATGAGCCCTTGTATTGTGAGCATAGAGAAACAAACGTCAGGACGATGAACACTGACTGGTGTGGACCAATGGACGACGAACCTGAAAGTATTCGATAACCTTAAGCTTGATGTTATATCACAGGTTACAGAAAATATTATTTAACTTACCAAATTGTCCCCGCCATTTCGATGATATTGGTTGGCCTCATGTTGAACTTCATATTAATTCTCCGCTCGAAACTTTGAAGTAGAGCTAACGACTCCTTGCAGGAAGGGAATTCTGTAACACAACATGCAATGCTAGTCCGTATTAAAATTATTAAGGTTCCATATTCACGCCCCCCTCCCCCCCTCGGTTATGTAGCCTTACAGTCAAAGTATCAGCCTAACGGTACAAGCTTTGGTAGTCTACCCACCAACAAACAGTGTGTGCAGACGATCATTTTCAAACTCATTCCCAGCGCCTGACACCTTCGTTACCTTACAGTATAAGCACGAACGGGCTTTGTCGCTGCGAGGAGCTTACATTTGTGCCCAAGGGAAGTTACTCTAGATGAAATATCAGAAGCAGATATTTCTTATCTTCAATTTGTGACCTTCGTTTCTTATAAATGCAGTTGTGTGACTGGAATTGTTCCATTTAACTATCGCATTATGGATTGTGTTGGTACCAAATCGTATATGTTATATTGTGGAAAGCAATATTAACGTAGAATCTACATACTCATTTCCAGACCAAGAAATTCGCATTTCAAATGTGTGAAACAGAACATTATGAACGTATAAATAACAATTAAATAACTTGTGATTAATGTTTGTTCGTTTTTTATTTAACGCCGCACTCAGCAATGTTCCAGCTACATGATGCGGTCTGTAAATATTCGAGTCTAGACAGTGATCGATATCATGATCATCGGTCGACGCAATTGGGATTCGATGACATGTATCAACGAGGTCAGCGAGCTTGACCGACCCGTGAAGATCCGGGGTAGAATAGGTCTTCAGCAACCCATGCTTGCCGTAAAAGGCGACTATGCTTGTCGTAAGAGGCGACTAACGGAGTCGGGTGGTCAGGCTCGCTGACTTGGTTGATGCATGTCATCCCAATGGCGTGGATCGATGCTCATGATGTCAATCACTGGATTGTCTGGTCCAGACTCGATTATTTACAGACCGCCGTCATATAGCTGGAATATTGCTGAGTGCGGCGTTAAACCACAAGCCTCTCACGACCAGGATAGTCGCCTCTTTAATACGACAAGCATGGAGTGCTGAAGACCTATGTTCAAACCAAGACCTTCACGGGTGCAAATTTGATTGAACAAACTTCAGCAACTGTACGTTATTACAAAGTTGTATCATCTGTGCCTGCGTTTTGCGTTACAAATCATCTGCGATGGGTTGGGGGTTTCTAGGCCGTATATAGTTAGTCAAACTAATGATACTTGTCACCATTTAACCATTATTATGACGTCACGCTTCTGTGGCAGTGGGTTCTGAGCCAGGAATCCACTGGC